CACAGGCCCGGCTTGGCCCAACTTTTTTTTACGTAGGCTCGGGCCTAAATTTCAGGCCCGGCCCGACTTAAATTTGGGTCGGACCCGTTCCTCATGTCTACCTAAAATAGAAGTTTTTAGTACAGTCCAACCTTTGTGGCATGACACTAAAGAGACTTGATCAAAGTGCCATTATTTTTTTGATCGTTTTTGCCGTTCCCATATCCATGAGAACTCGGGTACCCTCTGGCATTTATTTTTGTCGGGTTTTATTTGTTTCAACGTGCCAGTAGTCCAGTGGTTAGGACGCTGCCCTCCCAAGGCAGAGGCGCGAGTTCGAATCCCGGTTGGCGCAAACTTTTTTTGATAGAAATTTGCATATTTTTGAGTTTTAACTAAATTGCTATGGCAGAAAATGCTTCAAACTTTTTGAAATTATTTTGCTTTAAAGCAAACTCATTTTTTAGCCAAAAGTCTGCATATTTTCTGTAAGGATAACGTAAATGAAAATTATGTCATCATAAAATTCAACCTTTACATCTCACTTCCACCAATACTTTACACCTCCAACCGCCACGCAAACCCACCAAAATTACCGTACCCGTGTGCCCTTACGTGCTGGACAAGAGACACAAACGACTTTAGAAGGCGGCCATAAGCATCTCGAAAACGAGATGTAGGCTCTTCAAATAAATTGCCTTCTAATCGGTTCAGAAATTGAAAACGAATTCCTCGGGATATGAAATTGACTGAGGAGAACAACTTGTTGGGTAAAAATGAGTTTTGCCGCAGGGGAGATGTGAAAAAAGAAATAAATTTCACAAAATTCACTCAATCTTGAGATAAAATATTCTGACAATTTGGGCCACTGAACTGACACAGCGCTGTGACATTTGCATGAAAAGTTGCTTTTTTAAACGTTTAACATGAAAGGCATGATGGAGCGGGTTTTATACGGTAAAAAGGTTTGTAATTGGTAAGTAAACCAATAAAAGTAACTTTTTGTGAAATTCAAGGTATAATTAGATATCAAAAAACCAAAACAAGTGCTTAAAACACAACAAAAATCAAGCAAATCTACCTAAAACATCACAAGAATAATAAAAAAATCCCTACAAACAAAGTACCTTTACAGTTATAAGAAAATATTTATCACAAAGTTAAAAAAAACTATTTTCATGTTTAAAAATCGAAAAAAAAACAAATTACAGTAAGTCAACCTTTTTTTTACCCGTTTCAAACTTTAAAAATGGCCAACTCATTCATTTCCCTCATCCAAAACCTGTTTTTGTGGAAAAGAACGATTGTTTGAAACAGTCCCAGGCACAGAATCTGAATCATGGCCATGGAGAATTTTGAGAATTTCATTTTTACATTCATAACTTGACCTATAAGAGCGATAACTGACCCTACCCTACCATACCCTACCCTACCCTACCCTACCCTACCCTACCCTACCCTACCCTACCCTACCCTACCCTACCCTACCCTACCCTACCCTACCCTACCCTACCCTACCCTACCCTACCCTACCCTACCCTACCCTCCCTACCCTACCCCACCACCCTACCACAACATCCGCAATACGACGGCATTTACAGTGTTTCGACGTAACTTAATGGATGCACTTGACGCAATCTTTTTCCACAAAATTGCACGGTAATTACTACACAATAAATCCTCCCCATAAAGAAAAGTGCCTCCGGGGATCTTTTACATGCAATGACGTAATTGATTCTATTCAAAATCCAGAATTCAGGTCATTCAAGTTAATGAAACCCGCTGTAATTCAATCCCAATTTCACTTCCAGAGATTTCGAAGTCGAGAGTCAAAGATTGGTCGAGGATTGTACAGAAGTAATCATGGTAATTATGTAGTTTGAAAGAGGAGACTTCAGTTTAGCTTCAAAAATCGTTTTTTTGAAGAAAATTAAGCTTACAAGTCTTGTCGCTTTTTGACAGGGAAAGCAAAGCATACTGACGACAAGTCTTCTTGACACTTTAATAATGACTTTCCGAGTAAAAAATCAATTTAAATTTTTAAAATTTTATATTGATTTATATTTTTCTTATCTTATTTACCCATTCTTATTGATTTCCATTCTTTATCTCTTCAAAATCTCCTAAAACAATTCATTTGACCTCCAATAACCTAACCCTCTCCCCCTGAACCCTACCTCCTTTAATCCCCCTTTAAACTACAAACCAATCTGACTACCTATATTCATTAATCAACCCCCTGCCCTGACAAGAACAACTAAAACAAGCCGATGTTATAATAAAAGTTGACAGTAAATGGACATTATAAATGAGATCAAAAGAAAGAAAATAAGACCAGCTGCCAAAAGTGTGCAATGTCTCTTTTCTGAATACAATAAATCACTTTTAACGATAAATGTCATATAAATGGCCATATCCTTAGTGCCCAAGTCAAAACTGCTTAAAAACTTTTGTCAAAGGGAATTAATAGCCGGAGGGCAGAAATGACATTGAATTATGCGCATTTCCAGATTTTTCCATTTTCTATTGTTCTTGAGGGTATTTGAAGGGCATGTGACAATGAAAATGACATTTTTATTTAAAATTTTGAAAATTTAACTTTTTTTAAATTTTTGAGAAATATTAAAATTTTCAAATTTTTCTATTTTCTATTGTTCTTGAGGATATTTGGAGGTCATGTGGCAATGGAAATGGCATTTTTTAGCAAATATGTAAATTTAAAAAATTAAAAATTTTTAAAAAATTAAATTTTCAAAAAATTTTTCAAAATATTCCCAAAATTTCAAAAAAGTTATAAAAAATCAAAAAAAAATTCAAACTCCAAACTAAAATACCCTCTAAAAGGCGGAGACGCGCATGAGTAACATAACAATAAAGTTGAATAAAATGATAATCCCTTCTGTCCAAATAAATGTCGAGAGTCAATTCCTGGCCATTGAATGGTCGAGTAATTGCGAGGCATTCAGTCGAATAAACTCTCCAAAGTGAGTGACAAGAAATTCATAACTTCAGGGCTTTAATTTAATCTTGTCCAATTGCTTTGCACGTCTTGTACTTCAAATAACAGCTCTATTTGGGTGTTACTGCGTTTGATGTTAAGGTTATTGTACCCATAGAAAAGGCATAAGCTATTTGTATTTAAAAACATAAAACTTAATTAAAAATCAATTTTAACGGCAATTATAATATAAAAAGTCTGAGATTTCACCCAGTTTTGCGCAAAAAAAGTTGATTTTCAAGCCGTTTTTGAGGAAATTTGGCACTTTTTCAATCGTCTTTGCCGTTCCCATATTTATGGGAATCCGGGTACCCTTTGGCATTTATTTTTTTTGGGCTTTATTTGTTTCAACGTGCCAGTAGTCCAGTGGTTAGGACGCTGCCCTCCCAAGGCAGAGGCCCGAGTTCGAATCCCGGTTGGCGCAAACTTTTGTTTTGCCATAATTTGCATATTTTTGATATGGCAAAAAAAATTATACTTTTTAAATTTTTTACCACAAGACAATCTAAAAAACTCGTTTTTTTTAAATATTTTGTATTTTAGTCAATATTGAGGTTGTCAAGCTCACAAAATGATGTTTAATATTTTATTATACAAAAATACTTTGAATTTTTTAAGTTAATGCCCTTTTAAATCCAACTTTTACCCAATTAGCCATAAAAAACAAAAACCTCCAAATAACCGTACGAAACCGAAATACAGTAAACGCAGTTTGAAGAAAAGGCAACATTGGCAATTCGGTTCACTTCTTTTTGGCCAAAGACAATAAAAATACATATTTCCCATTCGGTTTTTGCAACAGTGCCGAGGAAAGGAAAGAGTCAATCCAATTCTGATTTTATGGCACGAATTACGGGGGTTTTAGCCGCTCCATAAAAATCAAAAACAATAAAATTTTTCTAATTTTTTGCCGAAAAAACTTAATTATCAAGTCAAATGGGTTGTCAAAGTGTTGCAAACACTTGTTATGGGTGTGTTATAGTAAGACAGATTTGGTAAAGTTGAAGAAAATTGTTACAGTAGTCTCTTCCATACTTGTATAGGCTTTTATATTAGGTCTAGGAAATGATAGGTTGTTCAAATAATTCTGTGCCCCTAACCCCAAAAATTTGCTTTGAGAGACAGCGCAGAATTATTTAAACGTTTTTGGCAATTTGAAAGTCAGTTTTTGATTTCGCGCCATATCAAATCAAAATTTTTAGATTATAAGCCCTTTAGGCAATTTTCAAAATCAAAGTTCAAACCCAAGTAAAAAATCATTTATTCCTGATTTTGCAAACGCTAAATCGGTACAATATCATATAATATAGACAAGACGGCTAAAGTGAGGTTTGTTTTGCATTTTTTCGTTTTTTGTCTTCGCATTAGAAAAAGAATGTCACAAAACGCTTACGAAACAGTGATAAATACCCATAACATCGTGGAGGAAAGAATACACATTAAACGAATGTATAAAATGGTATAGCATAAAAGTGTGACATTTAAGGAACTCGATGACTTTTAAAGTTTAAAATGGATTTTGAAGTTGAAAAAGATCGTTTCGAAAATAAACTTTTAAAAGAATTATTACAATTTAAGTAAATCCATTATTTTTTTCGCAATTTTAAAATTTCAAAAACTTAAAATCACGTAAAAACTACAGAATCAACTTAAAAACAATAAAGACATAAAGTAGAAAATTGTTAAAATTAACGATTGTTTAATAAATTTACATAAAATATACAAAAATGACTGCAATATTAATGTACATACACCAAATGTGTTTCTATGACAAATATCCCTACGGTCGGTTTTCTATGAACATACACTACCAAATCTGAGAAGATTAAATCTTCAGAGATTCTACACCAAATCTATGAGACTTCAGAATCCGAAAAGAATCTTACACAAAATTTTAAAATACCTATATAACCCATGTAAATCAACATGAATAGTAGGAAAACCAAATTCCGCACAGATCCTCAAGAATTCAAAATCCTCAAAGATATTCTACACCATCAAAGACTATCTACATGTTTACACGTTACTTTGAACTGGACGAGCTTGGACTGGAGCTGTCGAAGCGGTTTTCCTTGGACTTGAGCTCGTCCTGCATGGCATCCTCGAGTTGTTCCTTCAACGAGGCCAATGGATCGTCGCCGTACATGACCGGGTCGGTAAAAGAGCCACATAGTATTTTAGTGGCATTCTCAAGACCTTCGGTTCGGCCGTTCATGTTGTTCGAATTCTTCTCGATCAACACGGGACAACACTTCTGAGGGGTGGTGAACAAGTGCATTGAGTTGTTTTTGCCTCCAGGGCTGACCTGCAAACGGACATTTTGAACTTTGATATAAAGTCCGTATAACATATTTTGATATGACCCTTTTTAAAGTATTTGAATATATGTATAAAGAGCCACCTGTTAGGTTTTAGATTAGTTGTAAAGTTTATAAAGATATAATAACTTAAAAGTGCATTTCAAAAGAATCAATTTGTGCAACATAAACACATAGTAAACGCATTTCTTATTTATAACCATACTATTGATAAATGACGTAATTATTTCGACTTTTTCAGATTTTCATACCTAAAAACTGAAAATCTTACCAGTTCAGCACTCGAATGCCCTGTAAACGCGTACACCCCAAAAGAGAATTGTGGCCCCATCCAGATACGACGATGTGGTCCCGAATACGTTGTGATCTCGACGTGAGGAAGCCATGAACCCTGAGTTGTTTTTCGGAAGCGCCCGCGCTTCTTCTCATTGTTCGGATCAGTGATTTCCAACAAACTCGAGCCCTCCGGCAACGGAGGACAGATAAAATCTACTCCTACTGTTCCTTTCGATCTAAAATGACACAGAAAATAAAAAAGGTAATAATTTTGTTTAAAAATTCAATTTTATTATGAAAAATCAATAAAATTTAAAACCAAAATTTAAATTGTAAATTTCAAAAAACCCACCTAGTAAGACTCCATTCACTCAGTGCCACTACTCTAACCCTAACTGGAGCTTCAACAGTTTTGTTCGAGTCATCAGCATTCAATGAAGATACACTGCCACTTGAATTGAACCTCTCCCTTTTCACATCCATCTTGTACTGACTCAAGATACCATCTGGTCCCATTACGAACAGAACTGGTACGTCTGGTGCAGCACATCTGCTTCCATAGACTGTGCCAAAGCACAACGACATTCTTCGCAGTGATTCGAAGACCAAAGGTTGTCCATTAGCCATGTGAGGAGACCAGTTCGAACTAGAGATTGGTACTGGAGAGTTGTCTGTGGCCCAGGCACTAAAGTTTTCGGCCGAGAAAACCTTTTGCTTGATCTTGGCTTGAGCCCACAGGACGATTGGGGGTGGATATTTGGAGAGGCGAGGGTTAAGGACAGTTTTGGATAGAAGCTGGTGCTTCAGGTGAGGGTGGTCTCTAAAATAAGATCATTTTTAATTTTTCTTTAAACTTTTAGTTAATATTCTCTGTTAAGCTTCTTTTAAATTTTACGTCATATTTAAACAGAGACCCAAAATTAATATTTAAAAATCAAAAAACTACAAATTCAACGTACTTGTACAAATATCCGGGAGCGGGTGTTTTCGAATGAACACTGTATGACACCTGATTCTCTTGTGTTAGTCCAGCTGTCCGTTCGAAACGGCTCTCTTTGTTCACGAACTTTCCACCGTGAGTTCTGAACGTGACCGGACCTCCGTACGGTGAAATCGCAAAAACGTGTGTCGTGCCGTGATTCGTCGCAATAGCTAGCCATCTATTATCCGATGTGAAAGCAGTGTCAATGACTTTGGCCGCGGAACTGCCACGATGCAAAGTGTAGATATGTTGTACTGAAGAGAGTGAAGGTGCAGTTGGATGAGGATGAAGAACGAACACGTTGAAGGTGGTGGCAATTTCATTTCCAGTCACTAAAAGTCGACCACCGTGACCGAAAGCGAGGCAGGCGACGCGCGATTCATGTGCGATAAAATGAGCTAGGTAGTGAGAGTGGTCCTAAAAACATAATTTGCACTAATATGTATTAACTATAATATTACAAAATTTCTTCCTACTTAAAGTTTTAAATCAAAAACAAGTGCTTACATTGTCATTATCAGGTACATGAGCAGTCGAAATGACCGAAACAATGCCTTTTCTCAACAAAACTCCATTCTTTTTGTCTCCAGGACTCGAGAAGGATGACACAATGGATTCGCCGAGTGATGTTACAGTCTTCGACAATGATTTAGCTGCGCTCATGACTTGTCCACTGTAAGATTGATCATCGCTGTCACAACGTCCACCACACGATTGAATTTCCAGATTGAAATTCTTGTCAGCAAAAGCTAGAATTGAGTCAGAGATCGCGTAAACTGGTGCTAGTGGTGCGTCATTAGGGTTTACGGGTATTGTTGTCCTTTCTTGAAGGGTATTCAAGTCGAATACTACTATTGACGATGACAATACGACAACAATGCACCTGAAACAATATTTATGTAAAAATTTAAATATTGTTGTAGTTACTCGCTTCACAAGCCGCTTTTTACCTAAAGGTCAACCAAAAACATAAAAACTTACGACTTGGTACTGTTCAGATCAAGAACCGGCTCGTCAAACTTCAAGATATGAACAGAATTCCCCGTCCTCAAGGAAATCACATTCACAGAGCAGAACTTATTGTCAGCTGCCATCGGATTTCCATCGACAAGACCGACCAGCGGTCGTTCGTTCTCAAACTTGTCTTCAGACTTCTCTGAAGCTGGCAGCAAGTGAGCTACACGTAGAGGGCCACGACGCTCCGACAAGACCTCCTCACACTCTCCAGAGGGCCTCATCAAGAATATCTGATATCCACGGACCAGGCCAACAACAACCAAGAAGGTCTCCGTGTTGTGCTCTAAACATTTTGTGGTTTACTTGATATTTTTAGCAAATCGTGAAGAATATAACCTACACTAATATAAAAATTAAAATCGTTTCAAAACATACCAAAAGCAATCTTTTGAATCCTGACCCATTGGATTGGCTCATTTTGATTGTGATTTTGGGTTGACCCTTGAGGAATCACTTCAGAAACAAACTCGGCCACTGAGGTAACAATCCGTGGTTGACTAAAAACAAGTTTTCATAAATATATTCATTAAAAAAAGCCTTGCGTAACAACAAATAAAACTTTTAGTTACTTTTTCAAATCTAAGCCAAAAATCAATCAAAAAACCACAATTTTTCCGCTTGTTACCTAAAAATCAACAAAGCAATACAAAAACTCACTGGGCAGCTCGTGGTCGAATAATTTGACCCGGAGTATACCGCACCGAGGCCCCATTTCCATTGGCTACGTCCGTTTTGGCACATTTTGGTGGTGGGCGACAGATGGGAAAAACGGTGTTGACCTGACCTTTCTTGACACTCTCCTTGCTATGGCCGTTCTGCTGCTGCTTCTTGGACCGACCATGGCTCATGGACATAATACGTGAGAAGGTTGGCTTCAGTAGAGAGATAGTTCGGAGGAAAACGAGTTATGTTACACTAGGTATTAGAAAAAGTTATCTGATTTTGGCTTGCAGTCTTTTTGCTGGTCTGAAAAGTGGCGTTTATTAAATTTAAAGACATATCGTTACTCATTTCCACAACTTCTCGAAGTGTTTTATTACTCTGCTCAAAGATCGATAAAACTCGAAAGTACGAAACGCACATTAAGCACCACGAAAACAAAAAATCAACAATAATATCGGGTAAACAATCAAGAAAAGTGTTTGAACACGCTCAAAATACGTATATATGTTTGGAAAAGAACGATATTGGTAGAATATGCCTGATAAAACTGTTTGACAGTCGATTTTCTCGCAAAACTTGTCAACTTTAGCAAAAACCGTAACGTTTCACACAGAATTCCATAAATTTCGTCATTATGACTTATTTTTCGGACGAAATTCGGCAATTTTCCAAAAAAATCAATCATAAAATCAAGAACGATGTCTTGCAGAGACAATAATGTTATTTTTAGAAAGATAATAAGGTTGAGAAAGTTTTTTTTTGACATGTTTATATTATCCATGACGAACTTGGTGATATAACGTTGTCTTATCAGTAAAACAAACAAAAAATGTTGACGATGAAAAATTTTGTGAAATTCGTGAAATCGGAGACTATCAGATGGTTTTTTTTATTAAAAATATGGGACAAAATGGGTTTTGTGACGTCTGTCATCAACATGTTGTTTATGGCTACCTTGAGGTTTATGTGGACAAGTAAACTGTAAAATACGATATGTTATTCGCTTACTGGACAGCTAGCTACAGTATTTCTACCATAAAAACTTATTTTTTTGATAATTAAGAATCCAAAAAAGCACGTGGATCGTAAAACGACTTAAAAGTCAATGTTCATTGTTATTTGAAGCGCGTGAGAACCGTCGAAAAAATAGCGTATGATTGATAATATAATATTATCAGCGTTTTAATGAGACAAAAATAAACAAAAATTCGGTTCCGAGATGATCTTAATCTCCCCCTCAACAGCCGTGTCATCATGCACGTTGTTATAGAGTGGTGTTCAGGCTTATCGCAAGGCAATAAATGGATTTTTTAGGTATAGATTTGTTTTAAGCCGAAAAGATGGGTTATATGGGCAAGTGAAGTCTAAACTATAGCTACAATAGACTAATTAGGAGCCTAATTTTAAAATTATTGGCATTTTATGACAGCTTACATTACTTTTAACACAATTTTTTTAGAATTAGAATAAAAACTTGATTGAAAGATGAGAAAAGCCTTTACAAAACTCATATCCAGGCTTTTCCGAAACGATTTATGAGATGGGATTGTAAAAGTCTACAGAACAAAGAGAGTTTTGTGAAAAAACCGTTTGTCGCGAAAACAGAAAAATTGATTTTTTTGTAAAAAAAATTGATTATTGAGCAAAAAGACACAGTAATCGAGGTTAATATGACAGAAAATATGCATAAGATGAAAAATTTTAAAAAATGATTTTCTAGCCTAAAATTACATATTAAAATCAACAGTTAACATTACGTAAGCTAACATGCAATTCTTGTGTAAGTCCAAAAGTTAATACAAAAAAGTTTAAAAGTTTATTAAACATGTCATTATAAGCCTTAAAACAAGAACACATAACGATATGACTGTTTTCTATTGTAAACGCGACCTTATCTTCAAAATACTCAATTTTGAAGGGTTGAAATCGCCCGAAACAATGGGATAGTCACAATAACAGCCGGAGAAACGCAAGGTTGGGACACTTCAAAGGACTTTTCTATCAATAACCCGGGCAAATATGACTTTTTATACCCACAATAGTGTTAATCAATGTGTTACAATCTCGTCCTCTTAAAAGTATAACAGTCACGAACGCCGGTCTGTCTCGACAATCAATTAAAGTAACTTTGAAGCCCACCTAAAACAATATTTTCTCGCATAAAAGAGGCTGCAGCACAAGAAATGTCGTGCTTTTCAGTATGAAACTGTAAATACTATAAGATGGCCTTATATTGCATCGTATGACCTGGGAATGGAAGACTGAAGTCATGAGGAAGATAGCCAGCGAGCCTCCAAATAAAGCCAGGATCAGCTGATTGAAAAAAGCGGAGCATTCGCTTTTACTTTTTCGCAAACTGAGGACTCTCCTCGCTTCGCGTGCTCTCTCGGGCCTGTTGGTCGCATGACCTAAAAGTCTCGAGAAAAATATTCTTCGGGAACAAAAACGAAGCAATAATAAATATTGGGAAGAAACTTGAAAATAGATAACTCTGCTGTTACAAAAGGTATATTTTGTTGTAGTAAAGGAAATATATCGTGTTGTATACGACGTAGCAAAGTATTTTTCGGTAGTAGTGAACATACGAGTAGATGACAGAGTAAAACACCTTGTTTATGGCTATGAAAGGTTGAGAAAAGTTGTAAAAAGGGAAAAACACTAAGTTTAGAGTTATATGTTTAACAGAATTTATAGGTTTAATACGAAAAAACATCTATGAGATCGTATCTGTATGCAGTAATTGAAAATTTACACAGTAAAAGACAAAATACATTGAAGAAAGGCAAACTACCCAACACTGACACACTTTATGTAAGAGTGTGTAATAGGATGTTCTTCCACAAAAAGGCCTCAAGTGTAAACTTAATTATACGGTAGACATCGTAATTGTAGCCCATTGAATGTTAACCACTATACTTGGAACAATTATGACAAAAACTTAAAATTTTGGTAAAAACTGGCCACTTATAACGTAAAGTAAGCATAAAGTTTCCATAAAGGTCAAAAAGTAAACAGAAAAACCAAGAAAATAAGCAGTTGGACAACAATCGTCTTCAAAAACAGAAGGTATAATAACATAATGTCATCGAGACAGTTTTTAATGCCTTAGCCTGACTCATAACCTTTCAACGACAATTGCGAAAGCGTCCGAGTTGGTTTGATAAAAGGTTACACTAATTCATCATCAGCAACTTGTTGTCTCTTTGTCACGTAATAACTCTGATCAATAAACATGGTAAGAATTTAATTTCTTATTTTTCTAACTATTTACAATAACATTCAGTCTTTGTAAACATTGCAAAGTAAGGGTTTTGTCACAAAGCTACTGCAAATCAAGTTGGATTTTTTTAAAATTATTTTTGTGTTAACATTTATAAAATACAGTAACATTTCTGTCTAAAGAACGATACTATAATGAAATTTCTGTATAATTTTAATTCCCTGTCTACCACTACACAGTACATTTAAACTTGTTTATGTCGAATAAATGTTCAATTCCCAGCCAATTCGTTATACAAAAGTTTTATTGCACTTTAAATAGCAGATTACGCAAAGTTTTTGAAAGGCTAAACAAATACAATCTGGCCTTGTTCCTTGTCAGAGAGGTCTACCTTAAAGGTTACACTGTATTCTTACTAGGTTCAAACGCAGAACCACAACATAGTCTATTTTTTACGCCTTATCTTGTACAAACCATGGTTTTATTGAAGATTTAGTATAAAAAACAAGGCATATAATGTATACTATCTTGCGTTTAAACTGAAATAAATTTTTTAACATGCTCTGTTTTATTCGGCGACTCATTTTATTATATTATAGTTTGACACATTTATATTTAGTTATTTTTAAAAACTGCTTGATTCTTTAAATTTTCTTTATAGGATCAAAACGCACAGAATTATTTGAACTACCTAATAAAATTGGGAAGGAAAACATACAAAATTCAGAAATGATGACATAACCATGCCGTCATGTATTTGCTGCCTGACATTTAAACTGTACTTTTGAAGCTAAACTGAATATTTGGACAAATTTGTCTGATAAGAAACTTTTTACATTTGCAAGATTTATAATAATTACTTTTCTAAAGCCGTGTAATGTTACTGACATTAGTTGTTATCGTTAGACACTTGCTTTCCGTTATCAAGGAAGTGGCTTGTGTTAATCTTGAAGATTTAGTTAATCGTAACTTTATTTGCATTGTAAACTAATACTAAAACGTCAGTCAAATAGTTCTTACAACTAGACAATAACACGTACATATTATTGTACTTTTATGTGAGTTTGGACGCAATATACTACACTTTACAACACATACATCACTTCACACTTTGCTTTACATTATAATCGGGTTTTAATAAAGTAAAGGAGTTGTAAACTTTTAACTAAATATGTAGAAGATACTTTTATATTTGTACATAGCTCATCATGGCTAAACAGGGGTACGTTTAGAAAGTGCGGGAGATCTTTTTCTGTGATTACCATACAAACAATCTTTATGACAATTAGTGTATCTTGTCATACTTGTTGTGAACAACTGACAGTAATTAAAAAAGCAAGTATGTTGTATTCTCACCGTCATTAACTTGACTTACTTTGCATTCGTAAACAACACGCTTAACTACCTGACATTACTGTGGCATTTATTGTAAAGACATACGCGTGTCAGTTTTGGCATTTTGATAAGGCATAACTTTTATAAACTACTATACATCTTTATTTTGTCTTTAAAGTATAATAATATACTAGTTGGTACAGGATTGCTTATAATGTTAAGTTTTTGTCATTTTTTGTTAAAGACACTTTCTAAGTTATTTTTTGATTTGTCGTTTTGACATTTTGTTTCAATAGGCTTTGATTTTTATATCTAACCTATTTTTATCATTTTATTGTCTGAATTAGCTGTGATCTTAAAGCTATTGGTATATTTAATCATATAAGTTAATGATCTTTATCCTTATGGCAATTTTGTATCATAAAGACTGATCTGTCTGCCACTTTCACTCTAATCTTCAAACTTACAAGGCAAAACGCGTTGTTGTTGGACAATCAATTGTACAGTGATTTATCAGACCCCTATATTCCTTTGTAAAGAAAACCGCTCCCCCGAGGCTGGTCGTTCCACCGTGCCACGGCCCCACGCAGTTTGGGCCGTTCATTTTTTTCTGGCGAACAATGTTTTTGCGATTTCGAATCCGTTGAATGGAGCCAATTGACGATGTAATCCGGAGACAGCGGCCCGGCCGTGGAGGGCCGCTAGTCACGCAGACGGGAAATGACGGCAGAAAACATTTTTTTCATAAAAGTTTTTGGCGAGAAAGACCGCGTCGTTCCGACGGGCGGCCAAGTCGAAGAGAACAGCACGGGCACAGCTGCGTGTTCTCTCTCCTCGCTCTCCTTCTCATCCTTCACGCCCCACAAAACCCTCCTCAAATCAAGTCGAGGGGCTTTCGAGAAGTCCTTCTTCTGGGGGCTTTTAAGTGCGGATTCAGATGACCTCGTGACCTCCCGAATTCAAATTCACACGGATTCAAAGTGTAGTTAAATACGTGTTCGTTTTTGAAAGGCGGCCAAGGGTGGGTGAGAAGCGGCCAAATGATATTTTAGGGGAAGGGGAAAGTTGTCAAAGGCCAAAGGTTTTTTGATGCTTTAAAGTTTTCTTATATAATAGTATCGTAAAAGGCTGGGATAGAGGTCAAGGTACAAGGTGAGAGGAGCGGTGAGATCAGTGGTAGTAAAGTGGACGTTTCTTTATTTTTTATATAACAATTTACTGTATACTTTTTAATTCTCGATTGTTTGACAAGTACCATATTAAAAAGTACATTACATTTATGAAGTAAAGTAGCTTTACAAGGTCCTTGTGTTCCTTGTAAAGCTCCTTTCACAAAGCATTAAAGATTTTTAAGTCGTTAAAAACTTTTTTAATTCACAGTATGTACTATAAATTTGTTTTCTTATTACTTATCGGATTTATTCAAGTATGTTGTTAAATGTCTTAAAGTACTGCAGACGGCCAACTTTTGAAATAACTGTTCGATTAAAAAAAACTTAAAAATTTTGCAGAACAAGCCTAAACTACATAAAAACGGCCTAAAATTTAAATTTAAGTCTGAAATATGTTTTTAAAAATGTAATAAAATTTAAACTTTAGGCTAAAATTAAGCAAGAAATCACATTTTAAAATGTTAATTTAAAAAATAAGTTTAAATTTAAAATTGTAAAACTATTTTTTTAAATTAGATACTCAAAAGTTTGCCTAATAATTATATTCATGTTAGCATAATGTCTCAATTCTCAAAAACCCGCAAAGAATTCTACTTCCCTAAACAAGAATTCCATTTTACTTGTCAAATTACTGTTTAACGCGTCAGAGCTTAAATTATTCATTACCAATAACGTTATGCAAAACGCCGTTTGTTTCGCTTTATTTAATTCCAAAGCGTTTCCAAATTTCTTTTTTTTGCCTACAGAAAACGTTAAATTTGGCTACGTATTGCACGTTTGGCTACGTATACGTATATTGCCATAATGGTAAGAAGTACCGGGCGGGTGTTTAAGCGTGGTAGATAGGCTATAGGGGATGAATGAAGGAGAAGGGATTGGAGGGGTGAATGGAGTAATACTGGGAGATGATGGGAAAGGTAGATCTTCTATGAATAGTTAGGCACCCCGTAGGGTAAAAAAAATCTAGTAAAATTTTATCCTCCCCCCATTTGTCTTGTTTGTCATCCTCCCCCCCCCCATTCACGCCTTAAAAATGTCATTTTACAATTTTCAAATTACCACTTATGTAGCACAAATTGTCAATTTAGCCTAACAAGCCCCAAAAGCCAGTAAATTGTCATTTCGTCTCAATTTCAATTTGTTTGTTTACTTTTCATTGAGAAAACCTAACAAGTATAACATTGTCTTTTACTCGGTTTGTTTGTCATGTAAACAAAACTGTTATTTTTAAACTGTTGAACATGTTTAGTCGATTATCAAACGGCAAATATTCTTTTTTATTGTTAATGTTATGTTTTATCGAACAGTTGCCAGAGATTTTTGATTTTTGTTGAACTAACGAAATTATGTTTATATTGGATATTGGTGTATATGTTTGAAATGTTATCTCAAATCAAACTAGTACTTAAAATTTTCAATAAACGGGATAACTATAAGCATGTAGTCTACTATTTTTTATATATCTGTTGTATTTGTCCACAATCAAGAAACTTGTGTTTAAAAATTTAAAGTTTTTTTTTTCGCGGGCTTTTGGCATAGTCTTATAATCAAGTATACTTTAAATGGCTACTGAATACCTTTTTCTTTAAAATTTTACCTTTACCGCATAAAACTGTTAATAAAACTAATAAAAACAAGCTTTAAACATAATGCCAATTGCAATTGGCGCAAATTCAAATCCTTATTTTGAAACGTCCAAAATAGAATATAACTTATTATGACTCTTACTTTGCACTACAAGAAAATCTTTCTTTGAATATTTCCCAAAATGCTAGCCCAATTTGAGCACTTTTGGCATGTTTTTTACTTCCTTGTCACATTATTTTCCCCAAATACAACAAGTTATGGCCTCAAATTGTGGTAATAATAACAAAACATAAAGAAGACGTTTGTTTACAACAATGTTGTGCCCAATGTGACTTTGTCAATGTCTAATTTCCTCGTATTATTCCGTTTTATTTCGTTTTGAGATAAAATCATTCCCAAACATAAGTTGGCGGGTTTCAAAGGGAAAATTGTCGAGCGGATAATCGTTGGCATTCCGTCACAAGCCCGAGTTCTGTTTCTTTTTCGCTTGGTGTCGGTCGTTTTGCCCTCAAATATTTGCATTATTTTGTGGAATTTCAGGGTTCGGATCGGTATCTAACACAACCCTCAAATTTGATCGACAATGGCGGAAGCGGAGAAGATCAACTTGGACAACATCATTTCGCGTCTTCTGGAAGGTAAGTGTTGATGTTAACGTTGTTGATGGTGTTTAGTTCGCGGCTCCAAACCAGGGAAGAATGTGCAATTAACCGAGAATGAAATCAAAGGCTTGTGTTTCAAATCCAGAGAAATATTTATGAGTCAGCCGATCTTGTTGGAGTTGGAGGCTCCTCTCAAGATTTGTGGCGATGTTCATGGACAATACTACGATCTGTTGCGGTTATTTGAATACGGAGGATTTCCACCAGAGTCAAACTACTTGTTTTTGGGTGATTATGTTGACAGAGGTAAGGAAAGAATATTTTTTACGTTGCTTTAGGTTCGATGGGTTGATTTAAAGAAATATTGTCGTTGCCTATATTTTCAATTTTGGTTTATAAATACTATAGGAAGTTTTCAAAAATATGATAGGAAAAAGAAATGGAACTTAGTTTTTTTGCCAGAAGTTACAGTTTCTTTTATGTTTTAGTCTTACAATATTATTTTGAGTTGAGAAAAAAAATTAGATTGAATTTTACTAATAAAACTTTTTACTTCAAATCAAAAGACGTACTATTTGTTACCTAAAACTTTGATTTTGCATTATATCAGATTAATCTTTTACTTTATATGTATAATTCATTTCTTTCAGGAAAGCAGAGTCTGGAGACGATATGCCTTCTATTGGCCTACAAAGTCAAGTATCCCGAGAACTTCTTTTTGCTCCGGGGCAACCACGAGTGCGCCTCCATTAACAGGATCTACGGCTTTTACGACGAATGCAAGAGAAGGTATAACATCAGACTGTGGAAGCACTTCACGGACTGCTTTAATTGCTTGCCAGTAGCAGCCATTATTGATGAGAAGATCTTCTGCTGTCACGGTGGCTTGTCGCCCGATCTTCGGTCTATGGAGCAGATTCGGCGATTCATGCGGCCAACTGATGTGCCAGACCAGGGGTTGTTGTGCGATCTGTTGTGGTCGGATCCGGACAAAGATGTGGTCGGATGGGGAGAGAACGACCGTGGCGTGTCGTTCACATTCGGACCAGAAGTGGTGTCAAAGTTTTTGAATCAGCACGATCTCGACCTTATTTGTCGTGCACATCAGGTTAGTGTTGTCTTTTGAGTATTAGAATGCTGTTTTGGGGATTTTAATATATTTTATTGTTATCTTTTTGAAAGTTTAGTTAAAGTAATTTCTGATGTTCTATAGTTTTAAATTTGTGTAGTTATCAATTTTTGAGGAACTCTTCTTATCAGTTCTTATCAGATCGCCATATTTTATAATACTATTATTTTGAAAAACACGTTTATTGTTTAGTTCATTAACTGTTAAGGGTTTTTATGATTTATATTATATACAGTGAGGTTTTTAGTATAATATTACTGTTATTATATATATTATTCATACTGTTCCAGGTTGTGGAAGACGGGTATGAATTTTTCGCGAAACGCCAGCTGGTTACACTGTTCTCGGCACCTAATTACTGCGGTGAGTTTGACAATGCGGGTTCGATGATGACAGTCGACGATACATTAATGTGTTCATTCCAAATCCTAAAACCGTCGGATAAAAAGAAGTTTACGTACGGCAATTCCTCGGGTCCAAATCGTCCAATCACTCCACCTCGAAACAATCAGTCGCCCGGCAAAAAGGGCAAAAAGTAGGTCTTTCGATTTTGTTTTTGTGATTTTAGGTATGAAATGGCGTTGGAATTGAAGGTTTTGAGTATGAAATAGGGTTTGAAAGGCTTAAAGAGCATTTTTTGTAAGATACGAAATTGGTATTGGTTTAGCGCTACTAAAACAATTTGAATTGCTTACTTGGAAAAGAATTAAAAAGGGATTTTGAAGAAACTTTTGATGTTCTGATACCTAAATTTAAATTTATTTTTAAAAAATTTAATGCTAGATTACTATTAGTGCTATTGTGATACCTAATTTTAAGTTTTTGTATGGATATTTTGTTAAAAAAATTATTTTTGTGGATTCGATACCTAACTTTGCCTATTTACAGCTAATGGCGCGGCTTACGAATTCCGGAATTTGTGGAACGGGTTTTCAACCGAAACGTTGAGTGGTCTTCATCTTCTTTCTCCCTTCTTCACCTTGTTGATTGTCGTATTCTGATTTGAAAAAAGTTATACTGGCTAGGTTTAAGTGTGTTCGGATTATCTAGAATCATTAGAAGCCCCATGTTGTGTATATGTTAATTTTTTTTGTTTAGCGATCTTTCACACCCTTCAAATATCTCCTATCCTCTAATTACCTGTCTTGTCTCCTTGTAATAGCAGTTTTAATCGAATTGTTGGAATGTAACTTTTTAGTATTAAACATTTTTGTACGATTTTGGATGGTTATTGATAGCTCTTGGCTTTAAACGTTTTTAGACAGTTTTTATTTGCAAGGTAGGACGAATATGCTATAAAATTGTTGGATATAGGGTTAAATTAAAGAATATTGGTTTTAAAGTTTGTTTACAGGGAAATTTTTTTTATTTTTAAACTCCGTTTTATTCCATTTGTAATACTGCATGGTAAAGGCCTAAGTGTAGAATCTTGTCAGAAAGCTCGCTTTCTACCCATCAGAAAGCAAACGCCCTCGTTCGGTAAGCTCAATCTGTGTACAATGTCAATGTGATTCCGTTCGAAGGCTCCCAATACTTGTTCGTCTGTCAGTGATAACAATGTAAAGAAAGTGGCACGACCATCGGCGTTAATCCCGGACGTATAGCAGTCGTCATCAATCACAGAGCCGATAATTAGATAGCCTTCTGGACGGAGAAGCGACGTCTGAAAACATTGTGTGGGTAATGGGTGAATAACATGGGATTATAATGGGTGGATAACATGAGATTTAGTGTTCATTTGGGGGTTTCTATGTAAATATCTTCAGAAACCTTGGTTTACTTTGCATATATTGATGTAAATTATGTGTGTGAGACATGAAAAGAATGTTTTCAAGCCTTAATGACATTTGGTATCTTGTTATGACAACACATTCCCTTAATACTAGACCTAATTCTAAAGCCGGTCTAAACCAATCATTCCAAACCCAATCTTATTACCATATGTCATACAAACCAATACCATGTGTTGTGACAACATGGATCAGACATTAATTTAGTCATCCTAATGTATTCGGCCATGTTTCGTCGAATGAACTTGTATATAACTATTCGGTCGGAAACCATTACTTATTTATAAACTTTGGTTATTACACTGGCAAACACATGTCACATAAATTAGTATGATTGGTTTTATGACAAAAAGACGCCTATCTAATGTTATTTTTCTATGGATACTGTAATTAGGGTATAGTTAGTTTAAAACTTGTCAAACTGAATTAACAATCTCGATTAGAAATAGAGATTGCTATTGTAATATGGCTTATCAAACTACAATTTATGACATATTAAATGAAAAACAAGAAAGCGTAATTTTTAGTTTTGAACGTACATTTTTAACTACTTTAAACTTAATTTTAGCCTAATTATCTTCTGAACGTGCTTGCGGTCCTTTGTCTTTGTTAACAATAGCTGGTGTTCAAAAGGTTTGCAAAAACGAAACAATGGTGACATTGATATCTTTTGTCACTTGACAAACACTAATTTCAAAGTCTGACGGAGTTTACAGTAATTTGAACTTTTAAGCTATTTTTTGCAACTTAAAAAAAAGATTTTTTTTTTGAAATAAAAAAATGTTTTTTTTAAATTTCTTGCAATTTTTGTTTGAACAAAAATGAATGATCAACTGTTTTTTTGTATGATACCACTTATAATGTCAACTATGACAAAGTTAAACAAACAATAGTAAGACGTTAGGCAGAAAATTAAATATTGGTGCTTAAAGAGTACTTAAGAAAGATAGTTTTATTGTTTTTTGGTCTTAAAATACGTAAAAACACTTTTGTCCGTGGATCCCACCACGAAAACGTTCGTGCCAAAAGGCCGACCTAATTCGTGGCGATCACGGATTTCTCCGCAGTCTAGAGAGCCTTGAGTGTCTCGTTCGAAGCCATTGTTGTTTGTACGTTTGATATTGAATTTGTTTAATACTTTTAATTAATTATATTGTTTGATTTGATTTACTTTATTTGGTTTGCATGATCTTGTTTGGTTTGAATCATAAACTTTGATATTATTTTGATTGGCTTTGATTGTTTGAAGTGACTGGAGATTAACTCATTGCTTATTGCTTGATTGTTTGTAAAACTGTTTCTTACAGTTATTTGATTGATTGTTGGTTTGAGTACGACTTATATTGTCGTACATTACTGGTTGATGAGTCTTCTCTCTCCCAGACGGACGTAATTCCCGATTCGCCCCGGGTGGTTCAACCCTGCATATAGCTTCTGGGTGCTCTAACCCTGTACAACTTTGTATAGACGTAAAATACGTAAAGGTACATCATATTTTTATAATTTTGAACATTTCTAATAAATTTTGCATTAAAAACCAGAAAAAATGCTAAAACTAGGCCTAAAATCACGTAAAAACAGGCAGAATAATATAACAAAATTACTAGCAAAAACAACTAAAATGGTTTTTACTGTGACATCATATAAACGTGTATAACAAACCTATCATATGGTAATAGAAATACGCTTCTAAAAAACTTTGAAAAACATTCATCATACACAGCTTTTCAAATATTTTTATATTTACGTCGGGTAGTAAGATCAACTATCATAATAAAAAACAATTTTATTCATTTTTAAAAAATTTCCACCGACCTGTCGAAAAAACGTTTTGCTTTGCAAAAGTAAACAGTCGGAAGCGGAAGTCAGATAATTTGAGAGTCGGTGGGTTTTTTTTGTTGAAAACGGCTATGATATATAATTTATGTATCTTTCTCCGCAATTAATCATAAAAATGTAAAATCTTTTATTAGTGTAATTTTTTAAAATTGTTTAACTCTAGATTGAGGCAGCCCAGAATCAAGACAAGAAGCCGGCAGATCGACCAACCTCTAAAGCTGAAAGTCGCAAATTCAGAAAAAGCTCAAGTCAAACCTGCTCCCCTGTCAAATCCAGAAACCAACAGACCAATAGATACAAGCAAGATGTCGCACAAAGATGAGACTATGTATGATGTGGATAGTATCGAGGGCGATGATAGTCAATCTGAAGTAAAACCAAACAACGACGATTACTCGGTTCGTTACAAGAAACGTTGAAATCTATTCACATTTGTTTCAATAAAGTGTGCAAATGTTTAGTTTCCAATTTTAGCTTTAAGTAACATGACGATAAATTTTTAATGAGCGTTAAAACGGTCCATTATAAATCTGTTTTCTTTTTTGTAACGACCGATTTTTAATAAGATGACAATAAAGTGTGTTTAGCTTAAGCTAGTCACATGCAACGTACAACTAAGCCTTTCAAAGAAGAAGAGAAAAGCAGTAAGTGGGTTATTAATTATCAGTAATGAAACATTAACAACAGAATGACGGCATAACTATTTTTTTTTCAAAACGATCAGCTTCATATAACATATTGTGAAAATTTGTTTTGTTAGAATGTTCAAAAATTTATCTTTTGAATTTAACAATAATTTAAAGGAACCGTTCATTGAATTTTTTTGAATGAAATTTTTTCGCGGGTTTTCCAATGTTTTCGATTAACTTTTTGAGAATTTTCATTTTGAAAAAACATTTTCATTTTATTTATTTCTTTCGAACGCGGTTGAATATATTGAACCATATTGAGGTTTTCTGTTTATATTTCACTACTTTCACTTTATTATTCTACATATTCATTGTTCTAAACTGTAAAAACATATTCCTTACCATAATGAAACCATTTTCAAACTTTTAGTTCAGTAAAACTTTTAAAGAATAGAGTTGGTCTTACTTTACCATAAGTTTAAAAATGTCAGGTTTCGTTAGAGGGTAAAAAGCAGCTAATTCGACGTCAAAAGTAAGTATTTCAGTGTCTTTTCGTTTTCAGAACTTTAGATCACATTTACTGGCTAAAAAATATTAAAATTGCGGTTGAGCTACAGAATATTAACGCGATGTGGCTGCCGATGCACAGTTTAGTATGATTTTTTGTCCAAATGACTAGTAATGCTGTAAAATTTTTAAAAATTTAAATTTTGTTCATAAGAGAGATACTTTTTGAGTTGTTTAATGTCATAAGTGTTTTCAAAAAGCGACTCCGTATATGTTGTCAAATGTATTGTGTAGTACGGTGGCATTGTTGTTAGTACAATAGTTAACATTTCATACCTATTCAGACCTTTAAAATATCACAACACCTAAGAAACAAACCTTTCTCTTCTGAAGCTTTATAGGCGATATTATACTAGATATTTAGTGTTTTAACAGCTTAAAAGTATCTTACCCATCACTGCTTAGTCTTAAATTACTATACAGGCCATATACTACAATATCTTACCTATTCAAAACTTTAGCGCATCAAAAAACCCACGATACCCCGCCTTTTCACCTCGAAACCACCAATACCTAGCCTTGCGAAGGGTTTATTAATAACAAGAAGGTGAAACAATCCATTTGAGGGTAAATATACATTCTGACATCAACAAATAATATTATTTTACTGAAGATACGCAAATTGTAAGACTAATGAGGCCACGTGTTTGAAGAGGTTGTTGGCTGTGGGTTCAGGCGTTCGGTTACCTCAAGGATAACACCATCATTATCTGTGGCCTAAAGTCCTAAAAACGAAAAAAACACTGAAATACTTACTTTTGACGTCGAATTAGCTGCTTTTTACCCTCTAACGAAACCTGACATTTTTAAACTTATGGTAAAGTAAGACCAACTCTATTCTTTAAAAGTTTTACTGAACTAAAAGTTTGAAAATGGTTTCATTATGGTAAGGAATATGTTTTTACAGTTTAGAACAATCAATATGTAGAATAATAAAGTGAAAGTAGTGAAATATAAACAGAAAACCTCAATATGGTTCAATATATTCAACCGCGTTCGAAAGAAATAAATAAAATGAAAATGTTTTTTCAAAATGAAAATTCTCAAAAAGTTAATCGAAAACATTGAAAAACCCGCGAAGAAATTTCATTCAAAAAAATTCAATGAACGGTTCCTTTAAATTTCTTGCAATTTTTGTTTGAACAAAAATGAATGATCAACTGTTTTTTTGTATGATACCACTTATAATGTCAACTATGACAAAGTTAAACAAACAATAGTAAGACGTTAGGCAGAAAATTAAATATTGGTGCTTAAAGAGTACTTAAGAAAGATAGTTTTATTGTTTTTTGGTCTTAAAATACGTAAAAACACTTTGTATAGACGTAAAATACGTAAAGGTACATCGTATTTTTATAATTTTGAACATTTCTAATAAATTTTGCATTAAAAACCAGAAAAAATGCTAAAACTAGGCCTAAAATCACGTAGAAACAGGCAGAATAATATAACAAAACGACTCACCATGTTAGCAAAAGCTTTTTCGTATTCATCGTGCTCTGTACAAGCGGATTCTAAGCAAAATACGGAGACAATGACATCGAAGACATCCAATTTTTCTGGTACTTTTAGTACTCCAGGTTCATGCACATTACTTTTCAGAATGCCACCTTTCAGAACGGCATTTCTGGCTTCTCGTTCCATTATTTCACACGGATTCGGGTAGGGATCTTGACCTTCGCATCTGAAATTGTTAAAAGTAGAAAATTTGACAAAATATTTTTAAAATTTTAATTTTAAAAATATTTCTTTAGTTGAAGAATTTTTTAAATGTACGTTGCAAATATCCAAAAATATTTTAAATATTCAAAAAATCCCTTCTAAAATAAAAAAAAGCCTTCCCCTACCGTGCAATAGTCCTGATGACAGGTTCCCAGTCGAAAGCTCGTCGCTCGTAGACCCAATCTTGTAAGTGATTTAGATTTTGTTGCAGAAAGTCGGACAGGAACACTTGATCAACAACATTTCGAAAACAAACTGCTGAATATACGGTGGGACCAGCACCAACATCTAGTAGTCGTAGTCGTTGTTCTGGAGGACAGGTCTTCTCTAAAAGGGCGGCGAAGGTGGGGAGGGCAAAGAGACAAAGTCGGGTACCGTCTTGGAGGGCGTCTCTGAAATGGTGGTGTACAGTATATATAAAAAGTAGTGTTATATTGAGGTTGGGTTCAAAAGGTCTAACATAACAGACTTTACTCTCTCATCCTCGCCTAAATTACAAATATTACTGTCCCACCCTTGCCTATACTAAAAATCCTACTTAAACCGTATAAACATCAAGCCAAACATAAAACCAAACCTACTTGGAGTAAAAGTGTTGTAGGTAGGCCTCGCCGTTGAACTGCTCCTCGTAGTCCTTGGGTTCGAACACCATGGTCGCCCCGACTGAATCCTCCATTCTGTGCTGGGTTTAGGTGATCCCCAAAAAAAGTTTTTTCCTTCCTTTATGACGTCCCAGAGTTCGGATTTCTCCGAAAACTTTGTGTCCCGATCTCTTGGCCCCAGCACTCTCGACCAGACTCTCGACGCGTCTTAATCATTTTTATTCGATTTTCAGTTTATTGTGTCATTTCGAATGGTCAATTGTTCTATTTTGTCAACAAATAATGCGGAAATGGCTACAAGGTTCGGGTAAACTACCAAGTTTTGATAACAAAGTGATAAAACCTTTAAAATTGGATTTAAAAAAATAAAAATTGAGAAAAAAAGTAAAAATAAACACGTCAGTCATGCTCAAGTAATCGTATACGTTTGATATTTTTAAAAATCCGACAAAAAACAAAGTTTCCGGCAGATAACAGAAAAGACAAACTTCAGAAAATTAATTTTTAAAAGTATGTTTTACGGTTATAGGTTTGTTATGATACGTTTGCCACAAAATATCTTTTGTCATGGTCGGATACACAATGTCTCACCTTAATTTTAGTCAAAGCTGAAGCACCATACTTTTATAAAATAAAAATCCAACCTATACGATACTAATTTTAACTAATATAACACAGTTCTAAAGTTGAAGTAGTAGTATTAAGACAAAATAAAGTAATAATTTAGTATCAAAAGTGATTTTATTTGCAGGCTTAACACTACTACACTAATTATATTTCAAAATTTCAATTTATTCATACATTCAAAAAAATTCGCTATAACAAAGGTTTTGTTGTAACCGGTGTCATATTAAAAAAGTTTCACTTTATACCGCTCAAAGGGTTATACGGAAGGAATGGGCTGACATTCTATCGAAACTGGATGATGTTGGTCCAAGCAACTTCGCTGATAGCGTCAGTTCAGCGTATTCTTGACTTTTCAAGTAGTCTTCTTGAGATATTGATATATATTAGCATAAACTAATCAAATCTAATTTGTTGTAAAGACTAAAATGACGCAGTTTTCAAAGCATAAAAGCTCGTATTATAACTAGAAGTTACAAGCAATACTTTCAAACATCTATTTATATAAAGAAGTTAGAAAACTCAAAAAATTTTTTGTTATAGGAGAGTTGCTCTATAAGGAAGGTACACAGTCAGATTCTACTATTACATATACATAGTACGAAAAAGTCTTTATGTACAGGTTTATGTTACAGAAAAGACTCTAATAGTAAGGTTTTACTGTATTTTAAAAGAAAGTCAAGATATTTTTATAATTTCAATGATAGTACCTACTGTAATATAGTACTTTCTATATACATATTTATTTACTTTCATTACTCCTTACTTTTTTGTTTTGTGTTTTATTATATATAATACTTGCTATATAAAGTCAATACTTGACATGTTATCAACGTACTTATCAAAGTATTTGTCATCACTTGAATAAAGATTTATTGGTTAAAGCGTAACATTTGACACATCCTAAAGAATAGCACTCTTTCTTCCAAAGTATAAGCAAAAGAGTATGGAGAACAGAGAGAGCACAGACAGTGGACGATCAGCTGGCACGTGTTTTACTTATAACTCGTGCGAGATGCGACAAATCCTTTATTTTGGTCGGACGTGAGCAGCTCCAAACCATCACATTTTGAGTTTGGGTATTAGATATGTGTACTCCAACTTCGAGGTACTGCGATCAGATTGAGAATGCTGCTATTAGGGAGAATACCATCACTGCCACTCATATACGACGTCCTGAACGTATGTTTTTAAAATTTATTTGGTATCTTGTACTTTGCTTTTTTTAAAATTTAAGTTTTTTAAATATTTTTTTTGCTTTTAAGCATACGTGCTATGTAGTACCAAACGTTTCAGTAGCTAAGTTAATCACATCACAGTATTTTAACTTTACTTTACTTTTTGTCGCAAAATTCACACAGACAATTACAACGTGTTTTCCAGAACGAGCTCATATCGAAGTGTACAAGCAAAGTATTACCATTGTATCTACTGTTGCCGGTACCTTCTCATCAACTTGACTGCCAAACGTAAACATAGTCAACAATGTATATATTATCAAATCATGCCGGTTACTCATACAAGTATAATACAAGGTTTTTATAATAATTATGTAAATTTAAAGTATTAACTTTTACATTTTTTGGTACTCTAAAGTAATGTCTAAAAGCAAAATTTACGCTTTTATTTCGAAAATTATAAAAATTTTAAAACAAAATTCTTTTTTCATAGCAGTATCAAAAAATGTAAAAAGTTTGATCTCAATGATAATATAAAGTATTACACTAAAGTTATATTAATATTGTACTACTGTCAACTTTTTTTTAATAAATAAATAGATTTTGTACGTTTTGGTACCAAAATTCTCAATTTTCGCGCACTTTTTATCAAAATTCGTTCACTTTTTGGAACTCTTTGCCGTTCCCATATCCATGGGAATCCGGGTACCCTCTAGCATTTTTTTTGTCGGGTTTTATTTGTTTCAACGTGCCAGTAGTCCAGTGGTTAGGACGCTGCCCTCCCAAGGCAGAGGCCCGAGTTCGAATCCCGGTTGGCGCAAACATTTTTTTCCAGAATTTTGCATATTTTTCTGAAAATTTATTTTTACGTAAAAAACAAAAATTTTGAAAAAAATTTGAAAATATGTATAATATAACACTTTTGACCAAATTCACATGAATTTTAAAGTTCTTAAACCTTTGCATTTAAAAAACGTACAAAAAGCGATAAAAAGTAAAGATATAGCCAATTAACGTTCGATCTCGTTTTGAATATCCCGTGGTGAAAATAAATACCTTAGAGGTCATTTGCACATTTTTGTTAGCGGTTTGAGCGGCGCAATTATGGAAATAATTTAAATATGACTGCGCTATCTAAAGGAATTGACTTCATACTCGAACATGTTTCTGACAATGAGTTGAGAGAGTATTTGAGTAACTGTGACATCAAAAGTAAGTTTTTTATAAATAATATATTTTACTCACTCTATTTTAAACTTCTATAAGCTATAAAAATCATCGTTCCAGCTCAATTACACCAACTAAATAGTACCAGACAGTTCAAGACATCTACTGTGATATTAAGTGTTGCCAAGTACTTATATGACAAAGAAAAGGAAGACGAAGCGCTGAAAGTGATTAATCTGATTGATATATTGAAGGTATCACAAAACAAACTACATCAAACGATCAAAGACCTTCTTTTACTGGACTTAAAACGGCACCAAGAGTATTTACTGTACAGTAATGGTATGTTGTGATCAAAAGTATAAAGTTTTGAAGTTAGAAACATAAAGTTGCTATAGTTTTTAATGCAATAGAGTTTTAAAACATTAGGTTGTTCAATTAATTATGTGCTCACTGACCTCTTAAATTTGTTTTAAAAAAGAGCTCAGAGTTATTTAAACAATCTAATAAAAATCTTCAAAGTATGTGCTTTTTATTGCACAGTAAAAAGTCGTATTTTTATAGTAAAAAACATATTGTAGACCCATGGAACTGCGCTTTGATCACCGCCTTTAATGGTTCGTCACTGGCCTTGGATTATATATTGGAATGGAAAAAGGTATGTTCTCAACATCATTAACAATACTAAATTACACTCTCTACTCTATTATTACAGCATTTATAAGATGCTAACGTTATAGACATCTATAGCCATTATATTGAAGATATAACTATGGTATTAAATTATTATTGAACATAGCTATAGTGGTTATATTAAATTAAGATTACAGTTGTGGCCGAATGATTCAAAATCAATTTTATTACTTCTGTACTTGAAGCAATTCGATGAAATAAAAGTGGAAATGCAAAGCCAAATGACAGAAGAAGGGTTGAGAGATATATGCACGTGCTACCTCAGAATGGTATGTATTTAAATTTCTGTTTATTTTTTTGTCCTTTGGCTAACATATAAGTTAATTAATGTTTTAAAACTTGCATCCCTTGCCAATAAAACAACATTTAAATTTTCTTTTAAAAATGTTGTTTTAAAGTTTAAGTATTTATTTGCAAGTATTTAAAAGTAATAATATTTTAAAATTATGCAAATTTATGTAAAAACAAAAAGTTTGCGCCAACCGGGATTCGAACTCGGGGTTCTGCCTTGGGAGGGCAGCGTCCTAACCACTGGACTACTGGCACGTTGAAACAAGTAAAACTCGGCAAAAATAAATGCCAGAGGGTACCCGGGTTCTCATGGATATGGGAACGGCAAAAAGATTCAAAAAGTCAACAAATTTTGATAAAAAACGCGCAAAATAAACAAAAAATAATCAAAATCACCTTTTTTGAAAAAAAAATTTTAAGTTTAAAGTAATCATCATTGTTAGTACTGTGAATTATACAAAACCCAAAAACTGTGAACTTTTCCAAACTTTAAAAAAAACCATGTTAGTTCCCGTATTTTATCTTTCATTGATTAATTGGCAATTTTTCTATGATATTAAATTTTATGTCATATTTGTAGCAATGGCCTCACTTGGCATTACCATATGTGACAAAGCTGCACTTGTTGAACAACGAAGTGGAGACAAAGTTTATGAGTTTCATCGACAGATGTAGATGTCTAATATTTATGAACAACACAGAAGAAGCTTTGAGTTTGCTGAATGAAGGTCAACATGTTCTGGAATTGAGTGAAGAAAATGTAAGTCGAGATAGAGGTTTGATTTAAAAAATAATGATTAATTTGGTAGATCTAGTATATTTTATTATATGATAGTAAGTTAAAAAATGGAAATATAATGCTACTATTTTAAATTTAAAGTGACCTTCAACTATCACACAACGAATTTGACTTTTAGCAAATCTGGCTGAATCTAACCTACAGTTTAGTCTACCTTACAAGTCACCAGTTTACGAGGTTTTACCATGAAATCTCAAAAGTGACATCTCACACCCATTTTGATGATATATCGGATGATATGAACGTATCACTTCTAGAAATGTTGTTATACTACTTCTTGCATACTGGAAGACCAGAAAGAGCAATAGTTTCAGCACAAACATTGTTAAAAGTGTTATTGTCAAGTAATGATGACAAATACAATATTAACGTTGTGAATTGCTATGCTATATTGGGCAACATATTTATGGCCTTACATAATGTTAAAATGGCTGAAGTTTGTTTTATGGAACGATTGGAAAAGGCTAGTGCAGTGGCAGTACCTCAATTGATGGTTAGAGCTTTGAGTGACATGGTACTGTACTATCGTACAGTTAAGAATACTGTAAGTTACCTTTAGATTTAAACTAAAAAATAAATTTTTAAATTTTTAAAAATTTACAGTATACTGTACCTTTTTAAACTTTAGGAGCTCCGGTACCATTACCTAAAAGAAGAGCTCCAAATACTATCAAAGTATGACGGTTCAGAATCAATAAACTTTGAGTGGACAGTACGCTTTGACTACGGTATCTACCTGCTAGACGAATTACAGTATGAAGAAGCTGAAGAAGAACTAGAGAAAGCTCTGTTATCAGTTCAAGAACTCCATTTATCAGTCGAAGAAGCCAAAATCACTGAAATGTTAGCAGAAGTGGCACAAAAACTAAATGAAGAAGAAAAGACATACTGTAGATACAAAGCCTCATTAAACATCTGGAAAACACTACCGTATACCAACAAAATAGAAAATCTTACAGTAAGACTGATACAGTGTATGGAGCTTCAAAATAAGAATAAAGAAGGCAGAGAAGTGGCTAAGACGTTGTTGACCACGACCAAAAGCTACAAAATAAAAGTGCCTGTGGCTATTTGTTTGGCCAAAATATTGATGAAAGACAAATTATACGATGAAACGTTTATTGTGTTAGAAAGGGCCAAGAAAGAGGCTAAAGTCAATGGAATGGCCAAGCAATTAGGCCAGGTCTACGGTCTTCTAGGAGAGTTCTATCAAGCGATTGGCAATCAAAAAATGGTAAATTTTTTAAAATTATTAGTGTTTGAAACAAATGCCAAATTGGCTAAATTAGCGGGAAATTCAAATATTTTTATTTTAAAATTTAAAAGTTTGAGCTGAAACTTTTTACGTGCACTATTAGTAGTAAAAAGAATTTATATAATAACTTTGAGTTGATTTTGAGTGGAACAGGCCAGGTACTTTCCTTGTAATTCGCACCTAAAATAATATTGATGTACTTTCAGGCGACAAGAAACTTTTGCAAACAAATAGACTATTTCGACTTTGTCAATGACCCACAAGACCAAACCGACACTTTTCGACACATTATTATGTACAAACTTCTCAAAAGCGACATCAATGCAGCTTTGAAGGTGATCAAAATGAGAATAGCAGCTGCTGAAAAAGGAACTATGTTGTTACAGGTGAGTTGTTATCCAATTTTTAAAAAAATTTCGAGATTTGTACTTTATGAACAGAACAATTATTGTTATATACTTTTAAGTTATTTTTTATCTAAAAATATGCAAATTATGGCAAAACAAAAAGTTTGCGCCAACCGGGATTCGAACTCGGGCCTCTGCCTTGGGAGGGCAGCGTCCTAACCACTGAACTACTGGCACATTGAAACAAATAAAACCCGACAAAAATAAGTGCCAAAGGGTACCCGCGTTCCCGCGGATATAGGAATGGCAAAAAAGATCAAAAAGGATTGAAAATTTGTGAACAAATCGCGAAATTCAAGCCTTTTTCGAGCAAAAACCAGCCCAAAACATTTTTTATTGGCAAAAGTAAAAAATAAAGCATAAAGTTTATAGATCAACGTTTTAAATGAGTCAATCAAAACACTGAGCGATCTCAATCTCACCAAAGAAGGTATTAAGTTATTGGACAAGAAAGCCGAACTTATTTTAAGTTCTGACCATTTATCAAACAAAGACGAAGTATTAACTATTGTATCTCAATACAAATCTATAAACCTCTACTACAAAGCTCAAATAACATTGGCAACGTTTTTAAAAAGGAATCTGGATTACTGTGACAAAAGGCATTTCCTTGAATTGGCGTCTTTACTACAACATTATGACATTCAGTTGTGTGTTGATCTACTAGAAAGTGTGATTGAAACAGATCATTTTCATGTAGATCTGGTAGCTCCATTGTGTTATAGATACTTGGAAATGGGTGCTACTGATAAGGTGGTCGAGCTGTTTAACAGTTTGACAGCTCGGGAAGTTCAGTTAAACTTTTTCAGTGTTCTAACAGTGAGTAAGGTACAAGAGAATATTAAGGATGAGCAGTGTGTGGAGATGGCTATGCAGTTGAATGGTAAGGTTTTATAAGGGTATGAAATAGGGTTTTACCGCGAAATGTTTAAAATATTGTATGAATAATCCTTTGATCTTATCAGAATCCTTCGATAAGTACATTAACTTCACATTAACAATTTGTGTTATATATACTTGGTTTCATTTTAGAAACTGACCAATGTCAATTCATGGATATGTTTAATTTATACAGCTACATTACTGACCAAAACTACGACTCATTTTATCTACCAGCTAAAGTACACTACTTACTGTATATTCAAGACTTTGACCGTGTGAAGCCACTACTACAAGATGTAATGTCAAAAGAACACATCTTATATCTGACTTTACAAAATCAACATCAAATACATCACAAGACCCAGGACAATGCTTCAAAAACAAGTTTTGATAGCTACATTGACTATGTTAGCTATAACAACAACGACTTTGACTTTGTGACATTTGTATTGATGCTTGTCTACAGTGATGACAAATGGAGATCAATTTACATTTGTGAATACAGAAAGCGACTGAAAGTGAAATTGGAGTTAGATAAAATAGGAAAAGGCGCTACCTCTGATACTTCAAATACAGTAAACATGTGTAGTACTAAAACTACAGTAAATACTTTGCAGTTTCAAGAAGGTACTACAGTCGATAAGCCTGAATTTGAGTTTGGCGCAATCAAAAATAATTTAAAACACGATGAAACACGCTTGGCAGTCCAATTACAAGAAGACGATGATTTTCTGTACATCTTTAAGTACAACAACTTCAAGTTATTATGGCAAGGCGGAAAAGAAAAACTTATTGTAACCACAGTATCTACACTGAATACTGCGAAAACAACTGATACTATCCAATCTAATGACCTAGTTTCTTCTTGTACGAGATCAGAATTGGCAGAATGTTTTTGGGAGTATATGGTACTAAATTTGATAAAACAGTACCATATTGACATGTGTACGAGAGATGAATTTGAAGAAAAATTACAAAAGGCTACAGTACTTTATGGTGACAGTTTGGATCATAAAATTAATGGTATCAAACACTATTTTGTACCTACTTTAAATGATGAAAAGGATACTAGTATTCCAGTACAAGGTACTAACGAAGTCTCAGTACTAAAAGAAGCTTTAAATTCAGTACTACTTGATATTTCTTCCACTTCATTCAGTCATACTCACGAAGCATCCGTTCTAATGGTAGGCAAGATGTTTGAAGACTACAAACGCACCCCTGGCTTCATACACCTCTTAACTCAAGAAGATGTCTTTCAAACAGTAGATCAAGTGTCTTTTATCAACAAGGCTACAGTCTTATTAGTAGATCCGGTAGAGTTAAATCCATTATTTTTGCTACAAACTGAAGCCAACCCCAAAATATTGGTTTTGGTTGGAAGTACATGGTCTCATCTACCGTTATGGCCTGCTATCGTATCCTCAGTTAAAGTGCTGGTAATTTACAAGAGTTTTGACGAGTTTGAACATGAAGCAGGCAAATATTTAATAGAAAAAGTTAATGAAGTTAATGATGATGACATTGATATTGTGGATGAAATAAAAAATCAATTTAAAAATGGCATTTTGTGTGTAAATAACGACGTTGCCTTTGATATACAATGTAAATCTGTCAAACTTCGGTGCTCGCTACAGAAGGTAAGCTCAAAGGTTTGTATTTTAAACTTAAAAATATAAATATGTATTTTAAAAATTATTCTTTAGGCTATAAATGATGAAAATGTAGAAAATTGGTTAGTTGGTCACAAAGAAATACGTGATGTTATTGTTGATCAAGGTAGATCATTTCTTCATTATTATACCAATTTAAAAACATTAGGTTGTTCAAAAGATTCCGTGCCCCATGTGTCCAAAAAGTTGCTTTGAAGGAGAGGGGGCACAGAATTATTTAAACAACCTAATAAATTAATATTTTAAAAACTATTGCGATTTCAAAGTACAAAGTTATGTGTTTCAGTAACCGAGTACTTAAAACAAGATTCAGATTTAATTGTTGACTCTATTCTAAACTCTGCTGAACCTCATCGTTCAAATCTACAACATCTTTTCCATGGTAAGTAAACATTTTTTATTACCATAAAATATTAAAAAAATAAGTGGCATCTCAAAAATACTGTGTTGTACTCTCAAATAGCATATCCCATAACCCTGTAAAACTAATCCAGACTACTGTATCACTCATCCAACATTCCAATCCGACCTAAATCCCCGAAGACAACATAGATATCGTAGCAAAAGACGTAAGAACCGTCGAAGGTCACGAATGTCTTCAAGATGTTCATCACGTAGTTCTATGGCCAGCGACATCAATTTCTTATCAGAAGCTGACATTTCTGATACAGAATCTGTCTCTCATGCTCGGCTTGTAGGTATTGGCATGGAATAAAGTGACAAATTATAGAAAACGTTTTAATTAACGATGAATTTCTATGTAACTATACTGTAGTAAATCGAGTAAAGTTTTTATTTTGACTGCTTAAAATTTAAAAACAAACAATATATAATATTTTATATCCGTTATCAGCCCATTATGAGCGCTGTTATGTAGACTAGACAAACAGACAAGTCTTTGGCCTTTCATACAACATTAATTCCTACACATAGGCCTATAAGAGCAAAAAATATTAAAACTATTTCAAGACAAAAACAATTAATAAAACTAGACAAATATTAGCAAACAGTACCTATATATAGGCCTATAACAAAAAAATATAATAAAAATAGTATGACCCAACCAGCTATATCTCATTGAAAGCTTGAATATCGTAAGTAATATCATTATAAGTATTACAATAATATCTTAAGTAACAATATATCATTTTAAGTATTAATATCCCCAATTACGCCTTAATGTTAACCCTCCATCCAAGCATTTTCTTGTCAATGCCAGCGGTTATTAAGTTAGTTCCTTCGGTTTCGTCCGACCAAATCGCTGAGGTTACTAGGGCTGTGTGGCTCTGAAATGGAATATTATATACAATGTATATTATACATAAATAAAATAAAAATTTCAAGAAGGATTTACCAGGTCCTATACAAGCAATTTAAACTTTTTTTTCAAAATTAAAAAAAAAACTATTCCCTACCAATAACCAAAATATGGACTTACGTTTCCCCGATGAAGTCTTCCAATCCGATTTCCATTCAAATCGTGAATGTAGACATATCGATTGTCCAAAGGAATTGCCATAAGTCGACTTTTGGCCGATGCTCCAACTTTGTTAACTCCACTGTCAAATCTACTCGATGCAATGGCACATCTCATGTTTCGAAGGTCCCAAACTTTCACGGTACGATCATCAGAACCGGATATAATGTGATGATTCGCTGCGAATACAACCGAGTTTACTGCTCTAAAACGTATGACATGTTGTAATAGTAAAAAAATTTAGAAAGAAAAATATCAAAAACGGCAAAAAATAATATTAAAGTAGATAGACTTACTCATTATGCCCCTGAAACACAGCCACACTCCTCATGGCTTCTCTGAAGTCCCATAGCCTGAAGGTATGATCCCGACTGGCAGTAGCGACAATCTTGTTGGTTTTATGACTCGAACAAAAGGTCAGCTCACTGTCATGACCAGTCAGAACATTGACTACAGTCTCGTTTTCCATATCATAAATGTTGGCCGTTCTGTCCCATGATACCGTTATCAGTTGTTCTCCTCCTTGTAAGAATTCTGCTCCCACAACAACGTCAGAATGTCCACTGAACACTCGAATTGGTTGACGGATCACTACTGAAGCTGGACCAAAACGTTCTTCTAAAAATGTATATTTGATATATAAACCAAATTCATACCTAAAAATTTAAATAACTAAAACACCATCTTTACCTTCATTTTCATTCAGTTTTTCCGAAGTTGCATCCAAATCATCCTCTGAACTGTTGTTGGGAGGTACGTTGGCTTCACTCAAAGATGCTGTTTTCCATAAATGAATTGTCCTATCACCACTGGCAGTCAGAACAAAGAACTGGTCGTTAGTAGAAGTGTCAGGCATTAAAGAGATAGAGTTTACAGCACCATTATGACCATCGTATTGAAACAAACATGCTCCAGTATCGGGACAGAAGATTCTAGCAGATTGGTCGGCAGATGCACTGGCTACAACAGAATGGCCATTGTAAGTCGCCGTAGCTAACGATAAGACAGCATCTTGATGACCTTCAAATGAACGAACAAAAGCATGCTTTGAAGATTCGGAATTCTGACTAGAGCCAACTTTTAAACTAGGAACAAAGCGTTGAGGAGGCCTTCTGAAGGCTGTTTTCCATTTTTGTTGTCTGTCTAAAAATTTTGAGTGTAAATTAATTTAAAAAACGTAAATAAATTAATTACAACTTGTAAAATACGACCTACGTTTTTTCTGAGAAGCCTTGATCTCACTAAAAATCGAAGCCGAGGTGTCTGGGGATTTGATGAGGTCATTTAAAGAGCTTTCTGGGGCTTGGCCTAATCGAACTTTTACTAAAAAACAATAAAAAAGAAGATATTAACTTACATTGACAATTCTCCAAATATAATGTTTCGAATTCTTTATCGATTAAGGAAAATAATTCGTACAAACGCTGCCTAAAATCAAAAAATTAATAAGCTGTCTTTTAAAAACTGAAGTGCATTTTCAAGTGTGTTTCAGGTTTAAAACCTCATTTTTGACCATTTTAAACTCACTTATATCTCGGGGTTTCCACAGAAGTGTCATTAAAGAAAGAGTTCATAGATTCGGTAGTTAGTGCGCGAGCTTTGTCCGCAGTATGAAATAGAACTGGAGTCAATGGCTCTTTCTCTTTGCTCATCTCTTGTTTGGGCGACTCCAGAAAACTAAACCAATATAAATGTTTTTTGCAATATTACACAAAACCACCGAAAATATTTTTTCGTTTTGAGAAAAACTCTAATCCATAACATAAAGGGCACACGCCAAAACATTCACCCGGATAAACAACATAATTTATCAAAGATTTTAGAGCACCACGCCCGTTCCGTTACATTTGATTAAATATTCAATAACTACAAAAAAATCGATTTGTAAAACATTATTAGAAAAAATAGTCAAGATTAATCAAAATAATAAGATCGCGTTCACACGCAGAAACAAAAGATTCAAATAACAAACAATTTATTTTTATAACACCAAGAAATCGAAAAAACAATTAACAAATGACCACTTTAAACGCTCTCTTGGACTGGGGGCTCGTAAGCATCAGTGCGGTCGACTTTTCCTCCTGACGAACTTCCGAGTTCACCGTGGATTTCCAAAAGTTTACCGAGGTCGAACTTGGGCTTTCTGACGACCTTAACCTTGCGGATGTACACATCTTGAAGTGGGTAGAAGCGAGAGCAGGCCTTCTCGATGTCCTTTCCGATGGAGTCAGGAATGAGTTTGTTGACAACTTCGGTCAAGTTGGAGCCGGTGACTTCCTTCTGAATAATCTCGGTCATCTTAGCGCGGATCAGTCTGACTTTAGAAGTTTGGGCATAGCTGGTTTTGCGGACTTGGTTTTGGCTGCGTTTGGTGAAGCCAATGACGAAGACACGGAGGTGGTATCCGTCGGTGGTCTTGACGGTTACGTTGGCCTCGATCAAAGTCTAAAAACAAATACTTACAAACAGTCCAATTAGAAATAAAAAAGTCAGTCCATATAAGTATTTTTTACACCAAAGTTTTGCGTTGTTTTACATACAAAAAATAATGAAAATTTTTATATTCAAATAAACAATTGTCCAAAAACTTACGTGCCACTTCTTGACGATGGAGCACAACTTGTCGCGGGTGAAAGTCATACCGTTGAAGTTGGTCAAGCAGTTTCTGCCCTTAACTTCTTCAACAACAAGTCTGAACTTTCTGAAGTCGAACTCGTTCTTGTTCAGATCTCCGAGAGACACTTCGAAGACACGTCCCTTCAAGAAGTCGCTAGCAATACCTAAATTAATATCAATAGTAGAACGTATCAGAATATATCTTTTGTCCTTATATCAGTCTTCTATAGTAAAACAAAACAAAAAAAATCAAATAAGGATAATTAGGCTGCCGCTATTTTACAATGTCAAAACGCCAAAACATAGACTTTACTTGTTTTAATCAAAGTAATAGAAAAACCATGTCAAAAACACCGTTTCATACCTTTTTAAAGTACTTTATAATCAAAATAGTATTTGTACCTCAAATTCAAGAAAATCTTGAAGAGAACAATAAACTATCCGATTCCTGCGTCAATAGTACCCATATGATTGTCAAAACCTACCCTAAAAAACAAAAACAAAAAGCAGAGACTTACGAGTTCCTTGAGTTCGGTTGACGATGGTCTTTCCGACATCACGGTTAGTGAATTGAGCTGGAGCTTTCACATCATACCACTCTTTGCGGGAGAAAGGATCAGCGGCCTTCTTCTTACCTCCCTTCTTTGAAACCTTTGAATTTTTTCCCACGGCCATACTTATTGGCTAAAAACATTTACAATTACTTCATATACAATACGAATCTAACAATGTTCAAGACACGAGTCGAATAAAACATAACGTTCGCGCAAAATTATATTTACATCACAAAATTTCACACAAAACCTGTGAAAGTATTCATAAAGAAAAATAACACTCCCAAGACAAAATAATAAATCCTTCAACCTAAAATTACTAAAAGAACCATATATTACACGTAAAATACCAAAAATAATATAAAATATCAAAATTGTAAAAAATTTCGTTCAAACAGAGGAATTTCTTGTGCTTTTACCGTATTCCTTTGGTTGGCATTTATTTTTCGTTGCGGGACCTAACGGCCCTTAAATTGAATTTTTTCTTTTTCGTTTCACTTCATGGGTTGGCAGTTACGACAAATAAAAGCAGGGTATCCGAATGAACATCTTTGCGAGTGGTGTTCTGGATAACTGAAATGCTTTTGTTTTACAATATTGTTCTGTATTAATTAAAGTTTTGGTAATATTTGTGTTAAAGTTGTTGTTTTTGTGGAAACCGCATGTGATTATAATGTAAATTGTATTTCTATGTGTTTTGGGATTTTTAACAATAAGTTTTATATATTTTTCGTGTACTCTTACTGAGTGCTTTTTATAATTTATCCTTGCTTGGGTTTTTATTTTAGCGAAAGTTCGAAAAATTGGCCTAGAAACGCTACGTCACGACAATTTTAATAATGAAACTTTAACTTCACGTTTTTTAAATATTTTTGTGCGCGGGGTTTGATTGTTCTTTTAATAGTACAATTTGTCTGCATTATTATAACTTTATTAACTTTCTATTTTAGTTTTAGTTGTAATAGGTACCTCAAAAAGCTTAGATGTCATTGGGGCAGATATCCTACACGCGTGAGGCGTTTCTGGCCTTGAAATCGCAAGCACATGAAGCCAATCTCCCACCGCACATGAACAGTCCGGAGTACATGAAGTAAGTTGGTTTTATTTTATATTATTCTTTGTTTAGTGCCGATGGAAAGTTTGTGCCTGATAAATACATAGAAGGCTTGTGGAAGTTGGAAAAAGGGTCGGGGAAGAAGAAAGCCGATCTCTCTGACGCCTTCACTAATGGATCGTCGCTGTCGCCACAACGCCGAGGATTTTCTGGTGGATGTAAAGAAGTGTCAAGCAATGGTAATATCGGTTTTTTATTTGTATTGGGGATTTTAGCTGTTTTTACGACCATTTTGGAAGTATGAGATCTCTAAAATTTTGTAAAATTTTTAAAATATTATTTAAAAACATAATTTAAGATGAAACGAGTCTTCGGCGACGAGCATTGAACAATAATCTCCCAGCTACGTCGCAAAACTCCAAACGCACTAAAAATGGAGTCAAAGGCTCTACCTCAACGTTTGGAAAGAAGTTTACACGAAAGGACGAGAAGAACGAGGAAATACCGGAATGGATGGATGGCGGACCGTTGGATCACAATGAAATTATACCTTTAGGTGGATTTGATGACGAAAAAGAAAAAAAGGTTAAAACGGAAAAGAAGTCTTGTAAGTTATATATTAATATCTGCGTTTGAAGAAGTATATATGTTTTGTGGAAAGTACTGTATAACAGCTTTAGTTTGACTTTAAGTAACGATAAAATATATTGTTGTATAGATCTTTTAGTTTTGGTTGTTAAAACTTTGTTTTTAGATTTGCTGAACGCATTGACGAAAGACGATGCAGCTCCGAAGTCATCTTCTTCCTTATTACCTGAGTCTGATTTGGAATTTGCTGCTCAATTTGGATTATTGGATATAATGGCAATAAGTAACGCGGTAAGTTCGAGAAAAACAAAAATTGAATTTTTGTTTATGTTAATCTTTCTGACATTTTTACTTAACTATTATTTATTTATTGGAATCTTAATTTGACAGAACATTAACATTTTAACGATAATGTTTTCAGAATAAAACAGAAGCTCCAGAAGCCCCAAAACAAAGCAGGTTAAGTCAATTCTTCTCGGAAAAACCCAAAGAAAATACTCAATCAACCCTTCCTCCAGCTGTAGCTATGTTACTAAAAGGCGCTTCTAATGCACATTCTGCGCAAAAGCCACCGATGAAAACCCAAATAATGGACGAACAAACACTTCTGGATTGCTTCAAAAGTAACATTTTTGACTTTTTATTTTAAAATTTAGGTTTTGACGGTTAAAATACATGTAAAAATAAAAAAATTAGTATTTTTAAATATCTACATGTAAGAATTTCTTTTTATGTATTTTTTTGATTAAGAAAACTTATATTATGATTGTTTGTAGGGTCTGAAAACATGCCAAATCTGCCAAAACCGATCGAAGAAGAGTCGTGGGACGAAGAAGTGGAAGAACTCAAGAAACTAGTACTCAGTGATTACGCTGCTTCAGAACCCGTTCGCAAATTAGAACTTGAAACAAAGACCCCTGTTATGAAGCAGACTTCTTCAACAGCCCCTCCTGTAGATACGAACATTCCCCAACAGTCTATGCCTTCTGCGATGCCTGGAGCTCCACCTTTCTTCCCCATGAATCCAAACATGATGAGAATGACTCCAAATGGAGGAATGATGCCTCCGATGATGATTCCCGGTCCAAATGGAATGCCAATCTATCATCCTGGTTACATTAACTACGTGGAACACATGATTGCTGTGGGCCAAATTGACGCAACTAACCCGCGGGTCGAGATGATGTTGCAGCAGATGAAGTACCAGAAGCAGATCTTTGGGAACCCACCCAACCCTTTCATGCAACCCGTGATGCCACCAGGATCTTCAGGAGAGAGAGGCTTTGTTCCACCGTCAAGCATGTCTTCTAGCACCTCGTCCCCAGCTCCTGCGAAGACGAAGCCTGCTTTTGATCTGGTGCCAACGGCCGTCATGTTACAACAAACCAAACAACAACATAAAGAGGAACGCGACAACAAATGTAGGTTTATTTTGTTATAGAAGACAAAATGCAATGAGTTCTGAAGCTTTGAGAGGATGATAAGTAGATTTATAAAAACACATTTAAAATGTATCTCCTGCGACGTTAGAGCTTTGGGTGCTACAGTTCAGAAAGCTTTTAAAGTTTGAAAATACTATGGTTTTGAAATTTCAGCGCCTAGCACGATAACAGATAAGTCGCGGAGCGGGTCGTCAACCTCACTAAATGCCAGACGATCCTCAAATCCTCCAGACTCTCAGATTCCACTAAATTCTACCCCAACTCCTTCAATGATGCCTCCTTTCATGGGTGCACCACCACAAATGGGACCGTATGGTTCGGCTGGATATGCACAGATGGGTATGCACGTCTTCCCGGTACCACATCCACTTGGTGAGACCTGATATACAATGTTGTACACAGTTTTTTGTGAATTTGTTTGGTGATTGATGTTGTACATGTGATATGTTGTATATCGAGGTAGACTGGGCGTTGTGGTCGATTTTTATTGATATTATTGTAATTGATAGCTGTTTTATAATTTAGTTTTTTGGTTTTAAATTGCATGGAACTTTTCGTTTTGAACAAATTTTGTAATTTTTTAAACTTTTTGGCTAAAACTTTAAATTGTAGAGTTGTTTTATAGTTTATTCCTTTTCTGGTTGATTTTATATTATGGTAAATAGTTTTAGCGTTACAAATGGAAGCCAAAAGGCTACAAGAAGCTCACCAAAGAGGCGATTCGGCCGCCGTCGCTTATCTCCAAAACAGTATCCAAACGCAGCTACAGGCTCTCACTTGTCTTCAGAATGCAGCAGCTCAAAACATGGCTCAGGGCGGGTATCCGATTGGTCATTCACTACATTTAATGCAACAGAAAGCTGGAGAATGCCCACCTAATGTAAGTCAACTTTTTAATATAGAATTCTTTTTAAATTAAGATTGAGGACACTTTTGTAAAAAAGCGTATTAAAAAAGGTTAAAATTTTTACGCTAACGGTTAAAGTAATGTTAATTAACATACGGTTCTTTTTTTAGTATCCCGGTCCAATTGGTGGAATGCAGCCAGAAGAACCTCCTCGAAACTCTGGCGGTCTCCCTTCGGTGTTTCAAAAGTTGTCGCAACTTCACGATCAACAAAGAAACGTTCCTTCCAACCTTTCCATCTTGAACAAACTTCCACCCAATGTTCAGCCATTGACCGTAGAAGAGTTGGAGAAACAGTTGGCGTCGTCATAAGTGGATTCAGCTTTGGAGTTTTGTAGCGTAGAATTCTGAAGTTTGTTAATGCCGGCTTTTGAAGTTGGACATTGTTTTGAGCACTAATTTAAGATTTTTAAAGTTTCTGCGTTTCTATCAATGTTTGATAACGTCTTCTGAAGCGATTTCCGAAGTCTGTGTACTTTTTTGAGGGTTTTGTTGTATCTTAATGCTTTGTTTTATAAATTTTACACTGAAAAGGCCGGTTGTACTGAGACGGTTCTATCTGGATGCTATTTTATCATTGTATGTTCTCTTTTCTGCAAAGGATTTATTAGGTTTCGTTCTTTGAAACCCATTGAACGATTCTTTTATCTGCTACTGGCCATATAATTATTTTACCCAGGCCACGAGCTTTTTTAGCTGTTAATCCTAGTCCAGCGATGGCGGAGTACCATAAACCGGTGAAAGGTACCAGTTGTGTCACTCATGGTACTCATGTTTTAAGTAAAAGTAGATTGTTAGCTAAGGTTTTGTATAGTCTAGTACTGCTTTTTAAGTACCACTTGAAGGTATTACTTACACTGTACCAAGAGCAAACTGGTACCACTCGATACCTTGCATTTTCTCATTCCGTCCACCGTCTGGACTGATACCTTTTCCAAACGGGGATTGTATTATCTGATTATTGTTACGCGTCTATCTTATTTATTTTGTTGTCTATATGATCCGTGTATTTGGTTAGTCATTAAACGAACAAGATATCCACCATTCGGTCGGTGAGTCGACTAATATATATTATGAATATACGAATAAATGGAAAGCAGTATTTATTAACTTGGAATACACTTAGAGTGATATAGGTATTATACTATGACTTAACTACATACATGTATAAGAGTAGTTTAATGATGAATTTAGGCAACTTTTTTAAATTTAGCTTTATCTTATTGTTAGATAGCAAATGAGAGCAGTTATGCAATGCAAGACGTATATTTTATAATTATTTTAAGATTATTTATATTAAGTTAGTTGGACCCGTATTGTAAGTTTTTTTAAGAAGAGTTTTAGTTTTTGGAAGATTTAGGTAACAATCAGATGTGTTTTATCATAGTTACTGTAGTATAATGTTGTAAGAGTGCCATTATGCTTGTACGGGTCGCTTTAACGTGGCATTTCGATCCATATTACGTGAGGAATGACTCTAAACATCTCATGATTATAAACTTCTAATTACCATAACATTTTTTTACGTTTGATAGCACTTGTGACAAAAACTATTAGTTTGTTCAACTAATTCTGTGCCCCCTTTTCAAAGCAAATTTTTAGGATTAGAAACAGGGAATTATTTGCAGCCTAATATTGTAAAACTTACAGGAGTAGTAGAAGGAGGTCGGCTACTTGAAGCACTGCCAGTCACACTACTATCTCTAGCACCAAAGTCTATTCTGGGCGCCGCTCGCGCTTTAAAATCGAGTTTTTGGGTCGGAATTCGTTTATCACCACCTCCTGAAAGTCAAGTTTTTTAAATTTTAAAAGTGATTGAACTGTATGTATTGTAAAGTTCCTTAAACCAATGTTTTTAGTAATGGCATTGTCCTATTCTAATGCAATTGACACGTTAAGAAAGATTATATTCATGTTATACTCACCTGGGACATGTTGAATATTAGCCAATGAACCGATTCGACTTCTAGCTTCTACTTTGACCGGTTTGTTCAGGATCTTGACTTGAGATGGAGGAGGTTTGTGGCTGGAGTGTGAGTCGACTCGGCTAAAATGTTTATAATAATATAAGTTCCTATTCTGACTTTTGGAAAACTGAAAACTGTTGTTATAAATTAGTACGTTCACATAATTCTGTGCCTCTTCTCAAACCAAACTTTTGTGGTTAGGGTTGCAGAATTATTTGAACAACCTTATATTACTGGATGTATTTTGCTTCGATATATGAAGAGTTAACTGACCTTTTAACATGTGCATATCTGTTCTTCATCGGTGGCAGGCTGGGTTCTCTTTTACTGGCATTTGAAGCGCTCGAAGCCTGGGAACCTGGTCGGACCGAAGCCGAACGCATTCTGAAATCAAAAGTTAGTTACTCAGCTGTTAAGGTTTTACTATTTTCCTTACGACATTATTTAACTTGTGGAAACGCTTAAAAACTCGAAAGATTGATCAGAAGGTGATTAGAATCTGGTAAACTGTGCCTTATAAACTTAAAGTTTTAAAAGAATTAAAAATGGAAGAGACGTTATGCGTTGTATAGCTATAAACCATAAAAATGATATATGAATTCATTATTGAATAATATAATATAACTTGTACGGTCAAGAATTTTACAGAAAATAATAAAAAATGGATTCTACTATTTTTTGCTGAAGACATAAATGTTTTTTACCTAAAGACCGTTATAATAACAATATTGTCTAATCTCAATGCCATTTCTACTTAAAACAATAAAACCCCTCTCAACAACACAACATGGAACATACAAACATAAATTACAGTAGCTGTATTCATGAAAAAACCCTTATAATGTCAGCCATTATTACGAAAAAAATAATTCCAGAGCAAAGTAAAATCAGAACAATATCCGAAAGTAATCCATTGAAACGTTTGGATTAAGGCTAGCGACACAAAATGACGGCTAATTTCTGTTTTATTATTCCAATCCGATAAAAGTATTACTTTGCAGTAAAAGACGAAAGTAATGGTCAAAGAATATTGTTATTGGGCAATAATGGCATCTTTAGAGTGTAAAGAGCGGTCAAGAAATTTATGGAATGAGTTTTCGAAAAAAATCGGTCAGAAATTTTGTGGAACACTTTATACAACAGAATCGTATTTACAGGTCAAAAAGTCCATAGAATGCAATTTTACTTAAAAAAACTCGGCTCCAGGTCAAAAAGTTTATAGACTGACATTTTAAATTAAAAACCTCGATTTGCGGTCGAAAAGGACATAGAACATTTTAATCTTATAGGTAGAGTAGAGTAAGAGATGAGGTACAAGCAATAAAACAAGCCACAAACCTCACAAAACCAAATAGTTGTTTTGCGTAAATCTCTGAGTAATTTGCTTTACCATAACAGTAAATAAAGTAATGTCACGATAAGTCTTTTTGTAAATATTACAAATGGCTTTAAAGGTGAAATATGCTTATTACCCATTCACAACTTGTTTTGTCATAATCCAGCAAAAAACTTGTTTATTGTAGACAAAACTTTGTTAGTGGGCTTTTAAGTTAGGGTTTTTGAAAAAAATTTGCTCGGCTAGCAATTTTTTAAAAATATGCAAATTTCAATCAATACAAAAGTTTGCGCCAACCGGGATTCGAACTCGGGCCTCTGCCTTGGGAGGGCAGCGTCCTAACCACTGGACTACTGGCACGTTGAAACAAATAAAACCCGACAAAAATAAAAGCCAGGAGGGTACCCGGCTTCTCATGGATGTGGGAACGGCAAAAATTACGCAAAAGACCTCAAATTTCGAAGAAAAAATCACAAAAATAAGCAGTTTTTTGGCCGTAAATGAGAGAAATCATAAGAAAAAATAACGTTTACTAGACTATAATGTGTCATCTATTTTCTAAATTATTCAATTTGTTATCTTTTCCTACTATTTATTATATTTTCTATCTCAAAAACTACCCTAAAATTGTCAACTTTGTTCCTTCACTTCAACCCCAAACCCCATTATTGTAGCACTTTAAGGCCCTAATGACGCTCAAAACGTATCTGCAAACTTTTTGCTGAGTCCATTTCTGGTGGGTACATGAAAAGAAAACTGAGATTTTCCCGGAGGCGAGGGAAAAGGGGCCTGAATCGCTCTTCACTCGCGACAAAAGATGGCCTCTGAATGGCCATCCGTTTATTAGATTCGAGGGATTACTCGGCCGTGAAAAGTTGGACAACTTTTAACTATATTACCTTGCACCTGGCTCCAATTTGGTGTAAGGACCTTTCTATTTAGAAAAGGGTCTTTCAATGTAGTATAGGAATCTTGTGGAAGGCTAATTGAGTACATAAAGGTTGGATTTTTTGGGCTTTTGCACCGTGCAAACATTTAATATTCTGCACTGTGCAGACGTGAAAGTTTAAAAGATTTTTTTTAATTTTTTAAAAACTTTTAAAAACTTAATATTATGAAAAACATAGAATATATTGTATGAAGATAGTAAAAAGTTATATATGAGGTCTGAAAGTTCATGCAGGATTTTTTATGCGAAAAACTAAAAACGCTTGCACTGTGCAAAAAAATATAAAACGGTTAGTAAAATACGAGGTGTAGTCCCAATCGAAACAAAATCTAAGAAAAATAAAGTAAATTGGTTCATGTTATAACAAAATTGTTAGAAAATTTCCAAAAATTCTCTAAAAAGTGCCATACCCAAAAATAAAATAAGTCTGCACGGCGCAGTTAACTTCCAAGTTTTAACAAAAAATATTGTTCCACCAATCTTAACACTGCAGAGTAATAAAGTTTAGGACGAAAAGTAAAAGTCTTATTGTCTCCATCTGGCCATAACTTTAGGAATGTCAAAAAAGCCCCGGAGGCGATAATATTCGGCATCCCCCATGGGAACAGCACTACTACTTTATTATTATAAGCCTTTTTATTAAGAATTCTGGGCTAAAATTGGATTCGGCTTTAGTTAGGGTTAACTGAACTTCATTTTGTTGTGGCGGGGTAAAACTTGGAGTTTTAGTTTTGCACCGGACAGTTAGTTATATGAGGTTGCACGGTTTAATATTGCAAGATATAAATTCATTTTTTTAAAATTTAGGTAATAAATAAGACTTAAAATGCCACTTTCTTCCTAAAAACCAAAAAAAAATTTTAGGTAAGAAAACTTAAAAAAACACTATAAAATGGCATATTTTTAAGTGAAATCTCATCTGTTTCCCATCAAAACCCTTATGAAATGCCAAAACATAACATATAACAAGATGTATACATAAAGCAGTACAACATTTCCCTAATAAAAGGTTTTACGAAGCCGACGGATCCGATTTCCTTAATGTTTGCCAGAATTCGCCAAATATGGCAGCTTATGGAAAGAGTTATTTGTGGCCGAATATTTGGCCGTTTTTCGAATTTTGTTGTTTTTACACTCAATTTGGCACAACAAAAAAAGAGAAAATGCAAAGTAAAAAAGTAGAGGAAGAGGACACGTGCTGTGTATAAAAAAGTAATATACATCGGGGGCTTTGTTACACTTGACTTCAGATGGCCTCAGGGCAGAATTGTTTTTTGGAAGATAGAAACATGTAGTAGTATCAAAAAGTATGTAGATAGTACGTGTATAGATTATAAAGTAAAACGATGAAGACACCGTGATTCATATAGACTACATAGAAAAATAGTAGACTATGTTGATATATATAGACTACACAGTAAAACGACATTATCAATATGTAGATAGACTGTATATTAATAAAATGACAGACTTACCGTAACGTAGCAACTTATATAGTAGAATGAAAAAAACTTACCGTGAGCTAGCCCTGGATGGCGGACTGGGCGGCACATCAAAGGCTTGGGCAATTTGCTCTCGAGGCGTTAAGTCTGTCCTCATACGTGTCAAACTGTTCGAAGGTGTAAATGGCGGCCTAAAAGTTTTGCCATAACAACAATATATTGTGCCAAAAACTTAGATTATGCTTTTACGATTTAGTAATACTAAAGTGGCATTTTAAAGAAATATTTAGTAGTACTACAGTGGAACTTTTCTATAACGAATTGCTTAAAAGTTTAAATTTATTTGTTATAAAGTTGTTCGTTTTACAGGAGTTCTACTGTATTTTGAAAATTCAGTATCCAATTCTAAACAAATCGTAATATAATGTCAAATCCTGTTTACTTATAGCATTCTAGGCTTAAATTTCATGTCACATTTTATTGACAAGACATTAGCCACAATAACTTACCGAAAGATGGCGCCGCTTTCAATTAGCTCCGATTTGAGGCTTGACAGTCGTGAAGATCGCCTGCGGTGCGGGAAAATTGGCTCACCATCTGGAAAGAAAGTAATTGCGCGTATGTCAGTTACATTACAAAATTAAGCATTTGAAACCAAAAACATACAAAATTTTGAGTAATAAATTTAGAAAATAATTTTCAAATTGATAAAATAAAAAAAATGTAATATGTTACCTGAAATAGTATTTGGACTATTGAGATTAGAGTTGATGTCAATTGAACAAGAAGAGTCCGGGTCAGGACTTACTGACAGTTTTATGTAACTAACTTCACTTCTGGCTGAATCCTGAAACAAATTTTGAAAAAATAGTAATAATTTTTGAAAAACTCAAAAATTTTTTTTACATATTGAAAACAGTTCAAAAAGTCAAAAATATGCAAATTTATAGCAAAACAAAAAGTTTGCGTCAACCGGGATTCGAACTCGGGCCTCTGCCTTGGGAGGGCAGCGTCCCTGGACTACTGGCACGTTGAAACAAATAAAACGCGGCAAAAATAAATGCCAGAGGGTACCCAGATTCTCATGGATATGGGAACAGAGGAAACGGCCAAAAAAGGCCGAAAATTTTGTGAAAAGAATTGCTGTAATATCAAACTTTTTTAAACACAAATAAGCCAAAAATTAGGATTTTTCGGCAAAAAGAAATGAAAAAGACAACAAACTTTGGCAAAAACACAAAAATAATTTTTTATACAAAAAAAAACAAAAAACTTTCAAAAACTTTGTATTTTGTAACAAGAAGTTGCCCTACAAGGCCGTTGATCAATATGACAATAACAGTTTTACTGTACTTATTGCCTTAATGCATCTACGGTAAATCGAAACCTACCAAGCAAGCTAAAACTCCTCTCCTTACCTTATTCTCAAAGTCATCATTCAAAGGTATGGTCAAGTCAATTTCGCCGAAACTTTCGACCGTCCGCGAGCACTGCATCCCTTCTCAGCGTGAACGTTGTGGAACGATGAAAGTGTTTGAAAAGTTTGAGGAAATTAAACTTTTTACAGCCGAGTTTATAGAGTAGGGCGTTAAATTGTTTTCGAAAAGTGGGATAGGGCCAAATCCAATCAAACAAGTGGAATATAAAACTAAAAATACTCGCCCAACCATTAAACTTGTACATCTACGTAGTCTACTGTCTCTGTAAAAGGGCATTTTGAATTATGTTTGTTAGATTGAATTTAAAAATTGTGTTGTTGTAAACAATAATATAAGTTTTTTATTCGTTGCATTACTGCTATCTACTAACAGAAACAGTATAATATTATAGTACATTATTTACTGTAGACAAGCATAGTTCACAAGTAAAAAGTAAAGTTTACTAAATTGAATGGGCTTGTAAAAGATCTATTTTTAAAATTTTGTTTACTATACGTTGATTACTTGTATTATACAATATACTGCAATGTACTTGTAAATATATTGGTATTTAAAACATTTCATACCAGGAAATGTTTTTATATAAGAGTGCTAAGAAAGTCTTGGCGTAAATTTTCATTTCTTTAGCCGTTTAAAAACGTCAAGATTTTTGAACCGTACTAATAAGTTACTAATAGTAGAAGTAAGGTGTATACTGCCATTTCATGTGTTTCTTATAACGAGAAAAGTTATAAATACATATTGTTTTACAAATCTAGGCATATTATTGTTAATATTGGCTTTATTACAGAAAGTTTATTCTACAACAATTAAAATTTAAAATGCAAACTTTTTACTAAACAATATAACACTTTATAATCGAGTTATGAACGCATGTGTTGAGTAGCATTCAGGCAAACTTTAACCAGAACACAGAATCCCAGAACTAGAAACACGATTGTCATGACTTGAAGAACAACATCTTTGACATAATGTAGGTCATCTTCCTGTTCTTGCTGCATCTTTATTCCTAAAAAGTATTATTAGTTAACGGGGAAAGAAACCAACCTGCTCTACCCAGATGCATCTCAACACCTTTTTATAAATCCTTTGCACTACCACTAATGCACATACGAAATTATAGCTCGCGCGTTTGCGTCTTTAACATGAAATGCTTGTGTATTCCGCCAATTTGACAAATTTGGCGTTGTGTTTTAAGCGCGTTTTTTGCTTTCCTACGCTTACAAAAAAATATAAAAAATGTCAAAGTTATAAGCTTTAAAAACAATGCCAGTTTAGCGTAAAATTGAAAAAGTAATTTTTTGATTTCGGTTTCCTTAAGATTAACTGGAATGCGCAATTTGTTGAAGCTTTTATATTTACGTGATCTTTCTTTTAAAAATTTGAATTTAATCAGAGCAGGACAGGTCGGGCACCTTCCTCGTAAGTATAGTACAATAAAGCTTGTGTAAAATACGCGTTTCCTCTTTTCATCTTCAAAAAGTGTCTCAAAGATAGTTATGGTGTATTAACCGTAGTACATTATCCATCTGTCATGAGAAAGATTTACTTTCTTGTAAAATTTATTATAAAGCTATAGTAACATTAACATCAAACATATTAGATTTAGGTATATTTGCAGTAAAAGTTCTATAAGAATAGTACGAGTAAGATTAAGGTACAATATTATAAAGTTCTTTCTTTAACTTTAAATTATAGGTATGACACAAAAAATAAACATCGCAAAAATGTTGAATTCGACATTCTGCGTGGTACTCAATATTGTTGTGATTAAAAGGTAACTCAACATAAGAGTTCTGAAAGTTTATTATATAGTCAGTGCAATCTTTCTTTATTTTTTAAGTAATGTAACGTATATGTACTATCTTAATACCTTACAATAAACAATTTGTTTAATGTCGCTCTAAATATCGTTCTAAGTGGTCACCTAATACAATATACTCTGTAATTATAGTATGGAAGCTACATTAAAAAAATTTACTATGTGACTACAATACAAAACCTACAATATAAAAGTGTACGATGCAGCTACAGTATAAAATCGACAGTATAAAAGTGTACCACAATACAAAAATATAAAAAATATAATTGAAGTTAAACTAATACTTTTAAAAAAATGTTACAACTTACAGAGTACTTATCGTGATATGTTGTAGCGTTTATAACATACGCATTGGCTGCCATATTAAATGGTGGTAACTGCAATAAGCAGAAAATCAATAGGACTACAGTAACCATAGCAATAAATCCAAAAGAAAACCATTTAAACCGTTCTCGATATAAATGGTAATCTGACGACGCTATCTTTACTATGTTAATATCTACTGGCATGTTAGTAAAATATTTAGCTTATAAAAGGTTGTATGTAGTTATAAAATACGATAATACTACAGCATAGTAAATCTAAAAACAATAGTAAAATTTATAGTAAATTTCAATGTCAAACAATGTTCAAGTTCAAGATAAATGCAAAAGGCTTGTACAATAAAGTAATCAAATTAGAATACAAAAATAGGTATAATATAGGTATAAAGATGTAATAACTGGTTTCAAACGATAATTACTCTGTTTGGAACACAATTTCACATAGATACGCCCCTGTTCATAATGTTTACGTAGTAAACCCGAAACGAAACGTATACAAAAATACTGTATCTACGTATCATAGTACTGTGTAGACTTTACATAATCATTATAGTATTGTTAAAAAAACTTTGTGAACATATCTTATATTAAGTCGTTCAAATAATTCTGTGCTTGAACTCAAAGCGAATTTTCATAAGGGCACAAAATTATTTGAAAAACGTATGGTAAGTCGTAGCACTATTATAGGTATCAATTTAAATACCTTACTTAGTAAAGCTTTGAAACGTAGTAAAATGAATGATGAAAAGGTATCATCTCCAATTTTGTATTTTATGCGAAAAAAATCTGTTTTCAGCTTCAGTTAATCGAATGAATGGAGGTAGAAACATGATGAATATAACTATCGCCAAGCTGATCGAAGCCATGCCCACTCCAGCCAAAAACCAGATAATTCTCTCCTGCCATGCAAATTTGCGATACTGAGCGATTTGGAATGGCTGAACATTAAAACTGGCTATCTACAACATATTTTACTTTGATAATTTAACATTATTATATGAGATAATATTATTATAAGCAATAATTAAGCATGAAGAAAGTCTTGTCGTCGATGTAATTGTTTTAAACTATAAAAAAGAGACAAGACATTTTCGATTCTCTAAAATATGATTAGAAACATAGAAATTGATACCTAATAACTAAATATTTAACAAAAAAACTAAAAATAAACAACTAAACTATGTACTATAAGATGTTATGTTACCTAAAATAAGTTCTACTTACTTCCATAACCCGCAAATCAAACCGTAGTAAGTAAATAAGTATAGAACAAGAAGGATAATGACAATGTAATACATGCAATACATGCTGAATGTAGTAATTACTCTTGTTTCGTAAACATTTTTAGAAAATAGTATGATGTAACTAATGGCAAGGTAGTAAAACTAGTTTCCGTAATTATATATTTTCACTATATTATAGATGAATATCTTTTTTTGTACATTACTAGATGTCATAAAAGTTTTGTCGTCAATTTACATTACTTTTTACGTTACAAAACGACAAAACTTTGCTGAGGCTTATACTATTGTACCATATGTTGCACTAAAAAGACAGTATTCCAATATATTGTATTACTTATCACACACCAACCTCTGAAAACATGTATTTACTCTAGTAAATATGCAAAGTATATATTCAACAAATTATACAACATGTCAGTGTCATTCATCGCCAACTCTACCGCCGAGTACCATCCTCGAAGAAGATACCACCATCCAAAGCACAGTACTTGGGGCAAATACCACGCTCGCCTTGAGGACCAGGGTGACCTTGTTGACCAGCATCACCTGGTTTACCTGGTAAACCTGGATGTCCGGATGGTCCCGATGGTCCTGGTGGTCCAGGTTGTCCTTCCGATCCTGGTCTTCCTGGTTCTCCAGCATCTCCAGGTAGTCCTGGTGGTCCTTGGTCGCCTGGTGCTCCTGGGTCACCTGGTAGAGCTGGAGTGGAGATGGCTGGTCGTCCTGGATCACCGCGTGGTCCATCTCGGCCTGGTTCACCTGGTGAGCCGTTTGGTCCTGGTGGTCCTTGTGGGCCTGGAGGTCCGTCGTTTCCGGCACGGCCTGGATGTCCTGGTGGGCCTGGGTTGCCTGGTTCACCGGTTGGGCCTGGTGGTCCAGACTCTCCTGGTGGGCATGGGGTGCATGGGGGCTCGGTGACTGCTTCGCAAATGCTAAAAAGATCAATTTAAGCACTTAAAATCTTAAAAATAAGTTTATAGGCCTAATATATAAATGATAACGTGCTATCTTTGCCAAATTGCTTTAGGTTAAACAAAAAATTTTAAAAATATTATTAAAAATAAAAAACTAAAAATTAACTTACGCTGGTGGCCTTCCAGGGAACCCAGGTGCTCCAGGTGCGCCCGGTCTGCCAGGGATTCCGTTACGGCCCGGTGGACCGGCTGGTCCGGGTAATCCAGGCAGACAGCATCCTGAAAAGTAAAAATAAAAAAAGAAACGGGAATTGGGTTAATACAGTAACGAACTGGTTTGATCGTTCTTAACTCGGGATTAGCCGGTTTTTTGTTTGAACGATCCGATTCAGGAATCTGGTAATTGATATATTAACCAAGACACTGGTAGAATGTCATCTATTGTAGTGTCATAAAAATGGCGTTTAAAAGTCAATAGCCTGACAAAAAATTATATTTTAGAGTTATAAAGTACTGTAATAGTACGTAAGGCAAAATTTAAATTTTTACTTCACAAGTGCCTCAGGTTTTTAAGAATAACATAATATTTGACATAGTAAACCCACCTTCACACTGAACAGCATGTCTCTTCGTCCTGGTCTGATTGTTTTGTAAAAAGAATGGCAGTGCTGTAGGAGCATCTTTTGGAATTACTACTGCACGATACTGGTTCATCTCCATCATAACTTCTTTTGCTGACATCTAAAACATTAAAATAGGTTTTAAACTTTAAAAAATGGACTGAAAATGCTTAAAATAACTAGAAATGACATTCTTTTACTAATTTTTGGTACTCTCACAGCACTGTTATCCCTCAAACAGTAGAAAGTGACAATTTTTAAACGTTTTAAAATACGTAAACAATTCTCTACTCCTCTTCGCTAGTCATTTTATGAAATAAAAAAGTCATTTGAAATTAAAATCCATAAAAATTCAGCAAAAACTTACTTTACAAAACTCCATTTCGTGATAAACCCGGTTGTGAACACTGGATATGTAATTGTTGACCATAGGCAAAGTGATAAAGACCGCTGCTATCGCACATAACGACAATGAGACAGCTGAATAGGCCACGAACCTATAGGCCCGTTCACGGACATCTGATTCCACTAGCATAGTGGAATCTAAATGTGCTGAAAGTGAATAGATGAAAGAAAAATACTTTTGTTAAAAAATGTAAATACGGTAATAGTGTTTGGTAAAATACTACTGGGACAACACTAATCCAAAATTTTTAAAAATATTATATAAATTTCACCGTACAAAAAATATAAAAATTTTGTGATTTTTTTAAATTTAAAATTCAATTATAAAAAATTAAAACAACCACGCAAATGGTGTAAAAGTAAATATTGTACAACGTTTTTTGTACACTAACCATTTTTAAAAGTTTTTTTTTAACTTTAAACCTTCATTTCAAAACTTTTTTTTATAAACTGCACAGTGCACTAACTTCAAAAATCCTGAACTTATTTTAAAAATTCAGGAAAAAATAGATATTAGTATTGTATTTATTGTATTTCATTAACGATTTTCAAGTCACGCAGTACTTTTAACAAACTTTTAAATAATAAAACATGTAGAACCAGCACGATCAACAAGGTATGTAAGTAAAGCAAAGTGTTGCTTAAAACATGATCAAATATATAAAAAAAGGTTAACGTATTTATTTGTAAAATACGAAAAACGCAACAATGATTGTTTAAAATCTTTATTAGCAAAAACTTTTTTAAAAAAACTTGATATGTCGATTTCTACTGTTGCCAGCAGCTCTAAGTACATGTACCTCAACGAAGCAGACGCTTCAAAGTGACAGTACAAACTTAACTTTATATTATAAGGCACTAACCCTCTAATAATTTTAAAAAACTAATCATAGCTCAAGTGGTTACTTTTACTACACGTTGACACACGTAATATGATCTTTCACCTTGCCTTGACACTCCACCTTACCGTGCTTCAAGCACCATTTCTAACACAAGCGGTCCCAGCCTTAACATAAACACCACTTCTAACATACCACACTACGTCTAAAACAACGATCAATTTATCACTCTACCCTACCTAACACAACTAACAGCCTTAAAACAACCGTCATCCCTAACTCAACTACTACTACCACAACTCGCACCCTCAACACAATCACCAACCCGCACCCGCTCTCACCGACCGGCTGTCAGCGACAAGAATACGAAACAGAGTGCAAGAAAGTAACTCCCATTGCATAACGTGGATGTGAAACAAAGAGTAATCAACAGGAAATCACGGAAAGGCGATTCTGAAGAATACAGTTCTTCCGTTTAATCGGAGGAAATCGACAACGACACTCGACAGAAGGAATCGCCCGCTTAAATGGATCCATAGTCGGTTCGGAGACGTCGCTCCAACCGGCTTCAGATTCCCCACCCACTTTCCGACGATCCCATTTTTGTAAAAAGTATATTAACATGAACAAAGACAAGAAGAAAGTGATTAGGCTGAGGAGGAAGGTGTTAGCTAATGTTGCCTTCTGAAATTAGGTCGAAGTTGAATATTTTGTTCGGGTTAGAGTATTGATATGATGTAGAGTATAAAAGTAACAAAACATCTCAGAAAAACATTAGCACTACCAATACAGTATAAAGTTATGTCAGCTTTTCTAATATATTTCATTTTCTCTACTATAACATAGATTTTAAATTTAAATCTTCGAATAAAAAAAGGGTTTTTAAAATTTCGTTTTTCATATTAGTTGTTAATCGTAAGAACGTTGTCTTGCGCTGTAGAAGAATACAAAAGAAGCTCTTGACATGTAGCGTCTATTTTGATGTTTTCTTATAAAATGTTTTCATAGTCTAATTGTTCAAACATCAAATTACTAGAAAACATTATTTTTAGTTATAAAATCAGAAAAAAAACTAGAATCAGTAAAACTTTTGGAAAAGACATAACATAAAAAGTGACAAAAATACCTACTAATATATACATATAAATACTTCTTTTTAAACTTACCAGCATTAAAAATTACATTAGAATTTCTGCATAACAATCTCTTTAATAACAAAACTTCTGTATAACAAATTGTCATCTATTGAAACTCTTGTACAACACACTCTTAAATACTGAAACTTCTGTATAAAAAAATGCCACAAACAGGGCCGAGCGGGGACTTTTGGTCTGGGGGCAGGGGTCCAAAAAATCGGAGCTACCTGTGCCGATTTTTTGCAAAATTTTTTTTCCGAAAATCCACAGGGGGGACCACGTTCAACTTTTTTCAAAAATTTTTTTCTGGGGGAGGGGGTACCCCTCCCCCCCCCCGTCCCCCCTTGTTACAAAGAAGTTTTAAATGTCCTGCCTAACGCTGGTCGAGAATTTAAAAGTTTCTTGTTATACGAGATCTAGGTTTTTCATACAAAAGCGGCATTGTAGCAACTTTTGAATTTTTCAAAATTTGAGCTAATGATTCCGGAAAAACATTAAAAAGTTAGTGGAAGAGAATGTCAAGTAAGACAAATTAAAAACAATGAAAAAAGTATTTAAATTTTCCTACATTCTTTAATAAAACTTTTTTTGGTATACGTGATCAGGCAGTGAAAAAAAGCAGTAAAAACAGCAAAAAATTTTTGAAAATTTTAAAAATGCGTCAAACATGAACTTTTTTACTGTTATCTTAATCAGTTTTAACAACCTTTAAAAATCCAAGCTACCCACCTCACTTTTTAATCAAAACAACCACAGACAATCGTAAATCAAACCTAAACCAATTAGCGACGTTGCAACAACAATAACTCATAAAACAAACACCACAGTTACATTTTAATAAATTAATTAGCTTAATTGTGTGGGTGAAGGTGACAGAAATGCTCTTTCTTCCCTTCTATTGTAATGTAATTGCAGTCCTCATTATACGTCATCTTACTGTGGGACTGATTTCCTTTTCGGTCACACTTTCACGCGAAAAAACTTACAATAATCGGACTGACGGATATCACGGATTAATGCGAACGGTTACATGGGGATGTTGTAGTAGGGAGCTGACAAAAGATGCGTGTATAATTTTAAAAAACACATAAACGTTCACGTGTGGATTATGAATATAACATAATATAAAAAGTTGGATTATGAATATATACACGGTTAGAACTGTTACAGAAGTATATAAATATATATGACTACAGAGTATAAAAGTTCTTTATAGTTTAATTTTTTATGTTTCTTAGCTTCTAATTTACAAGAATATTGTTGATCTTTCTACCTTATACTGCTTTACGTGAGTGTAAACACCTGACCATCTTCTACCCACAAAATGTTAACTTACATGGAATGTACCCAACCTGCTCCGCACAAAATCCGCTCAAAATTTTGATGAGGTTTTAGTATCATTAGTAATACTCAACAGAAATTTTAGCTTGCGCTTTTAAGTTTTAAATTTTGGCATTGTGTATCAAGTACTTTTTTAACTTTCCAGACAAGCTTCGCTTACAATTTAAAAAAAGTTGGTTCATTTAAAGGTTTTCTACTAGTATATCAATGAAAAATAATTGAAAGCCAAAAAATTACAAAATTATAAGCTTGAAACAAAAAGCCAATTTGGCGGAAAATTCAAAATTTAACTTTTTAATCTCGGTTTCTTCGAGATTGGCTTAAAAGCGCGGTTTAGTAGTATGCTGAAGATCTTAAATTTACATTATCTTTCTATGTAAGAAGTCTGAACTCCATCAGAGCGAGGCAGGTCGGGCGCTTTCCTTGTTAATTTTCGATTGAAATTATATTGGTATATATTATCAAAACACTACTGGGTTTACTGCATAATGTTATCATGAAATTTACAAATACCAAACATTTTTTATTCTTAAAAATAGCAAACAAGCTGCTTGTTGTGTCCTATTAAAAAACTATGTTACTCAACAGTAAATTCAAACCAATGTTTGTTTAATGACTCACTAAAGTATTACTTACAGAAGAGTAAGATAATTTTAAATGGTAAAATACGGTTAGCTACTCATTTCAGTGATTTATTGTTTTACTTCAGTAATTGTCTCACTCATCAAAACACCGTATTTTACCTACAATTTTATATTTAAACTTCAAAGGTTGTTTTCACGTAACACTCTGTAAATTGTCGTATCTTCAAATCAATTTCTTTGTTATCATTCTGCAAAAACAAAAACTTTTTTTTAATTTATCAAAGTTATGATTGACTACTCCATAATTAGTCACCAAGTCGCGCAAAACTCGTCTACTTTTTACAATTTCGGTTTGAGTCATAACAACCAAGTCACAAGATGGGTTACTTTAAATAGCGGTCCAGTCAAGCGAACGGGTCATTCGGGATTTCACCTTGTTTTAGGTTTTAATGGGGTTGGAAGAAAGGTTTTTGGGTTATGGGTTGGGTGAAGCATTTGTTTGGTTTTGGGTAGAGGTAAGTTGTTTGGTAATCAATAAGAAAATGGGTTTTAAAATTGATTTTTATGTGTTTAAAATGGAAATTCAGTATCGTAAGATATAACAAACTCTTATACAGTGAAACCTCTATATAACGAATCTCTAGGGGAATTAAAATTTGTTCGTTATCAAGAGGTTTCGTTATAGAGAGGTTTAAAATGCACTATGTAATAATAGCCGGAGATTCAAAATTTGTTCGTTATAAAGGAGTTTCAACATATAAGACATTGTTATACAGAAGTTCCACTGGCTTTCTTAATGAAAATAAGTTTTAAAAAAAAATCTTTGCCACTTTTAATGTTATGTCTTGTTTCTTAAAATTACAAAATATTCAACATCCGTATTACTCACTGCCCCCATCTTACAAAACTCTCCGAGCATTAGTAAGCGTGCAATTGCTTTGATTAGCAACGGTTTTATTCGAATTCGGTGTCGTTTGGGGCCATTCCTCATCCGTGTTTCGCTCGTGACTCATCATATCCATTAGCCCCGCCTCCAGAAAAAGTGTTCGGCATTTGAGCTAAACGTGTCTTTGAACTACTTCTTATTAACTTGTAGACTGACTTTGAGACTACTCAGCGCTTATCTTTTTTGAACTTTTGCACTTTTAAAAAGTTTTTTGATATAATAGTAGGATTTTTTAATTTTTTTAGATTTTTTTCGAAGGTTGAAATGAAACCACAGAAATGTGAAAAGATTAACATATCATGACCTATTTTGGGCGTTTTTGATTGGGCGTGGTAAATTGTTTACTGTTAGGAAGGGGGAGGTAAATATAAAAAAATTTTAAAAAATTTCAAAAGTAAAATCTTTGGTTTACAAAGAAAATGCCCGACCCGCCTCGCTTTGGTTAACTTCAAACTTTTTATATAGAAAGACTATGTAAATATAAGACCTTCAGCCAAGTACTAAATCGCGCTTTTCAAAAAATTTTGAAAAAATCGAAATTTAAAATCTACTTTTTGATTTTTTTGCCAAAGTGGCATTGTGTTTCAAGCTTATAACTTTGTCATTTTTTTTACCTTTGATCATTTTTCTTTGATATTCTAGTAAAAAACTTTTAAATAGACCTACACTATTAAACTTGTAAGCGCAGCTTGTCTGGAAAGTCGAAAAAAGTGCTTGAAACACAATGCCAAATTTGTCAAATTGGCAGAAAACTGAAATGTTTGGAATTTCAAACTTAAATGCGCGTGATAAAAATTTTTATGAGTACTATTGGTAGTACAAAGAATTCATATAAACATTTTGGCTAGTTCTGAGCGGGGCAGATTGGGTACTTTTCCTGCTAGTTTTAAAAAAAGCAAACTTTCAATCTTTAGGGCCAACCAAGCCAGAGCGGTGCAGGTTGGATACTTTCCTTGTAAATCATAGTAAAATAGGATATATTTTTGCTTTAACTTTATAATTTTAAGCTTTGAAAAAAGTTTGTTTTTAATAATTTTATATTTTAAAATAAAAAATAAAAAAATATTAAAAATCTCGACGATAAACTGACTTTTTGCCCTCTAAAACACTAAAAAACAACTCAAAAACCAAAAAAAATTAAAAGTTTTGTCTATTTCAACTCTATACACAAACATTTCAAAAGGTATTTCGAACTTTATCACACGATCAAACACAACACACACGATGTTTGTATGTCACGTGGAACTTTTCACTTTGTTTTCACATTTAAAAAGTTTGTTGTTTAGATCTGTTTGTAACAAAACACTTTTAAATTCAATTAGTTCTGGCTTTTTTTGTTTACAGCGTGCTGTAGTGAACTATGTGGTTTTTATATATTAATGTAGGGCTTTTACTATGTAATGAGTTTTGGTGTCTTTATGTTATAGAGAATTCTTACTGTTCTAGGGCTGTTTGACTGTGTTTTGTGCTTTTTGATGGTAGGGGAAAGAATTTTTTTGTTGAATTTGGTCGTTTTCTTTCTAAATTTTTGTTATTGTATGTTTAAAAATGGCAAAACTTAACCTACTAATTTATTGTAGATACCTTACTACTATAATATACTTTATTTCAACCTAAAATTTTACTTTTTCTAATTTTTTAAATTTAAAAAAAATATTTTTAAATTTTTGTTTTATATCTGTTTCTCACCCCTACCCGCCCTTCACCGTGTATTAAACAACTTACCACGCCTAACGCTCAAAATACGTCATAATAAGTTAAATTTGTCACATCACCGTGGTAACTTTTAGATAACCTTGATTGTGTTTTTTGACCTTGGTTAATTTGATTACAATACTGTTTGGACTCACATTGATCTTTGTCATGTTTTTGGTTATAAAGATAGACTGTTCACTTTGATTCACTTTAATTTCATGTAAAGCATGTTTTTACATATTGACATAGGTTTGAGAATGACGTTTTTAAATTTACAAAACCATTTTTTGAAATTTGGGTTTTGATTTATGCAAATTATGTTTTTGTAAACTGACATAATATATAAGGTTTAAAATGGTTTTTTGGTTTTAACTCTAATCACTACCTTCTTACTCTTTATATGCTTTCTTCTATTGGCGCCATTTTATAGTTGCACCACTTTCATTAACAAAAATGCAGCATTTCTGTTAGTACCACTTTTCTAATGGTACGTTAGGTACATTAACTCTACTTTTTACTAAAATGTTACAAAGTCCACAACCTTCCCTCCCCCCCCCCCATTTTGCTGATAAACATTCCCTTGACAATAGACGTCTATTTCTGTGGTAACCTTATCACATTTATCGAAAAATAACTGAATCATCTTTGAGTCAAAGCCTCTTGATGAGTGGACAAAAGTTTCCGAAAAAGGATATTGTGACAGAACAAAACGTCATAATATCGTGTATCTTTTGTCAACAATTGGTGTTGTACAGGGCTTTGTACTGTTAGGGTAGTGGGATATATAAGGGTTCGTAAAGAGGGGGGGGAGAATGGTAAACGGTTCAATAAAGACCGCCAAAGCAATCCATTGTAGCTGTTACCAATGGGGCCCCATCCAGATGGTGCTGTTTCTCGAGTTACCGAGTTGTCGTAAGGTCCTTCTCAAGACTTCAGGCCGTAGTCGAAAGTCTGCGTAGGCTAAGAAACCGATTTCCCATAGTTTCCGTGCGCTCAGCACTTATCATTTATTTGTAAATTACTTTTTGGCATATTAATTTAAAATTAGTTCTTGCTGTTAGTATTGTTATAAACATATTAGTATGTCATAGTCTTGTGGCGCCTGGGCGTATTTTACAATAAACTTATTTTACTATAAACTGTTTTTGTTTTATTTTTACATTGTGAGTAGTTATAATAATATGATACAAGTTTTACGAATTTCTTCGTTTTTACCGCAGATTTTCAAAAAGATCTTTCAATTTTGAAGTAAATAGTTGACATATCATTTATATAGTTAAACTTTAGATAAGGCTATTTTGTAAATTTTGTATTAAAATGTTATCTTTTCCTCAAAAATAGCATCGGAAGTCCTGTTATTACCTATAACAACATCCTGTTCAATGTTTTGAACTTTAAAAAAACTATTTTGTACTTTACCATTACACTATTGTTTTACCGTGTATTTTTAACCCTATATAATTCTATTTTAAAGTATTTTTAATGCCATCTCATATCCAATTTAATAAAATTTTAAAGTTTTCAGAAATTAAAATGCAAATAAAAAGTTTGTTGATTGAGACGAGAGACAGACAGAGGTATATGGTGCCGATGGACGTGATCAAGATCGCTGACAGTTTGAAGCACATAATGGATGAAGACGATCGGAATCCAGCTGATCCTTGTGCTTTACCGTTGATTAAAAGCGGCGTCTTCAAGAAGATTCTGGAGTGGTGTCTGATGAGAGAAGGTAATAGTTTGTATCTATTGATATTACCCATCTTTATTGTCGTATCTTTCTTTTACTAATAGAAAATGGGCTGTAAACTTATATCGTCAATTAAGACAGGGTAGGGTAGACATAGTTATTCATTTTACTAAAGTTCAGCCTAAAATACGAATTTCAAAAAATTTGAATTCAAATTTCCCGCCAAATTGGCATTGTGTTTAAAAAGCTTATATAGGTACAGAAATCTTTCAAGATTCGAAAGAATATGTCAAAAAGGCCTTGAAACAATGACATTTACCTAAAAAATTCAAAGATATAATTAAAAAATTTTAAATTTAAAAAAGTTTTTAAAAAAATCAAAATTCAAATTTCCAGGACTAACCGAGCCAGACTTCGACCCAAAAACCCGGCCTCAAATCAAACTCTGCCCTCAGGCCCTTTCCAAAGCCGAAGAGATGTTCTTCGACATGCCTCCACACGAAATGGCAGAGTTGTCGCGGGCGGCCGACTACCTTGGCATCAAATCTCTACAGCTTTACATCCACTTCATCTCACGGTTCTACTGAAATCTCAACACATACCACAACATGATCTCAGGTGCTATTTCATTTCACTTAAATCTCGGATAAAGTTAAACTATAAAACTAAGGGTAATATACAAAAAGGTACCATGATAGGAAGTTGGAAGTGTAAAAAGCGGTAGTGTAATTTAAAGATATTAATATTCAATTTTAGAAGTCAGAAAGCCATTAAATTTCAAAATATTCAAAATTTAAAAAATTCTCGCTAATCCAACTACAGTAATATCAATAACATTATAATACCGTATAACAATTAGTGAAAACGCAACGTTAATATGAGATATGAACAATAAGAAAGTAGAGCTCTTAACAATAACCCGTAGTGTTAACAATGAAGTAGACGTTGTACTACTGTAATTACAATATAAAAACTGTACACACCGAAATAAAGTATCCGTTAGACTCAAGGGATATCCGTACACATAAGGCGGTAAAATGTTGTGTTAGACTGTAAAATAGGTCAAAAATTATATCGAAGAGGTCATCAGAGTGAAAAATGTATAAGATACGTCATCATTTTTAAATTTCATAGTAGAAGACAAAGAATAGTATTCTGAATAGAAACACTAAGCACGGTAGCTGTAGGACGGTTTAGAAGACAATATACAGTAAGATATATTACCGTAAAGATATTATGCTTCGTATTCGTACTGAATAAGTACTAACGATTATAAGGTACTAAGGGCTAAGATATTCACAATAAACTCATCATCCCCTTCTCACCCCTACATATTATTCGGGTACCGTGAGAGATCAACTTCAGCAATAGAAGGCAGTGACGGTACAGAATTCTGACTTCTGATGTTATTCTTGGGCGGTGGCGCGCCATTCTTTTTGCAAGATTCCCTGAGGGCTTCAAGATCAGCAATGTCCATTCCATCCTTCTTCGTATCAGTAGAATCCGTCTGTTCCGACTCACTGTACTCGTCGACAGCTGTAGCCGAATACTCCGGAACGTACTCGTTTCTCACTTCAGAAGCCTTTTCCCGAGGCGGTAAAAGTTTTGTCATATCCGATCCTTTTTCCAAATCAATAGGGTAGATTTTAAAGTCTTTGGCGAAGCGCTCAATGATGTTTGGTCTTCGAATTTCGGACTCGTAGTTTCCAGACTCCTGAAAATATTGATCATGAGGTGAACTTTGTGTTTTAGATGTTTGTGACGTAAAAGGAATGTTTGATATGTTTAATTATAGTAGTTTCGTCATTAAATAAATTTGAAAACCCCAAAAACTTAGAAAAAAGATCAATTTCTAAATCCTTTTGTATAAAATAATTCTGCAGGCTGCACACGTGTTCAAGAAGCGTGGCGCAAGCTGCGCGTCTCAAAAAAAATACTTTTTTTTTCTGGCCGAAAAACTGAATTTTTCGAAGTTTTCACTATTTGTCTAGCTTCTAAAGACTCTTTAAACATTGAAAATTGTTTTTGAAAATCCTAATCATACTCACCGTGTCATCAGTTTCCGTCACACTTTCTTCCAACTCCGCCGGCTCTTCCTCTTCTTCTTCTGGGGGATGATCAGAATCACCCATATCCCCATCCACAAAGTCCAGAATCCTATCGTCATTCAGTTCGGTCAGATGTTCGTCATCTTCCTCTCCGTTCTGCACCATTTGCTCACTCATCTCCATGGCACGATGAAGTTCTGCCATCTCTTCCCACGCATCGATCGGCATTCCGTCGTAGTAATGCATGGATAACTTGTGTTCCTCCTCTTCGAAACCATCCAATACTCGCATATCATTATCCACCAGGAACTTGATGGCAGCGTAGAGGTTGTTGTTCCTGATTTCCTCGTCTTCGGCCGAATCCGACTCCATGCCATTTAGGAAGCGTCTGATGTCAGTTCTGCCACCGTGACGTCGACCACGTTTCCTTCGTCTTCTGTCGTTGCCAGAAGTGTAGATGGCTCCATTGTTTGGACCAGCAAAGTCTTCGATCATCGCGGCCAAGAAGTCGGTCTCCATCTGACCTGGTCGTGTAGCACCTTCCCTCTCCATATTCAAAGCAAAAGCTGATTCTAGAAGTGGATCACCATAGTTCAAGAAGGTCGCCAGGTACTGTACGATCTCCCAAAAGAAGGGTCGATTATTTGGATTGTACCGCCAACAACATCTCATCAAAGCGTACCAGAAGATGGGACAGCCATTAGGTCGTACTAGACAGAACTTGTCATTGACTACATAGCTGAAGACACTGTCGTTGCTCAATCCACCATACGGTTGACCTCCGAGACTCAGAATCTCGTACAGAACAATACCGTACGACCAGATGTCAGATTTTGAAGTGTAGCGAGCGTCACGAAGAGCTTCTGGAGACATCCATCTAACAGGCATCAGATGATTTCCAGTAGGCTTGTAGTAGTCTCGGTAATAGATATCTCTTGTGAATCCGAAGTCTCCGATCTTGACCACTTCATTCTTGTCCACCATGCAGTTTCTGGCAGCCAGATCACGATGAACGAACTTTTTGTTCTCCAGATATGCCATACCATCAGCTATCTCCAATGCCCACATGATCATGCGACGATAGGTTAGGTACTTGTTTTCATAATGTTCATCATGAGGGTTGAATCTGGTCAGGTAGTCACGTAGCGAGCCATGGTGCATATACTCCATGACCACCATAACCGGCGGGTCACTTACCACGCCCAGAAGTTTGACAACATGAGGACTTTTGTATTTCTTCATGAGATGAGCCTCTGCCAAGAACGGTACTCTGTCTTGACCGCCAATCTCCGTACTCAACGTCTTCACAGCACAATCCGTGAACTCGATCCCTGCCATCGACTTGACGTTATTACCACGCCCGTAGAACACTTTGCCAAAGTTACCCTTGCCAATCTCCGCCTCAAGTTGAATAACGTCACGTTCCAACTCCCACTCGTCCTTCTCGTACATCATGAGTTCGGTCAGGTACTCGGGGTTCATGGTGAAGTTGGCCATCGTCATCTTCTTGATCTTGTCAGGGATAAAGAATGGCACAATGTAGACGCCAAACAAGGCCAACAAGATGGATACGATGAGGAATATGAGTATCCACAAGATGTAATTGGGGCCTTTGTTGTTGAGGATGAACAGGCTTTCTACTGTAGTCGGTTCACTGACTCCTGCTAGGGTTACTGTAGATATTTGGAAAGTGTAGTCACCATCAGTTAAGTGGCGGAAGGTTACTCCGCCGTTCTTTTCGAATTCTGTCTTGTTTATACAAAGTGGCAGTGGAATCTGAAGCATTATTGTCACATATTAGATTTAAATTTTAGGTAACATTTTTTTAAATTTTAAAAACAATGCGTAAATTTCCAAACTCCAAGGACTACGTTATCCTTTAAAACTATAATAACCCACCGATTCTCCCTTATAAAGCCTAACGTGATATGCCAGTATCGGACCATTTGGATCTTCAGGAGGCGACCAGGTAATGTGACGAGAATCTGGTTGACCATCTGTCGCATTCAACACGTATATTGTTGTTTCATTCACCTTGTCGTATTCAGCTGAAAAGAACAGAATTTAGCTTTTAATCCAAATCAAATCACACAATGTTACTATTGATTTTTATAAGGACTCATTCACAAAGGGACCTATCGTCCCGCAACAAAGGACGATCCGTATTTTACAAAAACAATAAAAAATCAATATTTTTCAAAAATAGTTGGTATTTCAAATTGAAAAATAAATTAAATATTCCAAAGATCATGGTTGTTATCCAAAAATATGCAAACCTCCGGCAAAAAAGTTTGCGCCAACCGGGATTCGAACTCGGGCCTCTGCCTTGGGAGGGCAGCGTCCTAACCACTGGACTACTGGCACGTTGAAACAAATAAAACCCGAAAAAAATAAATGCCAGAGGGTACCCGGATTCCCACGAATATGGGAATGGCAAAAAGAAACAAAAAAGCTGCGAATTTCGAGAGAAAAACAAAAAAATCGAACTTTTTCGGCCAAAAACACGCTAAAACAATATTATCTTTGCAAAATTAGTGGAAAGAAAGCTCAAATCTAGATGCGACTTTTGTCAATAATAAACTTTGTCAACTTGCCATATATTTAAAATAAAAAATTTATAAATTGAAGTTTTAGTTTCAAAACTTACGAATGGGAGCAGTTCGAACATTAGCCCAAGCTGGTTTTTGTGAACAAGAAGCGTCTGGTTCTGTGACGTCTTGACAAGCATATATCTAAAAGTTATGCCATCAATTTAGATCGAAAATGCTTTAAAATTGTAAAATCGCTTTTCAAAACTATAAATTTCATAAATATAGACCATTATATAAATATTAAAACCAAAATTCTGCAGTTTCCAGGTATACCAAATAGAAAACATGGCCCATACTACCAATGACCCTTAATTTTAGCTCAATTCCAAATACTCCTTACCGAAATAGTGTACTCTGTGAAGTGAGGCAGTCCGGAGAGTATGATCGAATACCCAGTTATGTTGATTTGACCTTTTGTCTTGAATTCTGGAGGAAATTCTGAACTGGACAAGTCCAACGTAGTGATGTTGTAGGCATGCTTCTTCTTGGTCAATATGTCTTTGACAGATATTGAAGAAGATGGTGCAAATTTGTTGATGGCTCTTTTTACTTTGAACAACGATTCTCCTGTAGATGCGTCGTCAGACTTCTTTTCAGGTATCGAGAAGTCAGATCCTCCAAAACTGAAATAGCATTATATAGGTATAGGATGTAGAATACGCTTTTAAAAGAGATACAATACGATATTCACTAACTGAATGTATTTTTTGACCTTTACCAACTAAGATATAACACTAACAACTGAGATATACCACTATGAACCATACATTACGATACAACAACATTATTTTACAACAATAACCTGCAAACTTAAAAAAAATGTTCCTTTTAAAGTCATGGTACCAAAAATGACATTTCGCAGCCATGTATGCACCATATTGTAGTAGATACACACACATACACCATGAATAACATAAAAGAAAGAGAAAGTAACCAAAGTCATAGTAAAAGATGAGATAGCAAAGAAAGTTAGTGTGTGACGTTAGTAAAGTAACAGCCGGGTGTAATTAGTCGGAAAGCGATAGAAAAGCATGGTAAAAGTACCCTAACAAAGCCGGCTCCACCTTCGGCGATGAATAATATCGTCGTCGTCGCTTCGGATGAGCTGTTGTCGTCATCAGATTCCGATTCAGACGTTGCTGATTGTCTATGGGAGAGATGGCAGGCTCTCGAGAGAAGGGACGGCAATATCGAGGGTCGTATTTTACCCCACATCTTTATAAAGAGAATATTACAGTGATTAGGTTGTAGGGTGATTTGATTATGTTATCGAGATATCAGTGAATAAGCGACGTTAATAGCATTTAACTGGACTCTGTTGCTGTTTCTATTACTTGGCAGTAAGACATATTGCAAAGCAAGGTAAAAATTTTTAAAGATTATTGAAGCAATCATTAAGTTTTTGTGACACTTCGTCTAATTACAAACTATTTTTTCAATATTTCAAAATCAGTTGGAAAAGTCATTTCCCTGCTTAAGACTTGGGAATTTTAAAACCAGCTTATACCTTTATAACAATTTTTTTCTAAGATAGAGGTGTATGTTATCTTTAACATCGGATCAACCCCAACAAACCAACCTCTGAATGAAGATCAAATTCTGAATCGCATTCTCAAAAGCTCCATTTTCACCCAGTTTTTCTTCTTGCAGATTGGGCAGTTCTTTCACATTGTATTGCTTCGACAAGTGAGATACGGTCTCTTTCATTTTACTGACTTCAGCACAATCACAACATCCTTGTTCTTTCATACAAACACCTTCTTGAGGCTTCTGAGGCGTCGCTGTTTCCTTTATCTTTGACCCTAAACAACAGAAATAATTCATAATCAATATCTAAGTCCAAATCACAGTTAAGTAGTTTAACTATCCACTCGAAATGGCAACACAAATCAACTTACAATCGCTCAAACAAGCGTTGGCATGCTCCAGAAGTTCAGTGTCAGTTTGAGCTTCCCATTCGATCGTATAGTGGGTAATAACTCCACGAGGGACTGGTGGAGGATCAAATGTCACTTCAAGTCTGTCTGGTCCCAAAGTTTCCGAGAATCGAAGTCTAGGAGGGTCTGGTTCACCAAAATGTGTTTTTACAAAATGAACCTTCGAAATGGCGTTTCGAGCTCCAGGGTGGTTTACTACTCTGGTTTGGACATAAAATGCATACCTAAAAATTTTAATGTAAAATACGAATAGGTTTCAACATTTTTTGGTCCCGCAAGGAGAAATTATAAAGCATAGAAGTTTGTCATTGTGAAGATCCGTTTATTTTCACAAAAAATTGTTTTTATTTATATTTTCGAAATAAAAACGGGTAATATTGTTCTGTCCTGTTGGATAATAACATCTCGCAAAACTAATTTACTTTATTTATGTTTTTTAAACACAATTTTAGGTATAACTTACAAAGAATTTGCCTCAACTCCAGTCGAAATGAACTCTCCACTATTGGCCGACAATTCACCTCCTCTGAAATCAAATGTAAGTTATTTTTGTTTTCTTTATGAATTTTAGATATTAAAAACGAATAATGGACTTACGGTTCTCCACTTTCATCAATGGCAGCTTCTGTAAACTGCATTCTCCAGGTATCTGCACAAGCTGAACGATCCTCATCAATCGACAGGTTCGGGTCGATCTTGTCTACTTTTTTGTAAAATATCTGGAAATGAGATTCGATTGAATTCGTATTACCTATGTGTTTCTTTGTGTTTATATTCTGTCAGTTGTAACTTTTTTGCGATTTTGTATTATTTTATCCTACTACAATATTTGTAAATTTTTTGATAATTTTTTGGTCTTTTGAGATTTGTATGTGAAGGAGAACTACAACTTTGGCATTTTTATGTCAAACCACATCTTTTTAGTTATATTTTGACACGTACCTGATACCCGATGAACTTTCGATGATCAGTGTCGGCCAAATTGAATGGAGCCCATCTGATTGTGAAGCCATGTTGTTGTACACCAGTCACCTCAATTTCCAGAGGCATTTCGTCGCAAATCGCTCTGTCTCCATTACTCCTGGCACTTACATCAGCTTCGGTAACATTGTACTTCATGCCAGTCATTTCAAGGAATGTTTCGATCTTCTTGTAACATAACATTCGATTGTTAACAATGTGGATCTTGCCTCGTTCAATTTTAAATTTGTCGTATCTTAATGGAAATAGCTCGCGAAGGTTCTGGTTGTCAAGGATGACCAAAGAGTAATTGTGCCAGAGCTCGTTACCACCGATGATTCGAAGTTTTTGAAACATATGAAGTGTTATTAGGACAGACGAGAAACGGATCATCAGATAGCTGAAAGGTAGAAACTTGAGTTTTTAATTTTTTTAAAATTTTTTAAATGATTCTGTTTTTTGCGCGTATTTTAGATATTGTAAGTGTTGCTACTTCCAAATTTTATTAATTTTTGTCTATATTATGTTACACCTTTGCCTTTCCTTTCCAATTAAATTATGCACGTCTTACCCCTGAATCTCTTCGACTTCCCCGAAAGCCTCGGTAAACTTTTCGGTGTTGGCTTCATTTCCAATTCTAATTTCGATTTCCAAGTTCCCTTCAATGATGTTACATCCTTTGTACTTGAGGGCGGCGCCCGCCGAGTCGACTTGAGTTGTGGCTGCGCATTTCTTGGGACAATGCCCGACACATTTGATGCAATTCCTGCCGTTTGACGGGTCTGAAACGACAAAAACAAGGTCAGATCTTATCATAGGTAGTAAAAAACGGTGGAATTGTTTCTTTGTATAAAAAGTAATAAAAGTGCATACCACCGGCAGAGTTTTAAAGCGCAAAAATGGTAAAAGAGATTGTAAAAGGTATAGTAATACGAATGGCCTAACGAATTTGAAAAAAATATTTCAAAGATCAAAGAGAAAATGACGCAAATTTCAAAAAAATCAATTTAAACATTCAAAACCAACCTTCCTGGTAACCAGTAGGACATCGATAGTGACAAACTCCATTAAAGGCTTTATATTCTTCCCGACGTTTGAAGGTACCATCAGAATGTAATGGCAACATACTTTCACATTCCTTTTTTGAAACACATTTGCGATTACGGTATTCGTAGAATCCTTCAGGGCATTTTGCGATGCAAATTCCGTTTAAAGCAACATTTCGACAAGTAAAACAAGATCCAGCATCATTTGGTTCAAAACACCCGCCTAGGCAAAGATCATGACATTTTTCACCTGACTCTGAGCAGCCTGGACCAAATGAACCATTTGTGTAGCGATGGTGGGGACATTCTGAATAAGAATTTGAAAATATTGATATAAATGTAAGCTTTTTATTATTGTAGCGAAATGAATGTATTACCGTATCGAAACAACGCAGTAAACGATAGTATAACTTTTGCAAATAATTTTTACTTACTTGTCTGACAAGTGTTTGGGGACCAACAAGCTAGATTAGTCTCTGTTCGTTCACATTGTTTCTCGTCGTTAACGATGCATTGTTCTTGACATTGTGAGTCATCAGGGTCGATGATCACGTCTTTTATCTTCCCATACAACATGGAGTTCCAGTTGATATGTTTAGTGTAACATACACGAGCATTGTCAGCAATACGAACTCCACCGTTCTTGATTAGCTTCAGCTTTGAAAGACCGATACCTTTCAAGTCTTTGTTCTGGTACACTACCAAAGCGTAGTTCATGACAAGATGGTCACCGCCTATTACTCGTAGGTTCGGGAAGATACGACCCAAGCTCATTAGGGCTCTGTAAAAAGGTTGTTTTAAGTAGTATAATATTGTTATTGTTGTGTTACTTTAATTAGTATAATATTCTGATCGTTGTCTTTTCTAACATATTCATTTTCAAATTGAAAATTGTTATTGTGAGTCTTGTCTGCCCTACTTACTTTGAATGAAACATGACCAAACTGCCAGTAATTTCACGAAGTTTGTGATAGACAGGGTAGTGTTCGTCGGTGACATTCTCTTGTGTAATCATGGAGATGATGAAGTCTCCTTCTACTATTGTACAGTTCACATCGTCTTTAAACTGTCTGCCTTTGGGGTCGTTTCGTAGGTCTATCTGATCACATACAACTTCATTTCGTGCTGCTTCTACTGCCTGAAGCGAGAAAATTTTGTTATTTTTCAAAATTTTTAAATCATTTTTTGAAAATTTTAAAAGATTAGTTGGTAAAAGCTTTTTTAAGGATGGAAACGAAACTTTTAATAAATACCGGTAAGTGGTATAACATTTTTTGCCGTATCAAGCTTGATTTTATAAAATTCTGTATATTGAACACAAAATAGCTTCCATGTCCTCTCACTTTCACTTTCTAAAATCAAAAAGCAGTAATAAAAAGCTTACCGCCAGCCAGAAAAGTAAAATACAAGGCCAAGGCGATGACCCTCGGAATGTGAACATGGTTGTCGTCTACCGCATTACCTCGTGATTAATATACTATCGAGCCGCAGGGCTCGGACTCTAAATAATCGAATTGAAACTGTTAAAAGCACTTTTTTTGATAAAAAAAATTTAAAAAACGCTCGCAAAAATTAAAGCTCCAAAAATCGGGGCCGTAAAGTCTTTAAAGAGAGAAAAACACTTGACACGCAATGGAGAAGGAGTTGACCCGCACTTTAAGTGGGTGTCTGTCTCTGTTTAAGACGGTCTTAAGGAAGGGAATGGTTGTATGGGAATGTAAAGTCAATTATGGTAATAAGATACAGAATGTTGCTATAGTGAAACTGTACTAAAAATAAGGGTAAAAATATGGTTTTAGTAGTGGTATTGGGTACAATAGTTAAGTAAAGGATCGAAAGTTTTAGAAGAATAAAATTTAAGCATTTTTTAAAAATGTTTTTTAAAAAATAATTAAAAAATATAAAAATAGTATCAAGCTCATATAGGAACTAAAATTATTTTGCGTTAAATTACAAGAGCTATGACAAAATTGTGAAGAGACTTTAATTGTCCATGAAGACAAAGTCGACAATTATTTTATGTAAATAAGCTGTTACAGCCAAAAAATGGAATTACTCCTACTTAAAAATGAAAAAAAGTCTGCCTTTTACAAACTGTGGATTTGATTTTCTGCACTAGTACTTTACATTGAAATAACAGAGTATACAGTTCACCTACTACTTTTGTCCGTGTGCTCATTGCATAATATGCATTGCACAGTGATTAAGAAATTACCTAAATAAGAATGGCTTAGCTTTTACGAATCCTAGGTTCTTTTACCATTTTTATATTGACTTTTCTTTTAAAATATCAAAAAAAACTAACTTTACCGTATTTTACATGAAAGTAGGCTTCAAATAAATACCATCGTAACAAAAACTCATCTATGGTTACACTTATAAACTGTGTAGTAAACTTGCCAATTATACTATAGTAGGTTTTATAGGAAAAAAACGACTTTTCAAGTGTTCAACTGCACAGTAAACTACATAAAGCACAAAATTTAGATCTAAAACAGACCTAGATGATACATTTTGGCTAAAAGTTTTTGTAGCCATTGCAAGACTACAATATTGTAACCAGTAATCTGCTTGTTAACTCCATTATAAGCAATTTGTAAAATACATTACAACTTGTAATTAACTTTTACAAGAATACAATGTAACTTGTAATTATTGTATTCATTTCTAACGTTGTATTTACGAAACTTTTTAATGTTTTATTACCGAAAAGTGCAAAGATTACGGTATGTTAAGGAAAAAGTAATGCTGTACTGTTCGTGACCACCTCCCTTCTACTTATTATAACTTATAGGGGCGGTCCTAGGTAGAAGCATGGTAACGTCATGTAAATTTGAAAGTTGTAAATATTTTCTAAAAATTTATTCGTGACGTGCCAATATTTTAATTACTGCGTTCTAAAGTTATATTAGAAGATATAAAAAGGATTTGTTTCTTCACTAATTTAAGAAAGCTGTTTGGCTATGTGACTGGGTCAGTAATCGTATTATAACTATGTACAAAAGGACCAGACTACTCGGTTTGTACGTTGAAAAAGATGAAAAAAGGAAGAATTTCATACCCAAAAATGTTCAAAAGCTATTTTAATATCTATATATTAAAAACTTATAAGTACTTTATTATTTTTTTGTTCACCTCTCCCTTACTGGTGTAAAACTTTCTACTATGTAAAATCTTGATACTAGAGACTGAGAAGTAGTGTATACTAAAAACGAAGAAAACGTTATGCAAATAACCGAAAGACAGAATAAGATTCACTTAACTGATACGCCCTACCCAAAAAACGTTAAAAGTACAAGTTTTTTCGCAGTTTTTCATAAATATATGCTCTAAAACAATGTTTTACAACACAAAACACACTAGAAACACCAAATTCTTTGGTAACCGAACACAATATATGCTTAACCTAACATAATATATTCTTTGTTAGCTAAAACACTATATTATACTAAACCTTTATTAGAGAATACTAAAGATATCATTCTCTTTATTATAATATAGTGCTTGTACCCCTATAAAGCATAACATTGAAATTAGCATGTCGAAAAAAAAGTTTCATAGCATTTGTAATGTAAAAGAATTATAAATGTCATGAGCAACAATGTGCACGCGAAATGGATAAAAACAAAAAAAAATGGATTTGAAAAATTTCAAATTAATTCTTGACAAATCCCTTTAGAGACACTTTCCACTCACATACTTTACATGTACTTGTGGAAGAGTTTTTAATGTACTGGGATACGTATATACGTGTCTTCCTTTTGGCATCGACAACTTTTAGGAGTCATCTTTTTATAGCAAAAGATAGAAAGGTTGTCTATATTAATTAATTGTGGCTGTAAGTGACTTAAAATTAAAAACATAGGTAACATAAAACAAGTAAAAAGTAATCTTAAAGAGTTCAAAGATATCAACCACTTAAACACCACTGCCTATCGCATCTACTTTATCCAAAATTAACTGTGTCATTACACGTAGAATAGCCAAAATCTGATAATTTTGTCTTCAAGGATCCACAACTATCCCCCGCCCCCCTTACTAGAAAAACATGATAAGCGTAGCTCCTGATCTTCATAATTTCAAAACAGTCAATTTTTACTATAGCTATATCAATACAAGTGCTAAGACGAAAGTGAAAGTTTTACCGACTGACGTATTAATAATCCGCAAAATTAGTTTTCTTGACTGGACTAGTATTTTCAGGCAGCGAACGTAAAAAGGATTAAATTTTAAAAGATAAAGCAATGAGATTAAGGCCTCGCATCTACATTAATACATAGAAGGCTGTGCACTCAAAACGGTCGGTTTTTCATAGTACTATGTAACGTTTTATAGAGGTAAGAGGTAACATATAGGTAATGAACAATAATTTTTCGAAACATACAATTTTTTCGATAAATTTTTTCCAAAAAAAATTTTAAATTTTAAGCATTGGCCTAAAAATAGACGGCATAACAAGAAAATAGTCTGACTGGTCAAAAGAAGCTCCACTAAAGCGCTACGAAACAGTAACTTTGCCAAAGCAGTTAAATATGATCTAGAACATATTGTAGTAGCTAAAATTCAAATTTAAGACGGAAGCCAGTTCGAACACCATTTTTCAGACAAGGATAACGGATGTTTTTACAATTCTGTAAAGATATTGGTGTCAACAAAAACAGAGTTTTGTAACAGTTAGAGACGGACTAACGAGTACTATAATATCATAAGGAAGGCGTCTTGACTCATTAGCTGAAAATTCTGTAAACGGTAAATAGCGGCTATTTTTGTTATAACATGGTCAGTACTATAATGGGAAGACAATAAGTAATAATATTTGGCAAAAGTAATATTATTGTAGTCTATTATGATCTGTAAATTCTTACACAAGCCAAATGGTAAAGAAATATGAAGTTATCAAAACATACACACCATTCTGTGGACTTTTTGACCAGAAACGTATCATTAAAACCCTACTAAAACAATAAAAATCAACAACATATGCGGCTTTATAATAGTTAAACCTTTATTTCATTAAACTACGTTAAACAAAATCATATGATACACAATATATACAAAATATCTCCTAAATGTACTGCTGGGCAGCTATATTGATATGTTAATGTAAAATATAAACCCTAATTAGTGATGAGATCAATCTAAAGTAAGTTATATATAAGCCTACTGAGTAGTCAAAAACATGAAAGCTTTCCCGACGTCCTTTACTGGTTGAATTCTGATTTCGGTTTTGCCCACAACTCCAGCAACACGTTTTGGCAGGCCTATTGAGAAGTTGTACACCGTTTTCATTCTGTTATGAAAGTTGGTTTGGGTGATCTCATATGTCTTAGCTAAAAAATTGAAGATCAGAGCTTAGTTTTAATCTATGTAAGTTAAAATGGCGCTAGGACAAATGCGGTTTTTGGACATTTGTGGATCTGCGGTTTCTAGACACTTGCGGATCTTCGGTTTTTGGACACTTGCGGATTTTGGACATCCGCGGGTTTTTTAAAGGTTTTTTTTACTTTTTAGTTAATTTAGTTGTATTATGGTACTAAAAAAGTTTGAATTGGTACGGTTTTAACATAACAGTACCTTTTTGGGCTTTTAGTACTATTTAACATTAAGAAATATTAAGACAGTGCCAATTTAAATTTTAGTACCATTTAGTACCATACTACAACTAAATTAAATAAAAAAGAAAAAAACCCCTTTAAAAATCCGCAAACGTCCAAAATCCGCAAGTGTCCTAGCGCCGTTAAAATATAACCATAAAACGCCCAGGACTACTGTTGTTTGTCTTTTCATACCTACACGTCAAGAAAAAACGATTTTGCTTTTGTGTCTTGAACAGATTTTTGGCATTTCTCACCGGAAAAATATTTTTCTTCAGCTTTTCTTTTTCGAAAATGTCTTTCGTGTTTATTACTAATGTAGTTTCGAGGTTATTTAAGGATAAAGAAGGTAAAAAATGTAACAATTAAGCACCCTTATTAAATAAATAATGAAAGAAACTAATAAATAAAGGAAAATCCCGCCAAAAAATTAATGGAAAATTTCCGCATGGATAATATGAAACTGATATCTTTTGATAACTCAAGTTCTACTCCATAGAATCAGACGTTTTTAGTATCAAATTATTCCTTATTATCTCCTTAGTCCAACTGTTACTACCACTATAGCTGCTCATGTGCTCGTTGCAAAGTTATGACGTATTTTAGAGTTTGGAAAAGCATATTTTTAATATGAATACCAAATTTTTATTAAGCGCTCAAACACAGAGATTTTTTAAATTTGGGAATTAAAGTATTGTTTTTTAATTGCTATTAAACACTTTTGTGATATCTGCACTTTAACGTGTCGAAAAAATACCGCGAAGTTAACATACTATTTGTTTCCTCTTGTTGCGGAATGCCAAGCGATTTTCTCTGGATAATTGTTTTTCTTTTATTTTTTCTTGACGTGTACCTCTTTTCGTGTTTTTATAAAATCAAAGCAATATAACCACTACATTACAAAAAATTATGTAAAAAAATTACCAAAGTTATAACGACTATCACAATATAATGTAAAAAAACATGATATACTTACCATAAGTATCGACCTTAGCGACATTAGCAACTTCGCTTTCCTGTAGACATTCGCAGATTTTAATCAATGGATCTTGAAGTATGACCACATTTTTAGGTATGAAAACTCCATCACCTTCGTAGAAAAAGACATAGCTCAGGTCGAAATTCAAGTCAAATGTAATGTCAAAAGTCTTGTTTTGGAATTGTGAATCCAAGTAGCGCTGGGCGAAGAAGTTGGCAAATTGAAACTTGTTGACTTCTGGGAGTAATCGCTGAAAATTACATTAGATTTATATCAAAAACAAACAACATTAAAGTTGAAAATAAAAAAAAACTTCTTACCTTATCCCTGATTTGAAGATGAAGTTCCTGAAAGCTCGGAAACATCCAGTTGATATTGTAGATCAAGCTTCTGATTGTCCAAACACCAGTGTCACTTTCTAACGCAATATTGAGCTTCTTTACATAATTATTAGGTTCATATTCGTGTACATGAAAGAATAGTTCATTCAGCGTTAAGTCATCAAAGTTTGTGAGATCAAGTTCAGTTACGCGAGATTTCATCAGCTGGTAGATACCTAAAACATAATAAATAATTTAAAATTTCAACGTTATTTTATGAAAGTTAACATCAAGTTTATAAAGGCAAATCAAAACGCATAATCCTACCTCCAATTCTATTTGGTCGAACCAAGACAACTTTCTGAATCCTCAATTCATCTCCAATCGAATCCAAAACTTCTACTGGGCATTCAAGTTCCTGAAGCCTCCGTAGATTCTCCAAAAGATACTTTACTACCTTCATATCAACTCCAAGATACGTTGTAAGCTTTCTAGCTCTGTAATCAAACAATGTGATGAGATCTGCTTCAACTTGTGATGTTTCTTCATCTACAACAACATGATCAGCTCGGAAAGGTGAGAATCCAATATTGATAACAAAATCGAACGGTATTTGACCGATAAACACATCTTTGTGCTGGATATAGATGTTAGAACCACTGTAAAGCGTAATATCGACCTTTAGAAGGTTGGATAGCATACGACGCCTAATTCTGCGACTGATCAGCTAAAACAACACTGTTTAAAGTTTTAACGAACAAGAATATCACATAAACGTTTATAAAATATCAAAAACATATCTCTGCATTCTTTTAAAACCATAAAAGCATAAAGGCAACTTTAATATTACCCAAAAACTTACAAAACTTTTGTAAAACGTCCCCAGCTTCGTATTGTTGTTGTTTTTCAGCCAATTATCCAAAGAAACACCTTGATATAGCTCACAAAACGTGTCCAGAGCACTTCCATACAATCTATTATGTTCGTTCATCGTCAGGAAAGCTATAATGCAAAATATTACCTAAATTTCAATCAAAAAAATCCTTGAGCCCCGACAAAAAAGCCTCGCAAAGACAAAAAAACCGAAAATTTTGATAAAAAACTATTCTTACAATGAAAAAGCAAACAAACCAGCTGGTAAATACCATGAGCAAGCTCCCAATAACGTGATCAATAAACAAACGGCCGGATTATGCTTAAAAACACATAATTATAGCAAATATAGGAAAAACAATATAATATACTTTACGCTATGATCTAGATAGATGTTTGAACAAAGAGAGTAATGAATTTTAACTCTCCCCAAGGTCGAACGTTCCGTTTCAAAACCTTTTTATCTCACGTTTGATCTAGGACAAAAAAAGGTTCCGTAAGATTTTCGAGTTTGTGCTTTTGGACGATCAAGCTTTCGTGGCTGGAAAGTTGAAAGTAATATCTGCCAAACTGACAATGACGATGGTCAATTTAAAAATAAAATAATCAGAGGCCAAATAACGTATTTTAAAAATCAAACTTCAAAAAATTTAGTTTGTCTCGTACTTTGACATAAAGATCTTCAATTTTGGCATTTTTTTTGGCAAAACTTGACGCCTTTTGTGTCATTATTGCCGTTCCCATATCCTTGGGAATCCGCGTACCCTCCGGCATTTATTTTTGCCGAGTTTTACTCGTTTCAACGTGCCAGTAGTCCAGTGGTTAGGACGCTGCCCTCCCAAGGCAGAGGCCCGAGTTCGAATCCCGGTTGGCACAATAATCAAACTTTTGCCATTTTTTAAAAATTTTTCTGTCAAAAAGTCGGAATTAAAATGATTTTTTTTAGAAATTCACAAAATCTGCAAAATGTCTCCCCAATTCTCGGAAATTTGCATGAGTTTACTTCGTTTTCGACCGGAGTATAAAAGCGGTGGACGACCAACGAACTCTTCTTCAGTTGTCGCTGTTTCTCGTGTAGACCAGTCGTGATGCCAAACAGATCCCCACCATTGGAAGATACCTGGGCTTTCCAGCCTATTGGCGCCCCATTCCCAGACAATCCGGTCAAATGTCTGCGACAGCAAAACATGTACGTCGCTTTGTGGTACAAGAATGGAAAGGTATGTTGTGGTAGGCTTACTTTGGTTGTTGCGGCTGTTTTCCTTGTTTTCGAAGTTTTAGTTCTTAAGAATCAGACGACTTTATCTTTGACTTCTTGTGTTAGGGTTGTTGATAATTTAAAATTTTTCAGCCCATCCACGGTCGTGCCTGGAATAACGGTGGTGTTGTGGAGTGCTCGTTCCCGTACCTGAAGGCTGAGTTGACTGGTGTCAAGGATTTGGCCGGTCAGATCCAGGTGCTCCAGTACAAGGGTGATCATTTGTCGTTGGGCTATTGGTACAACTGGATCAAGTACAGTGAGCGTTTCGACAAGGACGTCAAGGAGCGCGAGCTGGTAAAATGTGGTGACTCGATTCCATTGTTGTGGTTGGACAGAAAGGAAGGAGCGTTGATGGGTTATGTTGATAACCGTACCGAGATTGCTCGATTCTCCCACGATGGCAAAGCCGAAGAGGTACAAGGTCCGGCGTTGTCGCCTATGTACATCATCGTCCGCGAGTTGAAGGGTGAGTTTTTGCGTTTTTGACTAATTTTGTTACCTAATTTTAGGTTTTTTACTTAATCTTTAGTTTTTATACTATCTTGACTTATCTATACACTTTCTGAATTCTTTGTTACTCACTGTGCCATTTTCAGACGGCCCAGACACTTGTGAGTGTAAGGAATGCGAGGCCAAGCGTGCCAAACCTCAGCCTGTCCCCAAGCCGGTTGTCCGTGTCATGTTGAACGAATGGGCCGATTTCCGTGCCGGCGATCCGTTCCCACCAACCAAGTGTGTCAAGGCCTTGTTCAAGTCCCTCAACACCTTGCCAGGCGAGAACCCCGACCAGTATGTGGCCTTGTGGTACCAGTCTGGTGAGCCAGTCATGGGACGTATCTGGAATGAGGGCGGAAAGATTGCCGCCGACTTTGGATGGGGAGGACATGAGTACAAGAAGAACATTGGTTCACTTCAGGTAAGGATTTGCATATTTTTGATTTTTTAAAACTTTAAGGGGTTCTTTGAAAATTTTTTGCCCTTTTTAAATTAAAAGTCAATTATAGCTTTTGAACTTGCTTTATAAATACACCTCATTTTAGGTCCTGTTCGAGCTGCCCGAGCACGTCAGAGGTTTTGACTACGCTTGGAAGCCGTACCAAGAAGCTGCCGCCTTTGGAGAAAAGGAGTGGGTACCAGTACATGTCGACAACGGCAAGGTCAGTATTTCGCCGGCTGTCATCATTGTGGAAGGCAAGGAGATCCTGGGCAAGGTCGACATCCGTAACGAAAAGGCATCGGCTGGCTATGGAGGCAAGGAAGTGGTCTTGGTTGGTCCAGCTGTCCACTCTTCGACTGTTTTGTGCCGTAAGGCTAAAGCCGGATGCAAATTCGACTAAATGTCTTGGAAATAAACTTTTGTGTGAAATGTTGGCTTTTTTGATATTGTTTTGATGTTATATCGTGATTGTACATGTTTGTTATCAACATTTGTATATTTTGTGAAACATAAATTATAATGTTTATTGCTACATAATAATCAAGTAATACTTGTTTTCTCAATATTATTCTAGATATATTTTACATAATTTAGCACCGAGATCTTCTGCAAACTAACAATAAGACTTTACATTATAACCTAACAACATGAAATAACGTTAAGAACTAATTCAAACGATATAAAGTTATATCTAAAACCTCAACAATACTATTTACAATCCCATAGTACCAATAGTTCTACTCTGTGTGACCTCTACCAGCTTATCCAAGCATCCTACAGCTCCAAAGTACCCTTCATGGTTCAAAAACAGCGCTCGTTTGGTACCCTTGGACCAGAACTCCATAGCATGGGCCAACAACCTCGCGGCCAATGGATTAACTCTCAAGAAGTTGCCTACAAACACGATTCTGTCAATGTTACTCTGTGTAGCCACACTCAACGCCGTAGCTCCAATGTTATTGGCTACGGTGGCCAAGGCACTTCTGGCCAGATCAGCTTTAGACATCTTCTCGCGGCCTTCCTTCGTACAAGCCTTGCCGAAACTGGCAGCCACGATGTCACTTGGTAATCCGATACTGTCGTAGCCACAACCATAGATGTCGCCTACCAGAATGTCGACGTTCTTGTTGTCGCCTTGTGTAGCCAGCTCGATAGCTTCTTCGAACGATTGGACGCCGCAGAGGAGGGAACAGAGACCGTTGAAGAAACCTCCGCCGATACTGAAAGAAGAATATTAATTTTGAGTATTTTAGTTAGCTTCTCTTTATTTTAGTTAGCGTTAATAGAAATACAAAAAGGTTTGGCTTTCTGAACATTTCCTTACCTTGATCCAGAAACCCGTTGAAAATCATTCCGTCCCTTTACAACCATCACAGATACACCTGATCCAATGTTGCACAATACATATGGATACTGTAGACCTTCTTCACAAGGAGTATCAACGTATTTGTAATCAGTAGTCGAACACCTTGCACTAGACCACCTCCAGATCACTTTATGTTCCCCCTTCAGTGGCTGGTCGTAGTAATAACATTCATTTGGGTTGTTGGCCGCTATCAGTTCGATTCCTTTGATTAACGAGTCCAATTCATCTGATTTGTGAAGTGACATGTTCAACTCTTTCTCTGTTTCAGCAGCGTATTTTATGGCACCACCACCAGTGGCACAGACTGTAGATGACATTTGGGTAAAGCCTTTGGACTTGACTAGTTGAATGAAGTTGATCATTCGTTCTGTTGGGAAACGAATAAAGTGGATTGAGCCTAGTCTGCCCTGTAATCTCATTTTTTATTTGAGTTACTATCATTTTCTAGGATAATATGTCAAAAAACAGTTTGAATATATTATACATTGCCTAGTTTTATTCAAACTTGGTATTTCGCGCATTTTTCGTCAAAACTTGACGTCTTTCGAGTCATTATTGCCGTTCCCAGATCCATGAGAATCTGGGTACCCTCTGGCATTTATTTTTGTCTGGTTTTATTTGTTTCAACGTGCCAGTAGTCCAGTGGTTAGGACGCTGCCCTCCCAAGGCAGAGGCCCGAGTTCGAATCCCGGTTGGCGCAAACTTTTTTTGACAGAAATTTGCATATTTTTGATCTTCAAGGTGTAAGGTAGGTTTTGATAATTTTAAAAATAAACAATCCCCGTTTCCTAAACCTCAAAATTATTTTTTAAAAACAAAAGTGAAGACCTACGTTGATGTTAACCATGTCAAGCTGTAGATGTTTGTCTCGGACGCCGTGTTCACCATAGGCGCTGTGGCTCAACAGGTACTGGCGGATGTTCTTTCCTCTTTGATATTCTTCATCAGATTCTAGTATGTAGTCCTACAAAAAGTGTGATTCAAAATCTTTTTTCGATTGTTAAAAATTGTAACCTATAATTATATTCAACGTTTTGTACTGTAACTTACTGTGTGCAAGGGCTCAAAGTAGACCAGCTTCGTTAAAGTACCTCCAATGTCAAGACCAAACCATGGCATAGCTAAAAGTATGACAATAAGTTGGTTTTGGATACCTTATTTGTCAATTTCGGGTACCTTTCTAGCCAGTTTTAGGTACCTTATTGAACTATTACAATATTTTGTAGTCTTTTTATAACTTTATAAGTTTAAAATTAAAGGAACGTTTATAATAATCATGATATTACACCTACGCAGAATGTTTTCTCTTGGCAAGATCAATGGCAAAGACAAGTTCCTTTGGCGTTTGACATTTTCAAGGATTTCGATTAACAAACTATCGTTATCACGACTTTTGACAACCATTTTATAACAATTTATTAAGTTTTAAAGTTAGTAGTAGTAATATATAAAATTATTTTAAAAAATTGTAATTTAGATACTGTATGTCTAACCAGAAGCTGAAGTTAGATATAGCTGTAGCGGCAAAATACCGTCTACCTTTCACTTAAATAGGCTACGGATAAAAGCTTAGAATCTTCACGTTTGACCACAAAAGAACGTTCTTTATATTCCTATATATGTAGAACGTTCTTTTATATGAATACAATCAAAACAAGTTTACAGTGAAAAACACTGCAAATCAAAATGACAATATTGTTGTAGGAGCCTTTAAATACAATAAACTGTCACTCCTTCTCTTTTATCAGCTTCAAAGAACTGTGATAAGCGCTACATCGCGGTTACATCGGTTGGAAATGGGCTGATTAATCAATAGCCGGTTTGACGTTTCAACGTGCTCAGGCCAGAATTTTAAAGTTTTGATTGTAGCAAGCTTTTTAAGAGTTTTGAAGTGGGGTGGGTTGTCGTAAAAACTTTTTTTTTTATTTTTTTTGCATTTTGCGATCAGGCTAGGAATTTTTTGAAAAAAATCTGTGAGAAATTTCAATTTTACAGGGTTTTTCAAAATAATTCATAACTTTTCTACAATGTTTGCTAAAATGCTGAATTTTGGTACAGCTGTAGTGAAGACACGAATAATAGTTTATGCAAATTTCCAGATTTTTTTAGTACATTTTAGAATCTTTGTTAATTTTTGAAAATTGAAAAGTTGTTTTTTTCTAAACTCAATTTGGTAGAACACTTTGTAAAAGTATTTTTGCCATGATGCGGTATTGTTTGGCTAAAAACATAAAGCAATGCGTATTTTACATAATCTTCTTAAACCAGTCTAAACCTAACAATTTGTTCTAGAATGTTTTTTCTTGACTTTTTGATCTTCAGACGTTGCTATCTTATCGTCATAATTCGTTCATGTGTGTTTCCTAATTCCCCATATGATATGCATGTGATATCTCTTAAGAGAACACTACAAAACATACTATTTCCTATTGTAATATCATTTTCTTTCATTTTGTTTCAAACATCATAATATGGCCTATAGTTGCATGTTGTGATAAACAGTGCTTGTACAATATATAAATTAAAGTATAAAATTTAAAAAAAACAACTTACATTGCGGTAATACCACAACAGAAGGGATGATAACTTCAGTAGCTGGTAGAATGTTGACTGTTTGTGGTGGCATTGTGAAGACTTGTTGAATATTATGTTAGGTTGCTCTCCTAGCCTGTAGAAAGGTCACGGTGCTGTTCTCAAGTTTGAAACTGAAAATAATGCTTTAAAAACTGAAGTTATAAAAAATTTATAGCACAGTCATGTAAAATACGTAAATCACAACTAGTAATAAACGAGTACTTTTAGTAAAATACGTTTGAATGCCTTGCCTTGCCTTGCCTTGCTCTGCCGTATTACTTTACCAGCCTTTTCTACACCTTCCCTCATGCCAAACAAATAAAATTACCCTGCCCTACTTATGCACACTTACTATTGACTACATTACCCTACACATTACCCCGTTCCATTTAAAAATTATTAATTGAATTTAATACGGATGTTAATATAAAATAGTCAAACTTCGAACACGATGATGATATATTGACAAAATATTAGTTTATAATTAGATCAAACGAGATGTCCTTAAATTAAGTCAAAATAACACGTGGCCATTGAAAAAACATTACTGATTGCGAACTTGATTAAAAATAAAAACTTTTTAAAAAAAGTCTGATCATTGTGTCGATTTATACCCAAAATCGAACTTGAAAACAATTTTGTAAAAAGAAGAATTCAAAACGACCAACGAGCCCACAACATTCATTACAGCGAAGCTATTTGACAAACGTATCTCCTGTTTTTGGTTTCGAAAAGTCAAACGGAAGTTACTCCACTGATTATACATTAGGTATATGTTGCATAACTTTACACTGAATTTGATAAGATGTAGGTAGGGCAAATGCCCGTAGTTTTTGAAATAATGGGATTATGGTAAAAAAAGTTTTGACGCTTTTGCACGTGAAAAACATTGAGTAAAAACGACAAAACTTGTTTGCTGCTCAAGTATAACATGTACAATTAAAATTTTGCTATAATATGAAACTACAAAACCTTTTTAAGCATAAAAATAGCTAATAACCACAAAACATGTAGGCCTGATGTAAAAAATAATGTACCAAAAACTCAAAACTCATATTTTATATACAACACGTTCGATAGTGCTTGTTTACTTAACCTTGAGCGTATCAGTCCTTAATACTGTATTAGTCTGATAGTCATAAGACAAATTAAACCCTCTTTCTTTATACGAAGGGACAAGGCTGTCAACCGAGATTACAATAAAATCAAAGTACCTAGCCCATCGTAAGAGGTTTTAAACAACACATATATCATTTTAGAAACCTGTAACAACTCATTCATCATAGTCAAAATCGAAATTGTAAAAAATAAAAACATTTTAAAATAAAAAAGTCTAAAATTGTGAACCTCTAACCGTATACTCCTTCTAAAGTAATATCAGTCTTTGACAGAAAAAAATTTAAAAAGTGTAACAAACAACCGCCCCCTAAAATGAAACTTCAAAAGTTCAGCCACGTCAACAGAATCACCGACAAAGTCAGTTATACTATATACCTTTATATTGAGAAGCTTCCGGAAGTTCTTCAAGAACAAAATACAAAGACCGATCAGATCTTCCAAGAATTTCAACGAAATATGGCCAGTGATAACAATAAATGGCCACAAAACATAGTCAAACACAAAATGGTCTATTATTTGTTTGTAGGCGTATTTTGAATGAATTAAGCTAGAGTTATCGTTTGAACCATAAAAATACTGATAAACATCTAAAACAATATTAAAAATTCAACGATAATATTAAATCTTTAAAAAAATTTGTTAAATTTTTTATTGTTTAAGTAATAAATTTAATTCATGTTGAAGTTTTTATTATTTTTTATAGCAATTTTAACAAGACGTCATATAGCAAAAAACATCTTTGTTCGTATAAAATGTCTACGTTAACTAGCTGCGCCCAAATTATCCTTTCTATTTGATAAAAAATAAATGTGCTTGACGTAAGATTGATTATAAAGTATAGAATTTATGATATTATAGTAGTTTTACATTATTTGTACTTATATTTTGTCATTATGTTGTTTTATGGTATAAAATTGTTGAATAAATCAAGTTTAACATCTGGATTGTAAGTTTTTTATATTTTTATGTAAAAATAAATTAATTTTCTCTCTAAATTTTATGCATTTATGGTTTGGAATATTATTTTAAAATTTTGTTAGTTTTTCTTTGAATATTAGTTAAATAAAATAGCTTTTTAGGAGTTTAGCGCGGATATCAACAAGTTCAACATATTATTCACGACTCTCCGCCGCTGCTTTGGTCGATTCAGCTCCAACAAAAGCACAACCTTACTTGCGACTTATGAGATTGGATAAACCAATAGGTAATTTTTTTTATTTTATATTTCTTTTTTATTAGGAACATGGTTATTGTTCTGGCCTTGTACTTGGTCGATCGGATTAGCAGCACCAGCTGGACACTTGCCGGATCTCAAGATGTTGGTGTTGTTTGGAACTGGTGCTGTGATGATGAGAGGAGCTGGGTGTGTTGTTAATGATTTGTGGGACAAGGATTTTGATAAAAAGGCAAGCTAACTGAACTTTTTGAGTTGTAATACATTAGTATGGGAGACATAACGTGCATAATATTATATTTTTGGGTTCTTAAACTTGTTAAAGCTTAAACAATCTTTTAAAAAAAGTACATTTGCACTTAATTGATAATGTTTTAATTAATTTTACATAAATGCATAATTATAGGTAACAAAAATAAAAAAAATATAATTTTAGGTAGAACGAACTAAATCTAGACCTTTAGCTAGTGGAGAGTTGAGGCCGAAACAAGCTTTAGTGTTATTAACAGGTTTATTATCTTCTTCTTTAGCTGTGTTACTTCAAATGAATAGGTTGACAGTTGGAATTGGAGCTTCTTCTCTCTTATTGGTCTTCAGCTACCCTTTCTTTAAGAGAATAACCAATTGGCCACAAGCTGTATTAGGCTTAACTTTTAACTATGGAGCTATTATGGGATTTACGGCTGCTTCTGGACACTTTTGTCCAATTGTGGTACCTCTTTATATTGCTGGATGGTGCTGGACTATGAGTTACGACACTATCTATGCTCATCAGGTATGCTAATGTTACAATTTCATATATGATAGTTTAGGATAAATCTGATGACTCTTTAATTGGTGTAAAGTCAACAGCTTTACTGTTTGGAGACAACACCAAGAAGTACCTGACAGCATTTTCGACCGGTATGATTGCTAATTTGGCTGTTCTCGGTGCAATGACAAATCAAACTCTACCTTATTATGTTGGTGTCTCTGCTATTGGAGCTCATTTGGGACATCAAATTTATACTTTGGATATTAATAATGGCAGTGATTGTTGGAATAAGTTCAGGTCAAATAACTGGATTGGTGCTATCCTATTTGGAGCTATAGTTGCGTCTAACTTAATGAAGGAAGAAAAGAAGAAGGAGCATATAAAAGAAGTTGATGGAGAAGTTATATAGGATTACATGTTAATTTGTATATATCTTCTAGGAAAATTGTTTTCATATTGTTGTAGGTTGTTATTTGTTGAATAAATTGATAAAAATTTTTTATTTTTTAAAATTATTTCTGTTTTTACCTATACTATATTTATTTTTTAATTATTTGTAATGCATTTAGTATAAGTTTATGTAGTTTGGTTTCACATAATTTTACACCTTTTACTTTCACATGCTTTTAAGTATACCAACGTCTTTTAAGGTAATATTTGTGTCATATGTGCTTCGCAGAACCCCGCAAAGCTTTCCAAAATTTCTCTTATCAGCCACAGAATTAACCGAGCCGAAACATGAGCTAACCTCAAACTTGGGTTAATAAACCGAAGAATACGTCCCATCTCTACCTTGCCTTTAATTAGCCACTTGCTTTTCGCATAAGAAACCCCCGATTTTGGAGGCGTTTTTGCACTCTGCCACTCTCTTTCGACAGCCTGACCCTACCGCGCACCAGTCTATGTCTCTACTTCTCTAACAGAGAACACAATGATATTTCTTGTATGTATATACATCGCACTGAATAGCTGTGTTTTCTGAGTCGTCTTTGCAATAGAATGTTAATTAGCCCAACGTGTACGTCCATAGCCCGTTGAACGCACGCCATCCCGTCCGATCTGGCAAGTTAAGCAACGGCTTGATTAGTACTTGGATCGGAGACGTCCTTGGAATCTCAAGTGGCTTTTTGAACAATTTTAAAAATGTTATACACAAAATTTTTATAAATGTGAAAAAGTTTATTCTTATTCTGCCTCTTCTACGAGAATGCTAGATTCATATTTTCTCAATCAAAATCGCAAAATTTATTTTGACTGGTAAAGTTATTGAATTATTATAATATGTATAGAATAAGTTTTACTGCCGCTTTTTACAATTTGTAAAACAAGTTGAAGCGCAACAACAGCAACTGAAGATATTAAGAAAATGATATATATGCTCCACGATAACCGCGAAGCTTTCCAAAATTTCTCTTATCAGCCACAGAATTAACCGAGCCGAAACATGAGCTAACCTCAAACTTGGGTTAATAAACCGAAGAATACGTCCCATCTCTCCCTTGCCTTTACTTAGCCACTTGCTTTTCGCATAAGAAACCCCCGTATTTGGAGGTGTTATCGCAATCTGGCGCTCTCTCTTGTTTTGTTGTAAAACTGATGTGTCTCTTATTCTTGTTTTATAATAATGCATAATTTTTGACTTTTAATAATGTCTATATCATGTAAAATTTTGGTTTTCAAATTCATTTGTATTTATAGTCATTCATTGTTAAAAACCGTAAAAAATCAAAATATCTTTAAAACAATTCAAAAATGCGTACGCCACTTGAGATTCCAAGGACGTCTCCGATCCAAGTACTAATCAAGCGCACCGTTGCTTAACTTGCCAGATCGGACGGGATGGCGTGCGTTCAACGGGCTATGGGCGTACACACTTGCTTAACATTCTACAACAAACAGAATTCAGTAGACAACGCCTTCACACATAAATTATACACAAACAAAAAATAGCATTGCTCTCTTTGTCAGACAGTTAAAGACATATAATAGCGCGCTGCAATGTAAAGGCTTTAAGAGAGAGCGGCAGGTTGAGAAAACGCCTCCAAAAATCGGGGGTTTCTTATTCGAAAAGCAAATGGCAAAGTAAAGGCAAGGGAGAGACGGGACCTATTTTTCGGTTTATTAACCCAAGTTTGAGGTTAGCTCATGTTTCGGCTCGGTTAATTCTGTGGCTGATAAGACAAATTTTGGAAAGCTTCGCGTTATCGTGGAGCATATAAAGATGGCTTATTATCGTTCCGTTAGCGTTTTTGCGTTAAAAAGTAATTAAAAAGCAGTAAAAAACCGCAGTAAAACCTATTGTATGTTATACTTGTAAATCAATAATTCACAAGTTGAAATAAAGTCTGTGTTTTTGATAATGAAAGGTACCTAGTGTTCTGGTAGAAAAGAAATAATTTTTTTAATTCATAAAAAAATTAAAATTCTTGCAAAATGCGTACGCCACTTGAGATTCCAAGGACGTCTCCGATCCAAGTACTAATCAAGCGCACCGTTGCTTAACTTGCCAGATCGGACGGGATGGCGTGCGTTCAACGGGCTATGGGCGTACACGTTATGTTAACATTCTACAACAAAGAAGATTCAGAAAACACAACTACTCAGTGTGATATATACACATACAAAAATATCATTGTGTTCTCTGTTAGAGAAGTAGAGACATAGACTGGTGCGCGGTAGCGTCAGGCTGTCGAAAGAGAGTGGCAGGGTGCAAAAACGCCTCCAAAATCGGGGGTTTCTTATTCGAAAAGCAAGTGGCTAAGTAAAGGCAAGGGAGAGACTTGACGTATTCTTCGGTTTATTAACCCAAGTTTGAGGTTAGCTCATGTTTCGGCTCGGTTAATTCTGTGGCTGATAAGAGAAATTTTGGAAAGCTTTGCGGGGTTCTGCGAAGCACATATGACACAAATATTACCTTAAAAGACGTTGGTATACTTAAAAGCATGTGAAAGTAAAAGGCGTAAAATTATGTGAAATCAAGTGAAACGGCCTAAAAAGCTTTATGCCTTATGGCTACTTCTGACCTTTGAGTCTTAAAAATGACGGATAAAATTTTGAAATTTGAAAAGACCAAATTTAAATGTAAGTAAAATTGTTGTTAATTTTGCTCAATTCTTTCTAAATTAAGTAATACTTTGGTTACAGTAAAATTCTCTAACGAACTCTTTACGTTCAAACTCCTGGAAGGTGCAGAAGATGCTGATGAGCTTTTACGAAAGTGGACTATTGCTCATGAAAAGAAGGCCAGTTTGTTGCCGAGGTAGGTAGTTGACGTTGTTACTGTTCAAAAGCATTTATGTTGACAATATCTTCTACCAGCTCATATAATGTTACATATTCTAGAAAAAAGTTTGTACGATGGGCATACGAGCAAAGTCTTCACCGTAACACGATCAATTCTATCTTGAGGGAGAGCTGGAATGATGACATGGGTTTTGCGGTCAGTTTACATCTCATCTTCTCACTTTATCGCATTTCAGAGAGTATGGTTCTGGCTGATAAAACAACCTGAATTCCAAGGACATTCTCAGAATCCGGAGCCCAAGTTAGAAAAGTTTCCTCGAGATTCATTCGTACGTACAGCTTGTGAAGAGATTTTGGAATGGTTTTGGGCCGCGGAAAAGTTGGCTTTGATTCGTTTGTATTCTGGAAAGTACAAGGAAGATGACAATGAACGAGAACGTAGAGTTGAAAGTAAGATATGCCACTTAATTTACGTTTTTTACTTTTAGAATCTCGAGGAACTGGTACAACCAAGCTTGTACGACCAAGTACTGCCGTTTCTTTATCGAATTTGGCCAGGTTCAGAATTCGACGGTATTTTGAAGAACGGTAAGTTATACTGTAGACAAAATGACGTACTCTGATACCTAATATGACATACCTAATATAAATTTTGAATATTTTAGGGAAGGAGTACTTTTTAACAACTCATGGTTGACAAGCGCGACTACAGTAACCTCTCATACGATCAGAAACAAAATTTTGTCATTAATGATAGCATTTCACAAAGGAATCGACGAAGGTTTAGTACCGTATCTTCCAATCAAGAAGAAAAGAGCTACAGAAATTACATTGAGTCAAGAATGTACGAAAAGTGCTCATCAGTCTATCAAAGCTTACATTGAGACTCTACAGAATGCGGTAAGAGGTTCTTACTGTAAAATGTCAGCTTTTATATTGTGTTACCTACAATTCAGTTATAGTCATCATTTGTAATGTTGACTGTATCCCAAATTATGACTATTATTGTTTTTACCTTGTTCAAGTTTTGTGATATTATAGTAGTCAAAAATATCAAAGTAGACGTAAAAACAGTATAATTTCAGAAAAGCGTAATAAAAGTGGAATGTAAGGCTCAAGAAAGAAAGTTGAATATATCTCTGGACAAGCTCAAAGATGACTTGAAAGCACCTATTCTGGAGTTGGCTAGGAATGAGAGGATTCGAATGACAGGTGAAGAAATCACATTTTACACTGATGAGATTCTGAAGTTGGTCGATAAAAGTAACGAAGAGTTCCAAAGAAATCCGACTGTTGAACAGTTTGCTTCTCTTATTCATAATGAACCGGTAGGCCATTTGAATTGGATACTGGAGTTTCTATGACATTTTAGTTCAACAAAATAGTTTTGATACCTTTAAGTGGCCTTTTGTACCCTAAAGTAATGAGATATTATTACCGTAAAGTAACGAAATATTGTCATCTTCAGATTCCTCAAAATGCTGCAGAAACGTACCTAATTGAACGATTTCTGACGTCTCGAGAGAACCTCATCAAGCTGTCGAAAGGACCAAAAGTAATCGAAGTCAACTGTTTCTCGATTGAAATGGCCAAAGTATGGAGTGTGCTTGAAGACCGTGCCCATACTGTAATTATGAAGTGTTCAAGACAAGTTAGAGAAAGCTTTCATGAGTAAGTTCATATTGGTATTGATCTGTGAGGCAAGGAAAATAGCATGGTTTTGGTATCGGACGCTTATATGATTTTAAGGTTGCAATAAGGTGTGGATAGATAGTTATGTTACTTTATAGTTCGGTCTCATCGCTACAAAAGGAGTTCAACAAGTTTAAGAAGGTGCTTAGCTTCCGGTCGATGGATCCTACAACAATGTTGAAAAACAAGGTGAACATTGATATATTATTGTAAAACCATTATACAATAGAGGCTACTGCGGAAATTGTTATTGTAACAACCATGTTGCTATGCTGCAATTGTTTTTAGCCCAATTTTATACAATTTACACATATACAATCGTATTTTACGTAAAATTAAACTTTTTAGGCAGAAGTAATGGAAATCACCCAGTTTGATCTCCCACGAGCTGTTAATTCTCTTGTTGAAGCCTATGACAGAATGCATCGGCTTACTCAAGTAATCCAGTTTGATCCAACTGAGCACGACTACCTGATTAATGTGGCACTGACAAGAAGAGCGTTACCTAGACATATTGCTGATCACAACATGTTCTTCCAACGACGACTGCATATCTTTGCTCATTTTGTTAGGGTAAGAACTGTATTTTAGTTAAGTAATGAGTACTGTACTTTAGCTAAGCTAATCGTAATCAAATCAAAAATTAAAATTTAAGATACTATTTTGCTATATCTATAACAATATATTACATATGTAAGATATATGATATTTTTTCAGAAGCGTGAAGAAGCGATAAAACAAGCTACCGAATCAGCCATGGCGCAATTGAAAGTTATTCATGGCTTCATTGATCCGCAAGATGTTGATCAATATTTAGTACAAATGAAGGCTCTGAAGCCGATGGTGATGGATCTACTGGTCGAATTGAAGGAACTTAACGCGCAAGAGAAGGTAATATTAACTTCGATTAGAATGTTCTATTGATTTAAAAAAAACTGACGAAATATTTTTAGGTAGTTAATTTCAATGTGATGCATTTACCAGAACTCAGCTCGCTCGGAGATCAAGTCAATGTATTGTGGTCACTGTTTGAGTGGTGCAAGCGTTTTCATGAATTTAGATCGTAAGTTTAATTACGTTATTGTTGAGATACCTTCCATAACAACTAACATGTGTACATTTTATGTATTCTAGTTTTGAATAAGTAATATGTTTCAGAGACTTCTTCAAACGCCGTCGCACTGATATTCGAGTAACCGACTGCCAAAACTTTGTAGATTCATTTTTTGAAATTCTGGCGTCAATCGGTCCAAAAATCGAAATTCAAAAAACCGCCAAAGCCTTTTCGATGCAATTGAAGACCGAGATTGAGCAGTTCAGACATCACATTCCAGTACTGGAAGTAATGTCATGTCCTCGTCTCACTGAACGACATTGGCAAAAGATGTCAGACATTGTTGGATTCAATTTGGCACAATATGCAAACGCAACTGTCGCTCAAATATGCGAACTGAACTTGAATCTATATGTCAGCAAACTGAAGCCGATAGCATTTATCGCTGAAAGAGAAGGAGCGATCGCTGATCAGGCCAACTTCATCACTGATTTTTGGGCAGAGGTAAGGTTTTTTAAAGTGATATGATTGTAGTAAGATGCCAAAGTGATACTATACTGCCATAATATAGTGTAAAAGATAATAATCTTACCTTTAGGCTTCATTCGACATGACAATGACTGGATTCTGGGGTATTCAAATACCGTCAAACCTTCAAACATTACTCAATTCGGCTCAAGAACATAATCAAAAGATTCGAGCTTACCGTGATCCAGATGACAAAAGTTACACTAACCAGAGTTTAGACCAATGGACGGAAGACCTCAGGAAGTTACTCTTGATCCTGAGAAGTTGGAATAAAGTGCTGGAGACTTGGAAGCGATTATCTGAAGTTATGAAACATTCAAGTCAAAAGATTCTTGAAGAGTTCGAGGAATTCAGAACGTGCTCCAAGTATTTTAGGTAAAGTTTTCTTGCTAGAGGAATAATAGTGGAACGAAAATTGTAAAAATAAGTTTTTTTGTCAATAATTCGCGGATTATCGTAGGTAAATCCAGGGCGCAACTGAATGAGATCTTTTGCATGCTCCGGGGACATTTTATACGAAAAATAAATCATTCAAATATGAAACGACTTTTTAAATTCAGGTTTCAATATATAAACAAACTTCAAATTTGAACAATTTCAGAAGACTAGCCCGCTATGTAGACGAAGAACGATATGTGATCAAAATCATCGAAGGTAAACACATCGTATGTTGGATAGAACTGGCTCAAAAGCACCTGAATAAGTGTGTGAATGGAATGGAACGGTATCTTGTAGATCTTCGTGGAATCAGTCCAAGAATAGCGTTGATGTCCAATGGAGATCTGTTGAAGTTACTATCGATCAACGATATTGATGAAGCTTTGGAAGTTTTGCAACGAGAATGTTTCCCATTGTTGGGGGATCTGATGGAAAATGATTCTAAACTTGTGGCTATCAATATTGAAGGTAAATTATGGTTTATCTGTAATATTTCTAGTTTTTTTATTACGGTTTTAAAGGTGACTAAGGGATGAATCGAGCTTTGGTGTTTTTTCGAGAATTTTAGATATAAAATGTTTTTAGGTGAAAAGATTCGCTTTGATGGTATACTATCAACTGAACTTCTATACGATCAAGGTCCGAAGGAATTTTGTGTAGCACTATCTAAAACTTTGTCAAAATTAATCTTGCAGGTCAGTACATATTACATTACCACACATTCTTCATGTTTGTAAATTCTATCGGTTTTCATTGGTGTAGCTCAGATATCTACACAAATAAATGATAGTTTATTTTGCAGGATTACGTACGGTTTACACAGCATCGAAGTTTAATGAAATCTCAGTTCAGAGTGACACATGTCATCAACGACTTTATATTACACATGAATCCAGAAAGCGGTTTTAAGTATAATTACGACGTAAGTGATTAAAACCATTAGTCTATTCAGTCCTTAAGTAAAATACGTGATGTAAAGGAACGATATTGGTATAATCTTTTAGTCGGAAATCAATCAACTTCAAATCATGTTGCGTGGAAACAACATGGTGGTACCATTGGCTCCAGACTACGTGCATTCACTGATACCTTTGGTATTTACTGAGTAAGAAATGTAATTAATTAATTTTTTCTCAATATCTTTGTTTTACATAACATCTAGACAATTGTTTGAAAGTATTCAATAATGATTTTAGCGCATCTTTTACACATAACTGGTCTTTGGGCAAGATACCTATAATAACTGGACTATTGAATGAATTAAGGTCTAGAGTACAATCTTTAGCTAGAAATATGGTGATATCAGTGAGGTTTGTTAATTGTCATCCTAGCTTGGAAAACTCGGTTTTTGACAAAATAATCAAGGTGAGGTTGTTGAGGTAAAGCTATAAAGTATCTATAATACTGTTTTATGTGCGAAATATTTAAAACTTTAAAAAATAAAATTGAAAAAATGAAAAATTAGTTTTAATATTTTATGTTTTAGGCTTCCCAACAAACAGAAGTCTTATTTGTGTTAGAAAACATTGACCAACTATCAGATCCTCAACTAAACTATCTTTTGTTGGCTATCGACAGAATCGAAAGAGATTGTGCACGACTTATTCTATGTAGTACTAATACTCAATTCGCTACAAAGTTGAGTAATCATGTCAAGCTGTTTTTGTATCAACAAACCCATGATAACAAAAATGGTGCTGATAAATTGGCTGTTAAGAATACTCCAGTTAAAAGAAGGAGAAGTTCTGTAGCTCCGCCGCAGGTTCAGCAACAGTCACAACAACAGGTGAGAGTTTAATGACATTATATGTAGTTGATGACGTAGTGAAAGAATGTATTATATATTCTTTTTACTTTATGCTTTTATTTATTACCTAAAATTATTTTAAAAATTAGAAGAGATATGTTGTTGTTTTAACCGTATAACTTATTGACTTTGACTTCAGAACCCAAAAGCCGAGCACGACAAGCCTTCGTCGAAAAATCCAGAAGAAATTATGCACGAAGCCTTATTTGGAGCAGAATCCATCAACTTCACCATGTCTAATGTCAATTTTGCTTTAACATGTTCAGGAGCAACAGCTAAAGATGCCTTAATTGATTGTATAAACAGGGTCAATGCCAGAGCTACCTGGATCTACTTTGATGCTCTTGAACACGATCAACTGATTTCTGAAGAAGATGAGTTTGGAGCTGATAACCTGGGATATTTGATACAGTCTTTGAGGAGTATAATGTCAGCAAATGAGGACAAAATTGATGCTGGAGGTGTTTGTAAGTAGAATTTTTAAATTTAATTGAAAGTTATTTGTGTTTTACCTTGTTTACCTTATCTTACCTCATCTGGACTTTAACTATTTGTTAAAAAAACTTCTTTGCCATGGTTTATGAGGTCTTTATTTTTGTTCTTGTAATCAACATGTTGTCTGTTCATCACTACTATAATATAACTTTAGCTACCTCCCACTCGAACCGTGTAACAACAGCGATCAGCCGTCTAAACACTGCCGGAACGACTGGAACAGACGAAGCAGCTTCACGCCGACATTCTGTAGCGATGAGACATCCGAGATACTTGATATTTTATGGTATTGATCAACTACAAAAACATTTTCCACAAATCAGCACCTTGTTTTACTCTCACTCGCCTGGAGTTATACCTGAAATGCCACCCGGATCGTATCTTACTATGACTGATGGCAGTAACTTTTACGCCGCTAAGAATATACGATTCGTTCTTTGTTTACCTAATTTGGATGTAGGTTTTATGGCTTGATGTAGTTTTGCTAGGAATATACTGCAATTTGTAATAGATTAATAGGATAGTAGTAATCTATTTGTTATAATATAGTTTTGAAAATAACGTACTGTAACTTATGGTGTCTACAATGATTCTCAAAAACTCTTGAAACATTAAATGATCTATCATAACATACTATTTTAGAAGTCAGTAGACGAGTGGTTGAAAAGATACGAAATACGAACTATAAATTTACCAGAAGAGGCTAGACCAAACCATGACGAACAGTGGAATAAGTTTAAATCTAGGCTGGACTTAATAGTAAAAAGATCAGAATATTTGGAAGTCATTACGAATACCATTGAAATACTTATATTACCTTTACTCAAGTTCTTCAAAGTTATGCCTGTAAGTTATATCGACTTCAAAGGAGCAATCTTTTATGTCAAAGCTAACTAAAGTAGAGATGTAGCAGAGTAAAATTATTTTATTTTATTGCTATTGTATATGAGTAATATTGTTTTAGTTTTTGTTATATACTACGGTGTCTGCAAGCTTTATTTTTCAGAGTTTTGTGTTTGAAAACATGTTATGGGGCCTAGAGATTGATCTAAAAGAATATACACCTCAAATAACTACTGCAAATTATGGTGAATTACTACGATCGGTTACGGTACAAAGCTGCTTTAATTATGTTGTGATATATCTTCAAGATAGTGTAGTAGAAGCCAATAAATTTATAGAAGAAAAGGCCAATGACTGGGACAGGAACTCATCAGACATGGGCAAATTACCCAATCCTATAGGACAGTTCAAACTTTCAACTACTGTAAGTTTTGTACTGTTATTTGAGTACTATAACCACTGTAAGGTAGAGTGCTATAATATTATTGTTAAATGTGCAAAAAAAGCAAGCTTTTTTAAAATTTTTGGTTTTAAAAAAAACGAGCTTGTTTGAATTTTAAAAATATGTATTTTAGGAACCTGGATTTTGGGTGAAATGGAACGACAACCTTCAAGTACGATCGCTATTGTCCAAGGAATTGAGTTTATCTCAAATTTATGTAAATTTCATTTCGATGGATCGAATTTTCATGGAATTTGAAAAGGTTTTTGTTCACAGCGACAACAATTTCATTATTACTGGGCCGAGGTACTGTGGCAAAAGTACTGCTATCAAGGTAAAACAACTAGATATTAGGTTGTATAATAATTTTGTGCCTTTCTCAATTAATTCTGTACCTCCTCTAAAAGCAAATTTTCGGCGCTAGGGGGTTTAGTATTATTTTAACAACCTGATAGATTCGGTTTTGAAAGTTGTTGTTTTATGTTTACAATTGACGTCTTCAGCGAGTAGTCAAGTACTTGGACATTTCTCAAACAGGCTACAAGTTTGTCTACATGGATTGCACCGATCGGTTCTACTTAACAGCGATGCAACAAAGATTGGCTCAACTATCAGCTGATAAACAAGTTGTGAGTAATGCTAACTGTTTCTTAATGAAAAATTAAAATAACCCATATATATGTGTTACTGAACTTTTGGGGCGAGTAATGACTCTTCGATATGTTTTAGTGTTTGATTGTGGATCATTTTCAATTTACTGAAACATGTAAAGCTTTACTCGAAATGTACAATGATCAATCTATGTTGGTATATCAGAACCAGCCGCAAATGTGTACCACTAAACTGAAGGTAAAATACTTGATTAAATTTGCCATGTGATACTCATTCAACAGCTAAAACACTGGCATCTTTTTCTTTGGATCATAGCTATTTCAATTAAAGTTTTTTTGTACGAATTTTAACTTAACTTCAGTTTATCTTAATAATGGATACGGAAGAGTACGACAGATGCTGTAAATACGGCGGATTCAGAAAGAAATTTAATGTCATACCAATGAAGCCACCGACAGTTGATGAGCTTCGCTTTATCTTCGAACAACTCTTGATTTGGCATTTAAAAACAAAGTAATATTATAGTTTAAATTTTTTTGGCAGTTTTTTACAATTTAATTAAATATTCTTTAGAACATTTTCATCAGATTACCTTCATCTAGCACCAGTGTTAAGCCTGGCTTCAGAAAAATTGTTTAAAATTGTGGGTAAAGTAAGTTTTACGCGGACTAAAAGCTTTATGAAAATTTTGGTTATGTTAACTCTCTTTAAAATATTTTATATCACACTCACTTTTTAGCTAGAAACAGAGCTTTTGCCAATAGTAATAAGACTAGCCAAGTCGATGATGTTCGCTTTTCCTGATAATACTCCTGACCTCGACTCGATGCAACGTTTATGGTGCCACGAGATTCTCCGAGCTACTGTCGACCGAGAAATCGACGAACAGAAAAGAAAAGCATTCTTTGGCTCATTTGACACAGTACTAACTGAGACATTGGGTACCACTTTGGAACGACTATTCCCATCAGTCAAAGGAGAAGAGACTGAGGATGATGAAGATGATTTCTATGGGGTATGGATTAAGTTTTGTTGGAAAATGTTTAGTTAGGCTTCGATAGTTAAAGTCATACTATGATTTCAGAAGAAAGAAGGGCATTTGGAGCTGGTTGACTTCTCGTTAGAATCTTTATTGTACTCTGAAATGGCTGGTCAAGAGACTATGGATGGCCTAAACTACCAAATAATTGCAAAACGATCTGATTTCAATAAAACTTTGGAGAATCTACACTTTGAATACACTAAAAACCATGAAGGTTTCAACATTGATCTAGTAATCACTGAGTAAGACTTTGTTTAGGTACATTATGGCCAGAAATAGTATACATAAGAGTTGATTTTAGTCTATCTATTCATAATTGTTTTTAGTTTTGTCTCAAACCACGTCCAACGCCTTATGCATTTGTTCCGCCAACACAATGAACATGTTGTTCTTGGTGGGTATTCTGGTTGTGGCAGATCACAATGTATTAAAATGGCATCTTTCGGAGTTACCGGTCAGATATTCCATTGCTTTTTGGACCCAACAACAGCTCAAAGTTTTGAAAATTCGTGGAAAATCGTACTGATCAGAGCGATCAACGTGTTGGTGACCGTGAATCATCCTGTTATTGTCGTTTTTCATTACGATTATTGTGTAAGGCGATATATTAATTTAACTTTTTGTTTCTACGTTATCAACGACTCAACAGTCGGTATACATTAAAATGAAAATCAAGTGTGTACCGTATTTTACAAAACCAAATTTAATTTTTAAGTTTAATTTTAGATATCAAAAATACCGAAAGAATGGCTCCGAATGTTGAAGCAGTGGCTACAGAACCCAGTAGTTGGAAATCTGATGAGTGACACAATTGTCATCAAAATGGCCGAGAAAATGATTGAAAGCGAAAAAACCTTGGCTACATTGGTACAGTCATCTAATATACGACTACCTGGGTTCGTTTCAACAATTTTTATTGTATTGCACTACTTGATCAAAAAATTTTTAGAAACAATAATTGTAATAGAATTACTACTTGTAATATTTGTATTATATCTGTAGCCCTTTCTACATTATTTTTGAGCAAAATGACAGTATACGTTAGATATAACGAGAAGGTGTATAAATTTTTAGTGTAAAATCGCTATTTTAGCCAAAGATACTGTCAATTTTTGTCGTTTGAAGCCTTCAAAAACGTCGATCTTCTACGGTCAACATTAGAAGCCAGACTTGCCGACTTCTTGCACGGTGTCTTTTTAACACCTCCAGAAGTCGTGGATGAGTTCGAATGGTGCAGTGGAGATCAATATACAGTAAGTTGTTAAATTATATGACTAGGGTGACTAAAAAAGCATTGCCAAAAATAATAGATATGAAATTTGAGATAATACAATGTAAAATACGAGCCCGGTGAATGGTTGTACCAAATTTCTTTTAGACAGTGTCAAAAAGCGAATGTCGCAAAATAATGGAAAAAACTATTGCCGAATGTTTGGCCGAAAATAAGTCCAGACTATGTGAAACTATCGAGTTACTGTACGCAAACTGTAAAGACCTACTGTTAAAATCATCATTTTCCTGTTTAAACTTGTTCAAAGACAGTAAATTACTATACGACATATGCAGACTTAGCGTCCGATCGTATAATAAAAGAAACAGGTAGGTTTACTCATTGGTATGGTATATTATTAGTATAAAAAGTAAAATACGTTGCATTTTTTATTGAAGCTAAAATACTTTCAGTTTGATCCAAAAACGAGTTGAACATCTGGACAATGCTCTCCAAACAACCCTCAGAATCAAAGAATTGAGTATCATTGGCTCCAACAAGTCACTGTTCGAGCTTCAGAAGAAGAAAGAAGACCAAGATCTTGTGTTTGACTTTTTCAAGAAGCTGATTGAAGAAAATAAAAAAAAGAAATCAGAATTGGAGAACAAGCTCTCTGCCTTGGAGGTTGATCTTCAAGGAGTACGAGGGAAACTGCTTCAGAAGACCACTAAGATCAATATTGTTTTAGAAGAACCAGAAGCTGACTTTCAGGATGCCTTGGCTGGAATACTGAGTTACGATTCTGATGACTACAAGAAGTTGGCCAATTTGAAACAACCATCACTTGTTTTGAGAAGTGTCATTGAATGTGCGAGGAGAATGGTGGAAAAGAACTATAAATCAGGCAAGGATAACATTGTTTTTGGAAACATTAATATAAAACATGAATTTGTGGATAATTAAATATCTTATAGATTTTTTAAAATTATTGATAAGATGTTTTAAAACCAATAAAATCAGGTTTTCAATTTCAAGCCCCTATTTTCAGACAGAAACGTGATTGAAGCCTGGAAGAAGTCAAGTAAAGTTATCATGAAACGCTCATTCCAACAAAAAGTCAAAGACTTCCGACCAGACCAAATAACAGTACAAAAGCTGAAAGACATTACTAAATCGACCGATGCCAAAGACTTTAAACCAGCCAAGATACACATGGAAAACCCCTTGGGCGGTGACTTGGCCCAATGGGTCTTGGCATCAGTGAATGTGGCCAAGTGTTACCGGTCGATAAAAACGCAAAGAAAAGCGGTTGGTGATACAGACAAGATCGTGAAACACAAAGAAAAACTATTGGCAGGCCTGACTGAAGAGTTGGCGTACCAAAACAGAAGAGCCAAGGCCTTGGAGAAGGAGTTAGAAACAGAACAAACTGCAGCTACAAAGCTGAAAAGACTCATTTGCTACAGGGAAAGAGGAGATTTGGTTCTGAATTCGATTGGAGGAATGCAGAATAAGTAATAATTCTTTAAAGGCTTTTAACAGTTTCTTGAGTGTAAAATATACTGATAAGTCTTATGTAAAAGTTTACATTCACAGTCTTTATTTTAACTTATTATACCTTTCAGATGGAAAAATATGGTAACATCAACAAAGTCTCGACTGGACAATCTGTTGGGGAACTCCGTTTTTGTAGCCGCTTACAAAGTTTTGGCATGTTCCCAAGACAATGAAATGAAAAATGTAAATTTTTTATAATTTTGAACATTAAAACGATATGATAGTAATTTACTATGTTTGTTGAAGTATATCTTACTATTATTAGCTTTGAGACAAACAATTCCCTTTCAGAACATAATAAACAAATGGAGAGGAGCCATGCTACGATATAACTTAACATACGAAGAAAGGTTCACATCCATCCAGACCCTAACTGTTGAACTGTTAAGGCAAGCACTAAAATCACTGATAATTATATGATTTTATATTTTAGGCAAGTAAACTGGAGAGACCCATGGCCACTCATCCAAAGCAGAAGACAAGATATTCTAACTGTGATCAAGCTGTTTTACAATGATTGTAACACAGTCGACATGAAGGAGCTCAAGTGGACAGATCACGACCTACTGGACAAAGTTATCAGAGCTTCGTATTCTGACCAATCATTGGTATGTGGGCTCAAAATAGCATTTTTTTGCTTGCAAAGGTTACATTTTTACACTATAAGAGAATTTTACGTTGGAATTTGTGCACTTTTAGATATTATTCAACATAAAATCCTCACCTCCACCATCTTGGTATGAACTACTTCTACGAGAACCAGACAAAGAAAAGAGGACTGTCGAGCTATTGGGAATGTCTGTGATGTTAAACGAAAACTTCAAGTTGATAATGCTAACAGAAATGGATTTTGTCATGTTTGATCAAGAAGTTCTTCGTTTGGCAAGTATTACAAGTTATATTAAAACTAAATCTACCAAATCTTTACAAGCCTTTCTTACACAATATACTAAACATTACAGATAAACCCAATGAAACTACACGAAGTGTTTGATATGAAGGAACATCAAGGCTCGGAAACCCTAATGTAAGTTATTTTCAGTAATCTCAATATTGTTTTAGGAGTGCGGAAGAAGATCTACTCAAACTATTTACCGATTTCAACGCCATTGACATTCTGGAGTCGGAAGAAGTGACAAATCAAGTGCTACAGACTATTGACGGCATTCCTATGGCCAATTCATAATTTATTTTTTCAAAATAAAATTATTTTACAATTTGTGGCGTTTCGTTTCAGAATGTATCGGATTTTTTGGCTATACGCTTATCTATAAAATACGTCTTTAAATCGTAATAAATTAGCTAAAAGCATATTAAAATGACTGATTATTGTAAAATACGTTATTGTCAATAAGTATTGTTTTAATTTTGTATAGTTTTGAAGGTTTTAGTTTATTAAGCTGTGTCATAATGACGGATTTTATAGATTATAAAAATAATTTTCGACGATTTTTCGCCAAAGCTTAATGGTAAAGATTTGGAGATAAAAGAAGCGAAACATCAGATGGTATAACACGCTTTTTATATTCTTTTCTCGTGTGTTTTGCATTCTTGTAGCTTGGAAACAAAGGTATGTGTTTTAAAAGTTATTTCTTTTGGTTTTTAGATGACGCGTGTGTGATCTTATACAAAGTTATGGATTAAAAGTGAAGTTTGGAACATTAAAGTTTTGAGAATTATTGACTTAGAGTTCCAAACGGTTAAAATTGAAAAGAACATCAGTTTTGAGGTTAAGGTGTCTGTTATTGGGGGTAACGTAATATATGCAGTTTTTTGGAACTTTTACAAGGTTTTAAACAACGTGAAAACGTTGAAAATTATGGTTTTTTCTCAGACAGCTGATTTTTGATTCTTATGGCGCATTTTTCGTTGAATTCGACATCGATTTACTTATTTTAAGTCTAATACCTCGGTTCACATCTTAAAATCACGAAAGTTTAAGATTTATAAAAATAAATATTTTGAGGACAATTATATATATACCTACGAGAAAGCATAATGCTGTTAGGAAAGCGATTTGTTATTCTTAAATTGTCCTGCTCCAAGGTCTCTGGTTCGAAATGACTTGGTGATAAGAGAGGTCTTCGCATTTTAATCAATAGATTGGTCAAGTTATTATTTCATGTCTAACTCGAGAGTTGTTGTTTGTGGTATCTGGTTGTAGATGATTCGTTTGGAGCAGTTGAAGTTAATGTGAGGTTAATTATAACGTTATTTTTGTGATTGTTTCAAATGTCAGTTGCAAATGATAAGCGAGGAGAGGGGGCAATCTTGGTTTATATTTAATGCGTTTCTCGAATTTTTGTTCAAATTTAGTATTGTTTTGTCGGTTTTATTGAGCTATCAATGTAATGTAAGGTTTATTTTATAGTTATAGTCGAAACTTTAAAGGTTAAAGGGATGTTAATATTATTTTTGAACTTTAAGAAAATTTTAAAAATTTTTATGAAATTAAATAAGGTTTAATAGAAATTAGATATTAATTTGAGCTTTTCTAAATTTTTTAAGCTAAAGATAGTAAATCTGACTTTAATACAAGCTTAAATTTTTATATCTCATAATATTTTGTTGTAGGTTGCCTAACGGTTCGAACGGAGACATTAAAACAACCGACGAATCTCGTCGCAACCATTGCGGTGGTACTCCACCTGTCATAGTAGTAACTCAGCCAGGTTCTCAGCGTAGTTCGAGAGGATCTCCAGTCATGAGTTCAGTAATGGATCCATTGTTGTATGATGAAAGCCCCATAAGCAAAGACAGACGTCAGTTCCTGATCGTATGTGTATTTGACTCTGTGTTAACCACAATGCTATGGCTGTTGAGTACTGTAAGTTATTTTTTCTTGATTTATCTTACTTTCAAATTTAGGAGTTTCTTATAAATAGTAGATCTTTTGACATTTTTATAAAGTTTTTGTTACTTGTTGTTTTTGTTGATGTTAATCTTACAGTAATTGATATTTTCATTTCAATAAGTTTATGATTTATAAGCTTTATTGTAAGCAGTGTCTCAATAGGAAACATAATATTAATATATACAATGGACTAGAGTTCTATTAACAGTTGTCTGTTAATTACCAGTTATTAACTTAAAACATGTACATTCATGAGATTTTGAGTAGACGGATAAATGCAATAATATAAGTGTTGTAGCGTGTCCTAGTTTATATCGTCTTTCTCAAGTTGTGTTGCCTTCTTCTGCGTGATCTTCTTCTGAAATAAAAGAGGTTACTTTTGGTTATTGGGCTGTTATTTTATGTTTGGAAAGACTTGTTTATGATGACTAAAGGTTGTTTTTTAACCGCATGTTATGAAAATTTAAAAAATTTAAAACATGAAAGTTCAAAAGTACAATTTTAATGTTTTAGGTAACGAAAGGCGACGATTGGCCAACGATATTCTTCAACGAAATTAACTTATTTGAACCCAACTTTCTCAAGATCTCTTTATTTGACCTTGTTATAGTAGGTGTCTTAAGAACGGCCCTACTACTACTATTCTTCGCCGCCTTAAGAACCGACCACTGGCTACCAGTAGCTTTTACAACTACAGTAACTACCGGGTTCATAGTGGTAAAAATATTATTTTTCTTTAAAAAGGACCACGGTGCCCTCCCACAGTACCTGGTTCTTCTGGCGTCCTTCTCTGTAGCTTGGTTCGAACTTTGGCTGGTGCCGTTCCGTGTGTTACCAGGGGAAAGACGAGGACATTCTGATGATTCTGAAGCTTCTGTACGACATTCAGACGCTACGTCTTCTGGTTTTCGGCGGAATAAGCGAATCAACGCGAATACAAGGTGAGATCCAAAGCTTTTTACCTGAAAATTTTTTATTTACTGATTTTAAAATACTGCTCTTTTTACTGTTTTTTGGCCCAAGAATGAGGTTTTTGTTTGCTGACACGATAATTTGGACAAAAAATGTTAGAAATCTTTTTGTATTCATAGCTGTTTAATTGGTTTTTTGTATTTTTGCATTTGAATGTTAACGAAAAGTTGTAAATTAACTTTGGAGGATGTTAAAATGTGACTTTATTCTCAATTTCAGAAGGTATCCAGCTACTACGGACGATGATTTTAGATCCGCACTGGAATATACAACTGGTAAGTTGCTTTTTACATAAACTTTTTTGGGAGGGGTAATTTTCAAGGGAGACTTTTTATTTTTTTTCAAGGGAGGTTCATTTTAAAACTTTAAAACGGAAACTTACTTTTTCTTTGAGTGGATTAGGGATACCATGCTTTCTCTCTTTCTCTTTCTTTTTCGCTTCTTTTTTCTCTTTCTTGGCTTGCTTCCTCTTTTCCTTCAAATACAGTACATGACGGAAGTTTCTACCGTATTTTCTTCCCATTCTGAGCTCATACAAAATCTGTGCTCTTCTTTCGTCAACCGAATATACCTTAGGGGGCTTCATGTTTGAATAATAGCTTTCATCGTCGTAGTACATCTGAAAGTACAAAGTTTCCAAATGATCTTTAAAAGTCAGTAAATGAGGAGGTAGAAAGAGCAAAAAACGCGGTTGTTTTGAACTGAAAATGGTTAGATATCAAGCGGTTTAACGGGTTTGCTTTTTGAAAGTCAAAGGTTTTGAAATGTTACGAAAAACGTCGTAACACGTGATAGTTATAGTTAATAAGTGATAAAAAACAAAGTCGATATATAAAAGAAAGTAAAAGTCAGCTTTTGAAAGGTTTGTCACTTTCACATAAAGATATATCTTGATAGATAGACGAACATCAATCCAGCGAAAAAAAAACTAAAATAAATGTAAAAGAACCTGCAATTAATATTCCAGTAAATATTTACGTTTACATTCAGCAAACACGCAATATATGTAAAAATAACTCTAGTAAAACCAGCCAGAATGAGTAATATAAAGTAGAAGAAAACAAAAAGTAATTGTCATATTTATAGCATTTGAGTCGCGAAGAGTGTAGAAGCTTCTGGCATCGTTTAGATTAAGGCTGTTTACAACTTGTAATTTTGAAAATGGCATTGTAAAATGTAGGATGATACTCTGACAATGCTTTTATATTAATATGAGGGAGATGTAAAGATGTATGTGGGAAGAGATATTAGTTGTGAAGGTGCAAACTTAATCTATAAATTGGTTCGGGAAGTATGAGTCTAATAAACACGTTTTATTGGGAATTATGGTAATAGAAAGGAAGTTTTAAAAAATGAGGGTTGCGAGGTAGTTGTAGGTTTACTGTATTAGTAATAGTATATATATAAAGCTTTCGCTATATAAGGTTTTGTGGGGCAGAAAGTAATATTCTTAGAAATGACTACACTTATATTGTTATTAGAAAGCTCGTTAATTAAACTCTTGAACAATTTCGTCTACTTAATTACTGTTAAAGTACTAAATGATCTCTATTTTGGTACAAAAATAGTCTCAAAGTACTAAGAGTCTACTATCTTGGTTATATAATTGGTCTAAAAGCACTAGCAATACTTTTATATTAACATAGGTGTTGGTTGAGAACAAAAAGTACCGTACTCACAATATCAATTGCCTATTTGTGTAGAACAAACTCCACGTTTAAATCTAACAAATGTCACGTAGAAATGTTGAAAAGAATTGTTTGAAAAAATAGATAATAATGATTAATTTTGTCATTTTCAGATGAGGAAAGAACGCCCGGGGCTTCCAAACTCAAAGTCATTACCATCCCAGGATTTGGAAATGTGGACAGACAAGCAGCCCTCGGTATCCTGACAGACTCGTCGGTACAACTAGCTCAGACCATGAACGAAGTACCATTGTGGAAGTCCATGAGGAACTCGGATCCGCTGATTCGCAACAGAGAAACAATGTTTTACATCAAAGCAGAGTTTAAAATTGACCCAAAAACGCTGTTTTTGGCTGCATGGAGGGACAATGGAATGTGGAATCCTCAGGTGAAACACATTGAGTACTTGGTGAAAATCGATGCCAATACAGACATTATACACTTGGAGACACAGCCGGCTCTAGGGGGCTATATCGCGGCAAGGTAAGGGAGAAATGAGGTTTTTAAAGCTTGCTGATGAATTATTATAAGACTAAATTTATACTCTTTAAAGAGCGTGTTAAAAAGAATAGGGTATCTATAATATTAAAGGACATAGATAACATACTTTAACCGGATGTGTAACTAAACATATTTGGTAAACACAGAAAAACGGTTGCTTCACAACAATTAATAATGAAAAATGACATCAAAGTAATGAATATTGTAATGAAAAAGCAAAAATTTTTACAAGAAGCCATAGATGTTAATATTCTTCATATTAATATAGAAAGTATGTGCTAAAAACCATGGTAAGTCAAAAACAACAAACTTTTAACCATTACAAACACGAATAAAACAATATGACAAGATCACATTGTTAACAACCGTGAATAATGAAAAATGTGAAAAAAGGAACCGGGAAGCAAGATAATTTGTTGATAATGAGATTAGCAAGACTTGCAAGAACATTAGACGATAAAGTGGAAGTGTATAATAATAAAAATGTACGTTAAGGTAGTATTATGATAAGTTCAGCAGAATGAGTTAGAATTGATGGGCGGTGTTGTAAGTACAAAAGAATGTGATAATCTACTGATAATTCTGATGATTTTAATGGGAAAAATACAAAAGATTAAACTACAAGGGAAAGGCGGAATTTTGATGATTACTGTAGTTTCTTTAATGTAAAACATACTGTAGGCAACAAATTAGTTGGAGGTTTTGAGGATATAGTCATTATTATGCTTTTTTAACATTACATGGTTTTATAAGTTGTATTAGGTTTGTTTGTGCCTATGAACTTATTTCACGACAAAATACAATAAATTTAACATTAATCAAGCTTAAAACAACAACAAAAAATTAAGTAATTATGTGGTTACTGACACGATAAAATTATAAAACCAAAAAGATATCAGTTAAGGATGTTTTGTGAAAGGAAGTTATGAAAAACAATGCGTTGGTGGACGCCAAAAGCCAAACATTGATATGTTACAACGCTGTAGACAAATTAAACATAAGAAATGGCAGTTTAAACTTGAAAACAATTTTACAGCAAAATTTATGCGCCTGTTAATAAATGTGCTCAAGACAACATTTAAACTAGCATTACATAGTTAGTACAAGCTAGAGACTATATAGAGTAAAGTCAAGTACGTTTTTTCTAGTAAGGAGTGCCTCAAGGCTCTTAGAAACTGGGGACATCCTAATGTTATCGTGAACAATTTTGTAGAGGGACAATGTAGAATTTCGAAAAAAATGGTTAAAAATGAGTCCTCGTACTGCAGTTCTAGATACTTATATATTTTTATCAAAATATTTGTTGGTTTTTGTACAAAATATGACTAAAACAACAACCAATAAATAAATAACTGAACCGGAATGTGATAAGAAGCACGGTATAAAAATATAGTTCTGAGTGGACTTATAATACGTATTTTATAGTAGTTGATACGATGGTAAACGCAGGCTTAAAATAAAAATCCAAAAAAGCGAATGCTAAAATACTAAAGAAAAGAACTTTTTGATATTTTATCTTTTAGAACTCTCAATAATACAGTCATTAACAAAATATTTTCAGACACTTTGTGGACATTCGCCGCGTCATCTTCGACCCCGAACTGAACAGCTATACCTGCGTTTACACTTCGATCCCAACCCCGCTGAAGCCTGAAGAAGCCGACAAGGGAGTGAGGTGAGTGATTCAAGCTTTAATGCAACACAGTTCGGAGGCGATTAATTTCGTGTTGAGTAGGCGGTCAAGAATTCGACTGATTTATAAAAGTTGAGTTAATCACTTGTTTACGTATATTGATTAACATAAACGAGGGAGGGGGTTATTGTGGTAATAAAGGCGGTCGGGGGAAGACTACAACTATTGGTAATAGGAAAAATGTTGAGAGGTGAGGTATGACTACTTGATCAATTGTAAAATCTTACAAGCTCATAGTAAGTGATTGGACGAATATTAAAAATCAAAAAGCACATTACTACTAAAACTACAGTAAAGAAAAGTACTGTAAAACATTGATATTACTCAAAATATGAAAGGAACCACAATAAAAAGTAAAGTAACGCTTATATACCCGCCACAAGCGGGTTTTACGTTTTGAGAACATCAGTTTGTGATTTCTACTGTCGAAAGATCAGTTTTAACCCTGTTAGGCAAGATCGAAATAGGTCACAAAACAACGCCGCTGGAGGGGGTTTTATGTTTATGTGTTTTGATAGCTCGGCCAGTGATAAACCAAAAGTTTAACCAAAAATTTTGAAAAAAAAATGTTTTTGTTTTGAGTGTATAACGGGCTAGGTAACTTAAAACTAATTTTTGGCATAATATACGCGAATATTTGATGTTAGAGATACAGAAAAGCTTAACTTTGCTTGTGTAGTAGTCCTGAGATAAATTATAATAGGCTTAGGTTTCGTTTGAAACTGTAAAATCAACTTTTTTAACCTAAAAAACCCATTAGTCACTAGAATACAAAGCAAATATGGTTTTTAACTAGCTTGATCAGCCAGGTGCGGGTGTTTGTAGGCGGTCTAACTTATAAAAATTATGGTTTCTACAATAAAGCTGACATTAAACGTGTAGAGGAAGTGATTGATTGATGAAACGTTTATTGCAGGAGACTGTAACATTCTCCATAATTACAGAACTACTGCTTGACTATTGCTGTCAAGTTGCAGCTTTAAACTAATAGCTTTTTCTGGATCGAAAAATGTTGAAAAGGGGGCCAAATTCTTGAATGTTAATGAGAGTTTTGTTATTGTTAATAATAAGAAAATAGTGATATTATATCCTTGCTAATATAGGAAGTTAGGCTTACCTTAAAACGGCTGAAAGACATGTAGCACCTTGGGGTTTGTGTTTTAGATTCGATAGAGTGATGGATGAGCTTCAGATACAAAAAATGCTGACGTAGGGGTCTTCGCTGAGTTACCGTAGTAAGATTCAGTTAGAGATCAAAACTGTATTGAGGCTTGTTAGATTGTAAAAGAAGTAGGTAATCATTCAGGCAACAAATAGCAATGTCTACAGTTTTCTATAGGTTAAGGTTATACGTTTACTGTACACTTCAAGTATAGGATACAAGTTTCCGTAGTGCAAATACTGCTCTAATAAATTCAGAAGTTGTACGAACACCTGATTATAAAACTATTGAATAGCTTAATATTTGTTTTTTTTTCTCTGAATTCATTCTCGGAAGTTTTTTTGTCTGAACCTATTTACATAATGTTGTATAGATATATTATAATGTTATAGTACATTTGTAAAGTTCGAATCGAAGGAATTTTGAAGTGAAATGTTTAATTCTTGTTTACAACATGTTATGTTAATGTTAGGGTAAAGGTTGATTTGTCATTTTGGAAAAGTTCCTGGATTTTGATACGGAGTCGTTCTTTGGTGTTTGTAGTATACCTTTTATTTTGTTTTCATCGATAGTAAAAAGAGTTGTATACCAGATGATTGAAAATATAGGTTTTATTTATTCGGTCAATAAATGAGTGACAGAATCTATAGGTATGATAGTTAGAAAAGGTCTTTGGTTGCGTTCATTGAAGATTTCTACAGACTTTTCGACCTGAATAAACTTTAAAATTGTCTTCAATTTGCAGTAGCTTTATAATTTAGCATATCGTGTGGTTTTCTCAATACAATAACTCGTTGCATCTCGAAGAAACTTGAAACACGTGATTCTTTTTTCAACATTGTCAAGTCAAGAGGTTACAGAACAACTATTTAAATGTTTTTGTGGTATTTATCATTAAAGGATTATGTTAAAGGAAACGAGATGATAACAAGTGATAAAAGCACGATTACTACGTGCCTTCCTTAAATAACTTTTCAATACGGTAGCGCACTCGGACTGTTGTTGTCTTTATTGTGGATGCGGGGGCGTTTTTAAAAATTATGCTTTTTGGGGGGGGACTGGTGAGTTTAAAAAAAATATTTTTGAAGCTATAAATAAATTAGAATCAAAAAAGTTTTTAGAATATACCTAAAAGCTTATTAAAATTAGAATTAAAATTTAACTATTCAGAGGGCACAATCATCCAAACTTGATCAGAATCACTCCATCTGCGTTGACTGAAGGCGTGTCGATATTCGAATGGATCATGAGCACAGACGTCAAGTGTAACGTGCCGAAATCGTTGATGAAACGAGGCACAGTGTCGTTCTTAGCATCTTATCCACAGCTTCTGAACAGTTTTATCGAAGAACGAAGGGAATTCTATCAGAACGAAGCCGTCTAATACAATATTTATTTATTTTATTCAATTTTGAGCTTACCTGGACTCTTATTTTGTCATTTAAATGTCATACTGTACCCTACCTGAATCTATATTGTCATAGAAGTTGTGTCATAGCCCGAGGTCAGTTCAGATATCAAACATATTGTCTTGATTTAATCAATATATTGTTTTTATACAGTCTTTTTTGAAGGGTTTAGGTGTTATACTATGTTATAGTAGTGTCCAGTCCTTATACAATATCATGCTGTATCTTAATAATGAGTTTTCACTTCATATGCTGTATTCCCTCAATTTTTCATACAAAGTAGTACCTTTTATGATGTGCAGTACTCTTCTCTGGTCGTTTCTGTCGCTTCTAAATGAACGGGTTCTCTGGGCGACTTTACTTCGTATTTCAAAATTGTATATACCAACATACGAATCCTATCAATTCCAAAGACCATATTACGTATCTTTTGCTTACAGTATCTTTCAAAGTCTCTCGAGTATTTTGGTTTATAATCGATAAAGTTCTATTGTTAAGTAGTAGGGATTGGAGTGCTATGTTAGTCACCTATAGTAAAATAAAATAAATATTGAGATAGTGGTAGGTTACAAAAAATATATTTTATAAGGTTAGGAGTGGCATCTTAACTATACTTTCGTATTCTATGTAAAGACGCACGATTTAAGGTTGTTTTTCTTTGGTTTTTAATGAATATTTTGGATTTTTTGCCGAAATTTATCGTTTTTTGTTCTTGTTCCTCTTTTTCCACATCCATGGGAATCCGGGTACCCTCTGGCATTTGTTTTTGTCGGGTTTTATTTGTTTCAACGTGCCAGTAGTCCAGTGGTTAGGACGCTGCTCTCCCAAGGCAGAGGCCCGAGTTCGAATCCCGGTTGGCGCAAACTTTTTGTTTTGTCACAAATTTGCATATTTTTTTAAAAAAATTGTTTTAAATGAGCGTTACGACTATCATGGGATGGTAATGACTGTTTATAAATACCTAGATTAAAAATTTCTTTTTAATATTTAGAAAAAAAAATTATAATAGCAAAACAGAAGTGGAATCTAAATTATGGCAAGAATCACCAAAACTTTCAGTTTTATTCCTTCTATATTTTCTTGTCTTTGCAACCGTATGTTAATAGGCGTAGAGAGATTGCGCGCAACGATTTATGGTGCCTCGGACTTGGACTTTTGGCTCGAATTTTCGGGCCGCGACAACAAGAAAGGAAGGCGCGCGACGCAGTGATCGGCGACACTTCGGAGACCGGTCGGACAGAAAAAAGAGGAATCGCCTTCGTACGTTAAAAAAAACGGAATCGCGTCTGATAAAGAAAAATTTGCATTCGCTGTCCTACGCCGTCTTTGTTCACGATGAACCGAAGGAGGCGAGCGTCTGACGACCGCTGTCAAGGTTGGCGCAAAGGTCGATCGCATCGAAGAACGACGGAAAAAACATTTTCGCCCGAGATGCGCCTTCTAATCAGTCCGGCGCACTTTACGCACTTGCTTCGAATTCGGTTTTGTAATGAGGACGGCTGGGTTGGGGTCGTTTTGGCGTTTTGTTGAGTGTCTATGAGGTTTATTGTCTTAATGGTGTCACAGGTTGAAAAATTTTTCATCAAGGTTTTTTATAAAGGATCGAAATTTGTATTCAAAGTGTGTCAAACCGGTGATGTTTGTCAAGAGGAGGTTGGCTATGTAGGTATAGAAAATGAAGCTTTAAAGAATTATTTTTTACACAGTAGTAAGGGTTTCTAAGAGCATTTTTGATGCCTTACAGAATTGTTAAAACCATTCTTTGGCACTGTAAAGTCTTCAGAACAACACATGATTAAAAGACCTGTTGACCTTGAAGTTGGTGTTGCTTATTTGGTAGAAGATAAGCGTGTTTTATTCTTATTGCAATAGGTATATTTATTAGCTAATTGTTGTCATTTTGGAGCTGGTATCATTTTTATGTCATCACCTAGAAGCTTGACCGTTTTTTAGTTCTGCCAAAGCATATAGTGTTTATACATTGGAACCTCTGTATAAGGAACTCCTGTATAATGAACAATTTTTGAATCCCCGGCTAACGCTACCCAGTGCATTTAAAACTGCTGTATAACGAAACTTCTTCATAACGAACAAATTTTAAATCTTCTAGTGACTCGTTATACAGAGGTTTTAACGTATTAAGTTGTGTACAAAATTCTGAGTCTACTTGATAGCATAACTTTAAGAAATATTAAAAAATGCACAATCTAATAGGTATGAAGTCATATTTTTTGACCTTTCAGTTTACATTTTATATTTTTAAATTTTATTTTCTATCAAAGTTGTCACATCAAAATGACTATTTTTAATATTTTAACTTTTAAACTGGCTACTTGTTTCAACTCGAAACGGGCGACTTTTTGTCGCATTGTTGTTGAGAATTGTTTGTTTGTTTCGTTGAAAGTTCGGCGCCCGCGTTCTTCATTTGCCATTTGGCTTCGACTGTGCTCTCGCACGCTGAAAAAAAAACTGTTGAATGCGTTTTTTTCGTCGGGCGGGTTTTCTCTGATCGCGGGCGATGGACTGTTTTGTGCCCAAGGTGAAGGAGTTCTTGTTTGCGTTTTTTCAGCGTGCGCTCTCACCGTTCTTGCCGCGCTCTCGACTGTGTTTTTTTTCGTTTGGCGTGCGCTCTCCAAAACTCTTCTGGGGGGATGGTCGCGTGTTCAGCGCCGTCGCTACGATTCCTCGGGTTGAAAGGGTAGAGAGTGTAAGTGACAACTATGATTTGGCTGCGTCTTCAGTGTAACAATCGAATACTGTTTAGGGTATTTCAGAGTTGCATTGTTTGTTTTTGGCTTTGGATGGTGTGGATTTGGCATTGAATTTTAAAAATATAGTGCATTAGTATTTTAAAGGCGAATGCTTGTTCTTGCAATAAAAAAGAGGGCGCTATATAGTACATTATGCTAAAATCTTATAGTTTTTTTTAGTTAGTTATTTAAAGATTCTTTAGGACATTAAAAACATTCTAATTATTATTAAACCATGTACAATGTAGACTTTTCTCAAAAAAGTTGCCTAAAGCATCAGTTTATAGAGCACGCTTTTAGCACTATTTAAGGCACGGCATCATTAGAAATTAATTAAAACTGAAAAAAGGTCTTGAGATTACTGGTTGTATGCCACTATAGGTGAGCATACTTTGACTTCTCATTTGTAGAATAATCTTTGGCAAACTATACATTAATTTATATCATAGGCAAGATGAAACAACGCTTTTGTCATCTTCCACAAATTGGTGCGCCAGTCACAAAATGAGTATAAATTTAGATATTCTTGATGATTTATAGCATTAAAGTCAGCAATTTTTAATTTTTTTTTGTTTTAAGGTTTGTTGTGATAGAATTGGCTATAGTGACTTTCTTAAAAGTAGGTATAGTGGCTGTGAATTGATAGGGTAGCTTTGTAAGTAAGACAATGTCAGAAAAAATGAGAATTGTAACGCGCTTTAGAAGGCCATATGCGATTGATAGGGAAGAATTGATCAGCTACATGCTTGGCCACTTTGTCGTTTTGTTTATTTCTTTTACAAAAAAGTTTCTCTATGCACCTTGATCTCAAAGTAACGTGACTCAAGTATTTAAAAAATTTTAAGACTTGCAAAAAACGCAATTTTTAAAAAAATGTTAAGCTAGGTCAACATCTCTCGCTTCTTGTTAACACCAGTTCCCCAAGAGTACAATCTTCGCAAAACATTACAATACCCCGTATACAGTCAATTTGCTTAATGAACAACATTCTGCGACGTCATCGTCGTATATGTTATGCGCATTTATTCGAGGCTGCCCTGCTCTAGCCACCCCAATTCCATTTCTTTTTTTTTCAGCCATTTTTCGGCCGCTTTTCCATTCGCTTAATGCGTCCGTCGGCGCCGCCAACACACGCCCGGAGGCGCCTTTAGGCTTTTTCTAGTGCCCCGGCCCAGCGGATTTTTGCATTCGCCTTTGTGGCGTCGCATTTAACGGGCAGGGGGGGTTTAAATGCACGACCGAGTTTGTGTAATTACAAACGTTTTTTTTGGTTTGGGAGGGTTTATGACATTGATTTGTGGGGTGGAGTACGACCATTCTTTTTTGGATTTTGTTAGGATTTTTAGGATGATCTGGGCTTTGCGTGGCGCACGGTTAGGTGAAAGCAGGGGTGGGTATGTTGATTTAGTTCCTTTAGAATAATTTTAAAAAATTTGGGCTTTAATTGTTAAAGAAACACTTGTTCTTTATGTTTTTTGATGACTGGTTTTTGGAAAAAAATATTTTAGATCTTCTATGAGTACAAGAAGATACAGAAATTGGTACAAATTCACCTTGATCATGTCAAACCTTTCAACTTTTTAAAAATGTTTTATAGGATCTTAACCTAGCTAAGACATGTGAGATATCTTGCCCAAAACGCATGCCTTAAGCCTCGAACTATAAGGTTCTCAACCACAAAACGCGAGCTCCAAAATGCATGCGATAGAGAGTGGCGGAATGTGTTTTAATTCGGAATCAGCTGAATTTCTTGGCAACGGAAGGAGAAGCGGGGCGAAAGAGGTCGGTGGCCGGAGGAGAAGAAGCAGTAGATGAGACACGCGTTACGGTTGGCTCATTTTCGTGTCCGGAGGGCCGCGCGCCCTGTGCCCGTCCTCCTTTGGGCCGTCTGTTTTTGTTGGCGGGGCGCGCTCGTGCCTTAAGGGCATCCAATTCTTTTTTGAGCACCATAACTCGGCCAGGCGGTAGCGGCGTTGCGCATGTCAATTAGGCTTTGTGTGTTTTTGGGATGGCATTTGGCTTCGAATTTCGACAAACGGTTCGTGAGGAGAAAAACAACTAGTGATCTGACGGGTTTTGTCACATTTTTCGAATTTTTTGGGGAAATTTTTAAAATTTATTTTTTGAAAAAATATTTTTTAAAATCATAAGTTTCAACAAAGAATTAATTTTTAAATTTTTGAAAATTCAAAAACGTGAATTTAGAATTTGCACGGTGACGCGCCTCCGGAGAAGCAATTTGAGTACGATTATTGCGGTTTCTGATGAAGTGCGCCTCCGAAAAAGGTCTGGGTCGGGCAAAAGTAATATTTCTTGCCTTTCTCTGGCGTTAATTATGGAGCGCACGGCCTCGGGGCATTTTTTTCTGGCCAAGACCGCAATTTTTTGTGTCAGAGGTTTGACGACGCGTAATTGTGGGCTAGTTATGATCAAGTTGAGTTTTGTCCGGGATGACGTGTTTTTTGGGTTTTCAGTACGGGCTTCGAGTACCAACTTACGACGGTTGTAATTTTTGACCATAATGGTCGTAAAGTGGTAGGAAGTTGTAGTAGGTTAATTGAGGCGTTACAAATTTACAGTTTTTTGTTGGTCAAGAGTATCGGGATAGGTATAGTGGGTTTTCAATAAGCGTGTCATAGCAAAACGCATGATATCTTACGCATTTGTCATCGTACTGTTTCTTGATTTTGTACAATTTGGCTATATGTTCTAGTACGGCTAGTATAACACAATTTTTTATGATGACAATTTATCATCAAGTACAATATAAAACTTTAACGCAACTTGACGAAACTTTGATTACGTTTACGCTCAACTCTTTAATCAAACGCTTCGATATTTATCACAGTTTTAGTCAAAGACCTTAATATTTACCACAATTGTCGACCACAGTTTCACCACAGTTTAACGTTCCCGACGTTTTAAATTTGATTTTTGCGCAACTCTTGCGCAACGTTTCCTCCCTAAAACACAAAATAAAACCTGTTCCAGTCCCCTGCCCTCCGTTCTCCCCTTTAACCTTGCCAATCGCTCTTTGCGCGCTCCGTGCGGAAAAAAACGCCAACGGGCAGAGAGGGACGGCCATAGCACGGCGAGCGAAGAGAACGGCCGAGGAATAGCGTGTGAAAGGGCGAGACGCCCGACACGAGAATAAACCTGCTCCTTTTACAATTACTTTCTGTTGTTCACGCTCAAATGTCCCGCACGGTTTTCGCCGTCCCCCGAAACGCCCGCCGCCGTCCTTCCCCTCTCTTTCTCTGCCCACTCTCTCGCCTTCGTCATACTCTCTTCGGATTAAGATTACAGTAGCGACGCGTCTGCGTGAGTCTTTCGTTTTCGCGTTGCCAACAATAAAAAAATGGAAAGGGAAGAACGTTGACGATTCAGGCATTTCTCGGGTTCTTCTCGCTTTTACTTTTACAATACGCGATAGCGATGGTGATTAGATTTGGGCTACGAGTTTGTTTGTAGGGGAACTGATTTTAAGGCAATTAAGTTTTAAATTAAAAAATTAGTTAAAATTTTGTGATTTTTTGTAAAATGGTATTTGGCTATATTATCTTAGTTTGGGACTGGTACTTTCTTTAAATTTTCAACGATAACTCGGTTTATAAAATAGATACAAGGCTCAAAATTGGCATTAACTAGCACAAGCTTATGATGACATTACACTATAAGTTTGATCGTGATTTAGCCGATATTACAGTAGATATGAATTTTTTAAAAACATTTGTACACCATGCCTAACTTTCTAACCAAAATACGAACTTCTACTTACTTTTTCCAAGTTTCTACATATTTTTTGACCAAAACACAAACTTCTACATAGATGTCGACCCAAAATCTAAATCTAATATATTTTTCCGATCCAGATTTGTATTAGTAACAGTTGTAACGCGAGTAATGCCTTAGTAATGACATCAGTTATGGGGGCCCATAAAGAATGAAAGGGGCGCGCCGGGCTTGGCGCTGGGACAATCAAAAATTCCATGCATTTTCACGGCGAGCGACAAAAAATTATAAGCAAACACGGCGCCAGAATCGTACATCAAAAAACGCTGTCGGGTCGGTTTCTATTCTTGGGGTATGGTTCTTAGTGTTTATAGTTCATTGTTAAGACTATGAGTAATTTTTGAAAACGTTCAACTGTAGTAAGAAAAGTTCATAGTAGTAAGTATTTTTATGCTAGCATGCGTAGACACAGCTTGACCTACTGCGTAGGCATGGCTTAGCCTACGCAAGAATTGAAGCAGATCGTGAAAGAATCTGGTCTCGAATCCTAAATTTCTGAAACTTCTATTATAAGCGTTACCGTTGATGACATATGCAAATCTGTAGTTTCGTCTTCATTTAAGTAAGAGCGAAAATAGACATATTACAATGTATAATACCTTTACGTTGTAATGTTTAATGGCCTTACTATTAGAGTACTCATTTTTCGTTTTTTATTTTATTCATCAAGAAATTAGCATAATAATTGTCTTTTACTTATTTTTCTGTTAATTACTTTTTTTCATTTATCAAGTTGTTCAATTAATTTTGTGCCCCCTATCAAAGCAAATCTTTGGAGTTTGGGGCACATGATTATTTGAACAACCTAAGGTATCTTAGTTATGTTTTTTTATAAAACCTTTATCAACATGACAATATTTATCACACAATATAGTACTGTGTACTCACTAAAGAGTTTGCTATTGACAATACACACCTTAAACTTCGTATTTTTCTCTTTTATTTGAAGGCCGGAGGATCTTATCGCGTATTTTACCAATAACCTAAACATAGGTTTTGTAGCTATCATATAAGTTAGAATAACGACATTATTTTTTCAGTTGTCGCTACAACACAGCACAAAAGTAGTGGACAATGTCGGGGAAGGCGTCGTCGTTTAATTTGACGCTGATCGATGCCTATTATCAACATCCAATGTTATATGACAACAGACACCGTGACTATAAAGTGCAGAATCCGACCAAAGAAGCCTGGTTGGAGGTGGCTAGGATCTGTAATTCTACTCGTAAGTTGGCTAGATATTATACTTTTGGACTAGATCTGATACTTTTAAAGAAATTAGTCTGCCCATTGATATAGATCAATTCGTAATTGAATTAAGTTTTTGATCGTATGTTTTCAGCCGACGAATGTCGAGCTCGCTGGAAAGCCCTGAGGGATCGTTTTATAAAAGAGAGGAAAAAGAAAAATGCAAATGCACTGTACAAAGCAGCTTGGCCATTGTACCATAAAATGGAGTTTTTGGAGCCATTCATAGAACATTCGTAGGTTTTTACAAAAAAAATTATTAGGGTGTAACACTTCTACACTACCTTATGATTACCATTCTCTTACCATAACTGTCTTACCCTACCATAACTCACCCTACCCTATTCTACCTTCAAATAGCTTAGTCTTACTGGCAACTTTGGATGTATGGTTAAATAACAACTATTCAAATTTAAGTTATTTGATTTCAGACACAAGAAAGACCTTCGCATAATGAGAAACAATGCCCTGCACGATTTGCCTCGACGAACGATAGAGAACGTTGTGGCCTTATTGGTGAGAGAAGCACAAGGAAACCCCCTTAACACACAACACTTATCAGCCATGGAAGTTGACAGTAAACTACCTCTAACAACATCGCTGAATATTACTCCCGAATCTTCAGAAGTCACCGTGCAGGAGTAGGTTTTGTAAAATACGCTGTGTCGCCGTATGATTTATGTTTAAAAATAAATCAATTATTATTGGCACAGAATTAAGTGAACGACCGAATACTAAAGATGAAGATCTATATAAATATATATTTATATGTGTTAGTTATATTATATTGATGTTTCAGAGAAGGCCACGAACTCGAAAAGTTCTATCTCCGTCTGATAAGAGAAGTAAAGCAACATCAGCTACTGTTCGACTCATCTAACTCACTATATCGAGTAACAGCAGCTAGAAATCGGGTCTGGGAAGAGATTGCACAGTCTTTCGGTGATGGATATACAGGTAAGCCATTGGCTTTCCTTATGTTATAATAATTTTTAAATAGTAAAGTTATAATTAAAATTTCATATTACAGTTTGTTGACATTAAAAAAAGTATAATTTTAATTACTTTCTTAAAACTTTAGCTCAAGCTCAAGTAAATAATGTAAAATACGAAGAGTTTTGTAAATTTCCTTTACCTCAAGCTTAAACTTCTGAACAATTTTAATTCACCGAACAATCACCTTTGCAGCCAGTGAACTTCGCACCAAATGGCGTTCCATCCGTGACCGCTACATCCGCGAACGTCGTCTCTACAAAGAGTCTATCCAGGAAGGCAAACCTAGATTCCCCAAGTGGTCTCTATACCCAGAGTTCTCCTTCCTCGACTACTACGTCGACCAATCCTTCCCGCGTCAACACGTCCAACCAGAAGGTCATGATAACGATTCCGTGCATTCTGGAGAGAATCAGATGCACGTCGACACAGAAGAACAAGCCTCACCATCGTCCTCATCTTCCACTCCATCCATTGTCGATCCAGTACCGTCGTTCGTGAACTCAGCAACTAATAATAATAACAATATCAACAATGGCGGACTCCTTCAGCTGTTCCAGAAGCTGATTCAGAATCAACAGACGCCGATTCTGGGTGTTAATGGAGTGAATGGAGATGGTTTGCAGGGAGAGAATCCGAATAATCTACTTTTGAGTAGGTTTTTGATATAAAATTGACGGAAAATAGCGATAAAACGAAAAAAATGGCTAAAATAACGTAGAAACTGTGAACGGGTTAAGTTTTTCTCTGAAAACTGAAAGTTTGGGTCAAGTTGTTCCATGATAAATACTGTTGTTTAGAAGACTGAAATATCGAATTGAAAGATGTTTATCAGAGTAATAAATTATTAATTTTTGGTAAAATACGAGTACCATTATTTTAAATTAATTTTTACTAATAAAATTTTTAATTTTGCTTTGTTTTAGATAACATTTCCTCGCTGATCCAGCCTCGCCAACCCCGTGCTCGTCAGACAGTCCCACCTCCAGCTGTGCCTTCTTTCTCGACCACTTCTCTTACCGAAACCGTCAACGATGCCTTAGCTGATCTGCACAAATGTCAAGCCAAACTGACTTCCATCTCTCAAGGAATCTCCGAGAATGGCCTAGAATACTCGTTTGGCCATTACGTCGCTTCTGAATTGTTGAGAACACCCGAACCACGAAGATCCGACATTAGACGGTCGATTTTGGCATTATTATCGGCTGAAAGTAAGACAAAAGTTGAGGCTGAAGATATGAATGGCAATTCGGCCGATACATCGATTACTGCTTGAGGTGGATGTGTCTTGGGCAAGATACGATTGTTTGGAGATACGAGATGGTTTTTGAAACAAAAATGACTGTATTTCTCTAAAGCATTTATTTTTATAATTTCGTTTTAAAATTTGTCATTATGACACTTTTTTTGGTAAAAAATGAAATATTGTCGTATCTGCAAACAATGATCGTATCTTCTTCTTCGCTTACTATTGTTAGGTCTTTTGATACAAAACAAGAGCACAGACGTATATTCTGTGTTTCTATGTCATATTTTGTCACATTTCTAATATTAATAATGTTTTAATTCAAATTTTGTCTAAAAATTTTAAATTTTTTTATTAATCATGATCGAGGCCAGGCCTTTCTAAAGCTCTAGCCTGAATGTGACATTACTTTTTGCTGTAAATCGTAAAAAATGGCATTTTATTGTCCGGTGATCGCATTTTTATCAATTTGTTACCTATTTTCTATCGCTTACCTTACTTTCTTCACATATTACAGTAAGTTCATATCTTTGAGACTCCGCTTACAGTTGGTCGTATATCTTTTCTCTGTTGCATATCTTCTTTTGTATTGGTCGTGCATGTAGCTATATGGTTATTGTGGGTTGGGTTTACAGTAATATGGCTTGGTTTTGAAAAATTTGTAAAATAATTGAAAAAACAAGCTTTGTAAACAAAGTTATTGCGTGTTAAAAAATTATTTTTCAATTTAATGTAAAATACGCTTTTTTTAATGCAATTTTTTTTAATTATCCGGTTACTGTAGACTCAACTCTAAAGTTACATGTATATTACTGTGAGTTATCGTAACTGTAGCTCGAGTTATCATAGCTGTAGCTCGAGTTACCGTAGCTGTAGCTTCGTAGGCGTTTGTTAGATATTGTTATATCCAGAAGATCTCTAGTGCTTTTTTATCGTATTTCGTTACCGTAGTATCCTCAGTTATAAAACCTCGCTCTGTTTTCTCTTACACTCTCTTCGTTTCGCGTAGTCCCTAATATAGTTTTGCTAGATTTATATATTTTTACGGAATAAAGTTATACATGAGTATCGTATTTTAAAATATGTCACCTATACTGACTTTATATGGTTACATAGACTTATTTTTACAATATATCTTATGGAGTACTTTTGTTATTTTACAGTGTGGTTATCGTATCTAGGTATGTTAGAGTATACATGCCCGGATACGATACATGTTTAATATTTTTACTACGAAATATACATTCATATGTACATGTATGTTACTCTACATCTAAATATACATGTTATTTTACACGAAAATACACATGTAACATACACTGTACACATCACATACCTACATCTCATTTCCATGACTAATTACCAAAATGACAAATGTAAACACACGTTTTCGTATACATCTTAATGTATTCGAGGTTTCGTCACAACTTTTTAATAACGTAATGCCACTTTTAATATCACAAAAAGCCTTGGAAGAGCCGCTTCTTGGTAATCATGGTAACAGTTGTAAAGTCGACTGTTGGTTTGCTTTTACATTTGCTGTCGTTTGCATACGACGGCATGGTGGGAAGGGTTGGTGCACGCTTTGGAGAGGTGAATATCATGTTAGATTATTTTTAAAGTTTGACTAGTGCGATTATATTGTTTTAGCTTTCTAATGGTAAAACAAGGTTTTTATTTATAATTATAGTGCTGAAAAAGAGTAGATACCTTAACCTTGTAGAATAAAGGCTGAAATAAACTTGACAGATGTACATATTATCAAGATATATTACCAATAGAAAGTAAAATAATTGGTTTTTGCCTGACCTTTGTAAAAAATTCCAAAAATATGGAAATTTGTGTCAAAACAAAAGATTGCGCCAACCGGGATTCGAACTCGGGCCTTTGGGAGGGCAGCGTCCTAACCACTGGACTACTGGCACGTTGAAACAAATAAAACCCGACAAAAATAAATGCCAGAGGGTACCCGGATTCCCATCTATATGGGAACGGCAGAAAGACGAGGAAATGCAAACTGGGAATGGTAAAATCGAACGAGAAATGAGAGAATTTTGATTTAAAATTGCCTAAAAACAGAGGGAAATCAAATTGAATTTTTTAACTTATAATACTATGGAGATGTTTATATGTATCTACATAGAAATGACTTTGTTATCAACGACCTTTTTGCCACAAAAAAAGTTTTGGCAAAGATAAAATGGAAGTTTTAAGGAAGCTTGGAAGCTTAGTATAATCTTGCAATTGTTAACTAAAATAATTTTTTATTTTTAAAATTTGAACCTTTTTTAACACGTTTCTGCACTGCCAGACGTACCTGACTTTATGACAAAGAATCCCTACAGCAAGCTCTAGCTTGTGCTATTCTAAACTGAAGCCATGTTATTCTAAAAAAGTAGTGGAATAAGCGGTAAACATTAATTAGAAGATCTCTATTTACTCCTATTTCCTGTCGCTTTCTGACACTCTTTTCCTACTTTTTACTTTGTCATAGCAACTTTATTTTACATTATATATCTTGCAATGAGGGTATTTTACATTTATTTTCTTGCATTATATGCAAATGAGTTTAATATAGTCCTACCACAATATTATCCATCTATTTCTTGATGTTTTCTGTAATTTAAAAAAATTTTTTTATTATACTTATATATTCTTATAGTATACCTACATTATGTTGTAGAATGTGTTAATTAATCGCAAGATACGATTACTGCGAATACCTTTACCCTTACAATGTCGGAGGGCCACGCCCTGCGGCAGTTAATCCATGTTTGTATCTGGTCGCCTTAAGGCCTCTTTGGCCTCCTCTTGGCCACACTCTCGGGTCCTCACTCTCGACACGTTTTTGTCTTTATTACAATTACTGTTTTGCTGTAGATAACACCGGCAGAGTTAGGGCATTTTGAAGTTGATGTTAGCTTACATTTTTGTACGATGGTAGTAAAAATGTGAAGTAATACCTATATGTACTTTACTTTCAGACCTTCCACAACCTAAAACAACAAAAAATGACTGAAGCCGAGCAGCCAATAACAACAAAAGAAGTCGAAAACCATCAGAACGACGCTCAGCCTTCTGAAGTCAACAACAACACTACTCCCAACAACGACGTGGATGCTCCAGAATCCATGGAGACATCGTGCAATCTACGAAAGCGACGTCAAAGCGACGCTGTTCATGAATCCATGGACTCATCTGATGCCAAACGACGTCGGCAAAGCGACGCTGGAGTCTACAATCAGAAGCGACATCGTCTAGAAGAAGTCGAACATGTTGATGAAGAAGCGCTTCAGAATTCCACAAAAGTTCAGAATGGGCACGGTGCGGATTTTTCTGACCATCACAATGCTAATGATCTTCACCATGATGCTACAGACTTCAGTGGGGTTAATCAAAATTCTACTCAAGTTAAAATGGGAGATTCTGCGAATTCTCACGATAAAATAGAGGATTCTACCAAAGTTCACGATGAAGTTCATGACTCCAGTGAAGTCAAAGAAGGTCTGAATTCTACAGAAGTCAAAACTTCACTTGAATCTTCAAATACTCACGATGAAGTTCATAACGTGAATCATGTAGCTTCTCATGGCATTCACACTTCTGATGACGTTGAAGCCATCAGAAGCATCGGCCAGGAAACAGCCGAAATTTTGAACAAGAATGACGAAGACGATGATGAAGAAGAAGATGCGGATTCTAAGAAGGCTGAGGTCTCCACGATCGGAAGTGCTCAATCATTGGAAGAGTTGGAAGCCCAAAAAGAAGCCGACGCTGAAGCCGCGGCTGACATTCCAGAAGTCCAGATCGTGATTGAATCCGTCGAAGAAACAGAAATCAAACCTCCGACTTTAGAAGGCGAACCACCTCAGGTGGAGACTCACGAAGAAGTCGTCGTCACTTCACAGCCAGTAGCCAGCAAAGAAGAGAACAGCCAAGTCAGTGTGATATCCATCGAGGAGGTTACCGTAGCTGTGAGTGGAGCGTACTGTAATTGTTACTGTTTAGGTCCAACCACCAGCTGTCCTTAATGCCGGACCACTTGACTCGCTAGCCGCGCCTCCAATATTGCCGATCCAAACCGACGGAATGGAGCCAGAATTGCCAGAAGATATTGTAGATGCTCCGAACGGTCAGTTCAATGTGAATGGGGAAGACCCACCAACAGATGTTGTTCCTGGTGAAGCGAGTGATAAGGAACCGTGAGTTGATTTAGATTTTATTATTGGGGCAGAAATATTTTTGTTTATATTTATAAATAATAAAATAATAGAAAATATATTATTAGTAGCAAATTGTTTTCTCAAAACGAAATGTCAAAAAATTGTGAGCGAAGTGTCAAAATTAAAAAAAGTGAAAAACATTTTTTTGGTCGTTTTTTTGTCTTTTTGTCCACAACTTGATGTATAAACCTTTTATATTGGTATAAAAAGTATTAGTGAGGTTTGTTGTTACCTATTCTTTTACTTTTTATTTGTTACTTATCTTTAAAAATCTTTTGCAACGAGCTAAACAACGTTTTAATCCTCTGCTACTATAATATAGGAGTAATGCTTGAAAGTTTCATTGCAGAAGTCTTTTAGAAGTTGAAAACTGGTAAATTATGGAAGAGTAGGATAAAGTGAATTCTAAATTACTTTAAATATCACTTCTGAAGTCAATTGAGGTGATATACAACAACGGGAGAAGAAAAAAACGACCGAAAAACTTTTTTTTAGTTTCAAAATTTGGCTTTTTACTACAAGCTTTGTTGAAAACGTATAAATTAGAAGATAGTATAGTCACATTTCAGGGTAGCTTTGCAAACAGACAACGCCACCAAGCCATGTGGTGCTCAAGATGAAGATGTTCAAGCTCAAGCTGTCGCAGCTACAGAGAATGCGAGTGAACCGTCTGGAGAGGCTTGTCAGCCGGCTGCTGATAACGCCTAGTACTGTTTCTTTTACTTTTATGATACAAAAGTATATGATCTCAAATATACGTTTTAAATTACATTATCTACATGGTAAATTACCTTGTTTTGACATGGTAATCTCATCTTTTATAGCATTTACTCTTTATCATACGAATATCATGATAGTGTATTTTCATGGTTTAGTAGTGATATCAGGTTGTTCAAATAATGCTAGGCTCCTTAATTCGAAAATTTTCTTTGATTTGGGGCACAGAATTATTTGAACAACCTAATAGGAGTATACTTGAATTTTAGACTTTAGATAATTTTAAAATTAGTTTTAAATGGTTTAATATTAATATAAAATATATCTTCTAGTCTTATTTAATCTTTTAGTTCTATAAGTTATTATATAATGTTATTATCTCTTCTCTATGTAATTCTTTAGTACACAGAATATGATATAAATATACTGTGTGACATATCTTTTAGTAGTGGAACTGGTTTTGTGATAATAAATCTGTTTGTCATGCAATTGCTAATAGGATAATATGCACTGTTCTATAACTACTTGTAGATTACGTTATATAATACTTACCTATAGGTTGTTAAATATTATATTGTATATCGATGCTAAGTAGTGACTATTGCTCTATATATCAATAGTAAGCTGAAGAAAGTGTCTACGTTATCATGTTTAACATAAAAGCAGTCATTAATTTTTAACCAAGTTTTTTGTCAAAAGAAAAAGTTAAATTTCATGGTTTTATGCTCCTAAATGCCCTAAGGACATTTCATTCCCTCTTATTGTTTTCGGATCTCTCTCAATTTTATTTTTACTAACTAAACATTACGTATGCTGTGGGGTTTGCTACAACAACGCTCTGTTATATCTTCCTTGTTTTGAAATAAATTTACTGACATTATTTTAGTTTTAACAATTACTGAACTTTCTTTTATGTATATGTTATAGACTTTGTGTGCAACTTTACTTTTTCATACGTGTTTATGGCAAATGTTAGATACAGTGCCTAAAACACACTAAATAAGGATTAGCTTTACCTTTTTACCTAAAAAATATGCAAATTTCGGTCAAAACAAAAAGTTTGCGCCAACCGGGATTCGAACTCGGGCCTCTGCCTTGGGAGGGCAGCGTCCTAACCACTGGACTACTGGCACGTTGAAACAAATAAACCCGAAAAAAATAAATGCCAGAGGGTACCCGGATTCTCATGGATCTGGGAATGGCAAAAAAAAGAGAAAATGCAGTGGATTTTGGACGAAAACATTAAATCTTTTGACGTAGAAAGGTAAAAAAGCCTATAAACTTAAAACATTGGCATTGTAAAATATTTACTGTAGGTTTTTCACTTTAAATACCCGTCAAAAATAAATGGATCGGGGGTATCTTGATTTCTATGCAAATGGGAACGACAAGAGGATAGAAAAAGTGACGGGTTTTGGTCAAAAGTACGGCAATATTAGATGGTTTTGGGTATTTAAACTTAACTAAGTGCTTGTGGCAACTCTGTATTATATATTATACGATGTACTTTACAATATTTAATTAAAATACGCTTTTTATATTATAAATTTAAAAATGTTATTTTTTGTAAGTTTTCATAGGTTTTCAACCTTAATGTAATCTTGAATAGTATATTATGGTCTTTTACTCAGTTTTTAATCGTTTTTTTTTTTTTTTTTATCATGTTATAGTACCGTCTTTTACATTTTAACTCATGCACTTGAAAATGTACTTCAAAAAATTACCTTTAAATTCTTTAATCTAAAACTTTATTCAACCCTTGAGTGATATTATTATATGGTGTTATGTGTTTAGCCCTCCCGTGCTTAAAACATATTTTGTTTGGAATGTTTGAATGAGGCGGAGAGACAGGGGAATCATCCGAGAGAAAGAAAAACTGTTCCATTCCCTCTCCCCACCAAAAAACAACTTCTAAAGACGTTTAATCTTCAATTTACGGCGTTATTCATATCTATTTACTTCCATACAAAAGTTTACTGGCAGATTGCGACAATCTTTAGGGGTGGTTTGTTCTAATTTCAAGGTTTTGTTGGTTATTGTTGCTGAAATGTTACACTTGACATTAGGTGACAATATATGGTTCTGAACAGATTTTCATACATTGTCATAGGAAGTACTGTAGGTGAGTATAGGTGTTACGATAAGACATACAAAAAAGGTAATGTATTTTTACTATGATTAGCTTTAACATAACGTCACCGTATCTAAAACAAGTCATACATATATATGTCTACTATCAGTTCATACGGCTTTACATAGTAATAACGTTTTTACCTTTTTGTTGTGGTAAGCGTGAACAGCATGTGTTAGTCCTAGTGCTATATATTTTATTTTTTAAGTCTAGTACTATATTTTGCAAGATTTTTTACTTTTTGATTGAGATGTGTTAACATGTGTTAAGATAAGCAAGTCTTATCAGTCTTGTCAATTGATTCTTCGTAGTTTTTTCTTTCTTCTATGTTTAGCTTTGGCAACTGTAATCTGCTGTAAATATGACATATAAACTGTACTGTAATTGACAAATAAATAAAAGACGTAGTAAAATAATTTTTTTATATTGTCTTTGGTAAAGTTGAAGTAAATAGCTTGCACTTGCAACGTCATTCTTCAAATTGCTTTTTAGATATTGTTTTGTTGTCATTGTTGGCTTAAGCATAGTAAAACATAGAATTTGGCTTTAAACACTGCTATATAGTGCTTAGCCTTGACCCTAGTACAATATAGTCCTTGGCCTTAAGCAAAGTATAATATAGTCCTTATAAAACTTGTTGACTCTGTCGTTCTCTGATACTGAAGCGAGATGACATTTCCACATGTTATGGTAAAACACATTTGATGTCGTTTGATATCAACAATGCCGTTTTACAAAACAATCAAACTTTGGCACGAGTTTTACGACCGAATTTAAGGCAAGATTATTTGTTTTCTGCCATTCCAATTGTTATTGGTGTCCGAGTATTGTCCTATACAGTTACTTTGTGCATGCTTTCGAGGAAGTAGAATTTTTATATAATCATTTTTACTTAAGTTAACGTTTTTCTGTTTAAAGTATATTTTTTGAAATTTTACTTTTTAACTTATAAGCTTAGATTTACTCTTTTTTTTATTACCTTTTACAGTAAAAATGTAATAACTAAATTTGTAAAATACTAAAGTATCATTTTTCACAGTGTTTACAATTATTACCTATTTTTGTTTAAAAATCCTTATTTCTCTTGTTTTTTTTTGTCAAATTTTGTCTTTTCTAGTTAATAAGTGCTGTTCTCAGCTTGTGTTTTCTCGCCTTTTTGCCGTTCCCATATCCATGAGAAGCCGGTACCCTCTGGCATTTATTTTTGTTGGGTTTTATTTGTTTCAACGTGCCAGTAGTCCAGTAGTTAGGACGTTGCCCTCCCAAGGCAGAGGCCCGAGTTCGAATCCCGGTTGGCGCAAACTTTTGGTTTTGAACGAAATTTGCATATTTTTGACATTTTTTGACCAAATTCAGTTAAAGCGAAGTTATTTTACTTTCTATTGGTAACATATACATTATCACAAAAGTCTTGTAATTTTTAAAAAAATTTTTTTAAATTAACAAGGCCTACATGCCTTTTTTGAAAAAAATTCCGGGAACTCTTCACTCCAGGCCATGCCTTGAGTGTGACTTAAAGTTCTATATACTTTTTGACCAAAATTTTGATTTTTACTGTTTGAGCGCTTTGCCATATTTATTGTTTTATGTATTTGTGACAACCTTTAGTTCATTATACCTCTCATTATGATGTGTTAACTCTCAACCCCACAATCTCAATATTACCCGCCCCACTTATCCATGTCTTATTCACTCCTTCCTCAACACAAACCATGATTTATATTGTGGAAGGCTTGCATATGTTTAGCCGATTTCTCATCTATAAATCCCCAATTTTTACTATGAAAGACACAGTTCGCAGCACAATTAGAAGCCCTTTCCTCTTTTTCTCCTTTCGGAATGAAACGAGATTGTTTTGAAGGTTCGCAAGGTTTTGAATGTCTTTTCTGTTAAAGTTGCTTCCAAATTATATTATACATCCAGTAACCGAGAGGGTGGCTTTTGTGGAGTAAAGGGTATCTTATGTGTGGTTAAGGGAGTATTTTTTGGAGAGTTAAGATGGTACTCTTTGTTAAGTAAAGGATATTGTCGTATTATATTGACCAAGTTTATGAAGGTATAGTCGTTTAAAGGTGTTATGGTAGGCTAAAGATGTAACATGTGTTTAGGTATAAATACAGTGGAACTCCTGTATAATATAGAACGCTTGAAGATTTCAAAATTATTTGTTATACGAGGGTTTTACTGTATTTTTGTCGTCTTTATAGTGAAAGGGTACTAGGTTACTATAAATTTTTTAAACAGGCCAAAATTGTTTTAAAATACGCACAAGGCTTAAAATGGGATAAAAGTTTTAAAAGTTGTTTTTTGTAAACAAAATTTTGAACTTTCTATTTTTCTAAAGGTTTTTAAAAACTAATTAATTCCTTGTAAAAAGTCAAAAATATGCAAATTTCCGTCAAAAAAAAATTTGCGCCAACCGGGATTCGAACTCGGGCCTCTGCCTTGGGAGGGCAGCGTCCTAACCACTGGACTACTGGCACGTTGAAACAAATAAAACCCAACAAAAATAAATGCCAGAGGGTATCCGGATTCCCATTGATCTGAGAACGGCAAAAAGGATTGAAAAAGTGGTTGGTTTTTGGACTAGAATAGGCGGTTTTTTGAGGTAAAGACCTAAAAATAGGGCAGAGACTAAATCTTGGCACAGCTACAGCACTTGCTTTTTATTTAAAATGAACTTTTTTATATTTTTTTAACATTTACTTACTTTAAAACTTTGTGTTTCTGTCTATTTCTTGACCAATCTAGTCTATCTTCTTTAATTTCAACTGCCTCTTGTTCTGTATTTTGTTTATTCTTTATGTTTTTAGGAGATTTTACGACTTTTTTTGTTACCTAAACTCGAAAAAGAAAAGCG